TCCACACACGCTTACGCAGGTCAGGAACTTATGAACCACGTGAATGCTGATGTCTCAAAGAATACAAAATCACGAGCCGCCTACAAAGAGATGATTAAAACAAAAAAATTGAATAATCTTTTCTTCTCAAGTGATACAATTAACCCTTTGACTCTAGAGGTCCTCGAATTCAATGTCATGCAATTTGCAATTTTCAATTTTCCCATCGCGATGATAAAGTTACAGAGCGACTGCCAAATGCATTGAAATTCGCACGCGTGTAACAGCGTCCGAAGGAACGAGCTAACAATAACCGCCTCGATAGACACTAGCATCGTTACACGGAAGCCTCGGCGTGGCCGTGTTCCTTGATCGGTACCACTTGCAACACTACACACTATCGGTGTGTGTGTGTGTGTGTGTGTGTAAAGACAACGTGTACGCGTGTTTATTCACCGGCGAGTGTGGAGGCAGATGAAAAGTTCGGCATGACAGCTTCTTGCGTAGGAAGAAACGAGGCCTGCCTCCGATGATGATGACGATAGCACGTTCGTTGGTGCTGGTGAACGATGGTGTGACGTAGTTGGGTGGTGGTGGTTGATGCTGATCGCGATGACGGTGTTGGTAGTGGTGGTTGATCAGCATCGTGCAGCATTTGCAACGTACAGTGCCGTTTCTGTGCTGCCGGTGAACGGAACACGCGTTTCTTCTCTCCTCGCTGAAACTTCATCGTGCTAAATCACCGATGATTTTTCGTGAAAATCGCTCTCCAGCAAACATCATCGATCCGGCAACCGACTGCAATTTCGTGACCTGAGGTGACGTTATCGAATCTTATCTCTGATTACGCGAACGATATCTATTTTTGAAATCGTACGTGTTGTATAATACCATACTTCTTTTCTTTGCCATTTTTTTTATTGAGACATGTTCTTCGAGTTTCGTATTGCAAGGAAGGGTGAATGAAAAGGAGCAGGCAAAATTGCCCATGGGCACCACGCCCCCGCTCTTATTGTGCATTTTTGTCATCGGTCCCAAAGAAGAAGGTATATATTCCGTCTGGATTGGTGCCCACTTCCCATCGGCGTCCCATGAATCTCTATAAGGCCGTCAAACGAGTAATTCGTCCGTACGTCTCCCTTTCTCTTCCTCTACCTCTGCTGTTCCTCCTTCTTTCCCTTCTTTGCCAAAGATAACGGGGGTCAGCGACGGTCGTGCGCGAATATTCGAAAGGGAAACCATTAAAGAAATTAAACATTTTCAAATTTTCAAAACGCCGGTCAATGGCGAATTTTACTAGCCTCAAGAGTGATCTGCATGACTACGTGAATGGAGGGGAAAAAAGAAGGGAGGAAAACGGAGAAACCTTCGGGTGAGAGAAAGAAGGGGAGAACCGGCTAAAGCGATGACGTCTTCGTGCGAGAATCTAATTACCATATTCACCTCGGCGCAGCAGCCTCTCTGCTTTGCTCGCTTATTAATATACGCGTACATCCTGAAAATTGGTGTGAGGGAAGAAAGAATCCCAGGGCATAAATGTATCGGGTGGTTTAAGGTGTTTCGTAGCCGGCAAAATATGGCACTTTCGGAGAACGTCTGAATATTCTCTCCTGCCGTAAAGATACGCGCGTTCGCCGAGTGTGTGTTCATTAAACAGTGCGAGGCGAAGCTGGATCGCTGGATGTTGAAATCGTTGCGCGGGGAAAATGTACACTGCCTGGCAAAAGTTTGGACAGAATGCATTTTGCAAATGTCACGTTAATTCGAATTCAAAATTAATTTTCATTCAAAATTAAATAATTAATATAGGCCAGTAATTAAGAAAACACAAGAAAATGATTCAAAGGAAAATGCGTTTTCAGAAACTTAATTTTTCTTAGGTGCATAGGTGCATGTGCATCGGACAATTGCACTCGTGTCTTTTTGCACGAAACAAATTCTCTGGTCATTCTGAACTGAATTGGCACTCGATCAATTCCGTCCTTGGCTCTGATCGGCATTTTCACCGATGCACATAGCTTTCAAAAGGAAACCGCGAGAATCGAGTCGCAATAACAGACGAGCTGAAACGTAATCGTTGCGTGGACGTATCATTTGGTGCAATAAATCCGCGGGAATCGTGAGCGACCATTGGCCAAAGGCGACACACGGCTATCCTTTGGATAATCTACAACAGTCGCAATTGCAGCTGCGGCTTGCACGCGTTAAGTGCTGCTCGTAGATCGTCTTGATGTACACAATCGATAAAACGTACAAAGTCTTCTAAGAAATCTAGTGCCGGAGTTCTTTGAGAGAGCACGAACATCTTCGAACACGCAATTTCGGGGATACGGAACCATTACCTTCCTTTAAGATTCTTTCTTCGGGCTACGTCCATGGGAACCATCAACGAATCAACCGAAACCCCGAAATTTAGCCCTCGAGTTAAATTCGGTTCTTCGAAAAACTTCAGGGTGGTCTTCTTTAGCGCGTCATTAATGGCACTATAATTTTAATAAATAATTTAAAAAGGAAGTATTTAACTTAGCTTGAATTGATAATATAAGCGGATTAATCATTGATTAGTCATTATTATCAAGTTATTCCATTAGCAATATTGTTCTTATATGTAACTTTGATACGTTAAAAATTTATCACACTCCACTGATTAATTAGAAGTATATTACTCACTATTTTGTATAATCGTTGATAATAATTTTTTTTTTCTTGGAAAAATTTGATTCACAAATGGTTTTAACAAAAAATTGTAGAATTAATTTTATTTTGATATCGTGAATAACTTCTGTCAAGTTTTATCAGTATGTCTGACTACATGTGGCCTTTTCCACTTTGGCAATGGACAAGTTGAGACCACCTACCAAAAATACCATCCTTTTGTCAACAGAACAAGAGTTCCTTTTGTATTATTAAAAACATAGCTGACAAACGGTTTTATCGCAACTGCGATTCATATTTATTCCCCAAGTAAAGACACTCCGATAAAGGTGTATCCTTATTGTAACAGTCGCTTATCGCGGTTTGCAAATATTCCCTGGATATATTGCGCAGTTGTGTTTTCGAACGTTTCCAACGCACGATAAAATCCACCTCAGGCGTTGAAAAAAATTGCAAGAATTTTCTTTTGCCAAGGAAATACAGGAAGATTTTTTTACTAGAATCAATACAACCATGGTATACTGTACTTTATAAGATTTATTTCAAAATGGTAAGGGCTTACATGACTTATGAAAGGGAGTGTAGATGTTACTCCAGTTCTTAAAGAGCTGGTTACTGGCAGACGAGTGCAATAATCCTCTGATCTCGATCGACGAGCAACAGCAACAGGCTGCTCGTTCGCGGTACTCGAGTGTTTCGCATTCGCGCGGGTGTTAAATGCGTTCCATCTGCCATCGATCCAAGGTAGATCGGCCGTCATTGAGGAACAGGCTGCCCTCGCGAATATAATATATCGGCGATCGAATAAAAAAATGATTTATACCTGAAGCGATTCGTCGTCGCGATAGCACTGGCACGGATTGAATTCAGATGAGATCCCTTCTTCGAGGGTTTTCTACATGGTGTCCTTTTTCGAATCTTCCGGTTCAATGTTGGTTAAAAGGGTGTGATCCTTTTTAGTCGTTTTTTAAGATCGGAACGAGGAGATGGATTGAACTGCTCGGAGATTTAATCTGGGAAAGTGATGAGAAGACGTTCTGCCGAGGGAATCATCAATTCCGTTTTTTAAAGAAATTTGAGTGGTTCGAGACTCGGTATACTTTGATGAGGAGATGGAGGAGGTAGGATCTTGGAATTTAATTTGTGATATAAAATTGCGAGGTGGAGATGAAATATAGTTGTCTTTGAATTATTAATCATTCCGTGATCAGAATATTTGATTATTGTTATTCATCAAGTACAAAACCCACGCTGCGTATTCTCCTTCTGATACCAAAAACGATGATTCGATAATCTATGTAATGGTTTCGCATTTATTTTTATCGTGGTCAGAATCCTTACCAAAAATGTTCACAACTATGCAGCTACGCTTAAAAAATTCCAACTCTCGTACAGAGAAAATCATTGGCGAGACTACCTACTCGAGGCTAATGGCACGTCTATAAGTACTGACGGTTTTACAACTCTTTTATGAGTGCACTTTTCTTGCCAGACTATTCCATAGAATATAGAAAATATCAAACTGCAGTGAAAAGATTCTGAATGCAAAATAACGTTTCACTATTTTCATCTCAAGTAATAATTATTCTGAATTCGTATCATATGGCTAAGGAATGCAAAAAGATACGAAGGAAAGGTTTTTATGATATCCAATTTCCATAATCTTACGTGTCTGTTCGCTTTCATCTTTCATTCATCGAAGATCGTAAAAATACTGTTCCCTATCGATTACCTGCTGATACTCCGTTGGATATCACCGGAGATGACGATCTATCCTCTTTGAACCTTAGTTGGAATTTCGATCACGACCTCCTGCAAGACGTATTTTTGCCAAGCTTCGACACGGAGGACATTCTCGGAAAGCAGCAAGATGGCTGTCGCGTTACGTGACAGGGATTTCTGGAAATCCAAGGGAAAGCCACGGATTGCCTCGTTCCGCTTCCATTAGCCAGCGTGAACTTCGACTTTACCCGATATCTCGGCAACCTACCGCAACGATGTTACGTCAGTGAACAGAACACGCGAATTATTCTAGCGTGACGCGAGGACGTGGAGTAGCGTTAAATTGGCGCGACGTTCTGGAAGAAGAACGAACGACCGACGGTTCTTGAACCTTTCGTTGCAATTAGTCCGTGCCGTTTTATCGGGTAAACGATTTACAACCGATTGTTCCTCACTTAACGAGACGATCTTTTGTTCTCGGGCGTCGATCGCGCGCGAACAACTTTGTTACAGTAAACTCAGGACCGAGGATGAGGCATCGAATGTTGGGAATTTTTCAAAATTCGTTTGCTTGTAACCGTTTAAGAATCGTGTGGTTGTGCAAGTAAGAAACTTAATCTGACGGTGGAATTTTTCTTCAGAAGGACGGGAAACACCATTATCACCACCGCCACCTTCGAGTTCCTCTGTTCAGACGTCACCTCGTGGATTGGGTTACACTTGCGGTCCCATAGATGGATCCTTGTACGCTGTGGTACACCAGGGTGCTGCTGGTGGTGCCCGTGGCTCACCATTGACAGTTTCCATGGACAGCGGCATCAGCAGTGCTCCACCACAGAGACCTAGTCCACCCGAGCCAGAACCGGATAACCAGGCTCATGGTGATCTCGATAAACTTCTTCATGATATGATGCTTACTGTTGAGGTAAGTTTTATTCGTTTCAACGTTAGCTCAAGGAATTTTAATGTCTTTCTTGCAGAATTATTATAATTTTAAAGGTAACAAAAAATTTCTGAATATTTTCTTAGTCGATGCCGGATCCTCCAAGCGAGGAGTACAGAAGAGAAAGAAACGAGAAGATGTACATTCAAGAGAGCCGTGGTTACAGTAGTCACACGAGCAGCCATTCGCCATCGACGTACTCTACGTTGAAAGATTCTTACAGAAGTTACAGCGCCGGAAAAGAATCGAGTCCCCCGTATAACTCGAGCAGCAGTTATAGTACTTTAAAGAACGAGTACCGTGAACCGAATAAGATCGAGCATCGAAGAGAGGAGTTCGATTATCGAGTGTCGCCGGATCGAAAAATCTCCGAATCGTCCACCGATTCGTATAGAAAGCACACAGACTCGTTCTCGCCGCCTGGCAATATCGATTATATCGACGAAGACATTCCCTATCACGCCAGACAGACGAGTCAACCGTTTTCGTACGGTGCCACTTCGGACATGATCAAACATCAGAAGCTTTCGTCGCCTTCGTTGGTCAGGAAAGCTTCTGTACGAGGCACCGCGCCCATGGTGGACTTTGAGGATATCCTCGGAGAGAATTCGAGGAGACCCATCAGTCCTCTCAGCCCTAACACTCCGGATCCTCCGCCGGAATTCGCTAATGGACCGACCAAGGGCAATTCGGATCACGTCGATGGGTGAGTGGGTTTTGGAAATGTTTTATATTTTAATATCTGATTTCTCAGAGTACTCGATACTACCAGGGAGTAATACCCGGAGTACCCGACACTCCTAAGGTCTAATACCAATACCTCCAGTACTCAGTATTCCCAAGGTCTGATCATCCCTAGGCTCAATACCCCTAATACCCAGCTCTCCCATTACTCAGCGCCCACAATACCACCCCCACCATATTGCCACCTTTGTTCCAAAACCATGAAAAGCAAATATTCCAAACACAATTCGCATCACCGCCATCCTATATATAATCTCACCTGCGGACCGCTTACGGAAGGCCCTTTTCCTGGCAAGATTCCCATCCACGTTCGCCGTAAGAAATCCCGTAATTAAATGCTCGGACCGTCTAATAATACGTAACGCGTCGCCGGTCGAAAAGCGTTTCGTCACGCTCGATATATATTGTGAAACGAGAAGATTAGGCGCTTTCCACGGAACTTGCCGTGGAAATCGTGACGGCAAGTGGGCCATTCATCTGGCAGAGCTTCCAGACGTTGGTCGACAAGGTGTTTCGTAACGCGCCTCGCCGAAACGGGCGCCGCAAAAGAGTCGCTGGAAAAAGGACAGAATCGTGTTAACCGTTGAAAGAGCGACGAGGATGGAATTATCAAAGCCCGTCGGGGGACAATTAATAAATTGTCTACCCATAGGCGGACGAGATTACGAGGCTGGTCCTCGTATTTCTGCCAGGAATGGCGAACGCGGTCATCGTGAGTCATTGTCAGTCGGAGGCTAGTGGAAAGAGAAAAGTCATCGCGCTCGTAGACGGACGGTTGGTATCGCGTTATGAAATACGAGTTTCGTGGTTTTGCGGGTGTACATCGAGGACAGAATCCTGTTGTCGACGCGACAATTTGTTATTCCTCCCGTTTGCTTCGGCGAACGTAAATTTATTCGTTCCAGCACGACCGTAAAGAATGATTGCTTTGATTTTTCAAAAGACCATTGAACGACTTTCAATAACAATTCTCTCTTCTCTGAATTGTCAAAGGGAATTCTGTCACCATGAAAGTCCATTCGGTCGTAATTCGGTCGGTCAAGCTGTACGACGATTTTCGCGGTCGAAATCTTATCCGAATACGAGAGAAAGCCGTGGTATCCAGGTTTAACGAGTCCGTAAAACGGAGTTCGTCGAACCAGTCGGACGTGAAATATGTCCCGTTTTGTGTATCGAGTCGTTCGAGCCACGAAACCCGTGAAAATAAACGTCCCTTCTTGAAGCCGAGCCGAGCCGAGTTCAGCCTGCGAAACCGCAAGTTTCGCCTGGATATTTATGAAGAACCGTGGTCCGCTACGATGGAGAAACAGGCGACGTTTATGGTCGAAGAGGTCGACAGACGTTTGGCAGGTCTGCTTTCTCAGACGCAAAGAAATTCTCCATTCGGGGCTTCACCGTTCGTTTCTCGTCCCGATCTTGGTTTTCAGGTTCTCTTGCACTTATCTGTCTCAGTATCCTTCCACAGGGAAGGCTGTTTCTTCTTGAAACAATTGCACCTCATCTTTATTGCACTTTAAGAATTAACACCCTAATGAACACGGTTTATAAGGACATTAAAAATTAGTCTTCAGTTATTTTCATTTAATGATTTTTATTTGAATTTTTCGCTCTGTATTCAATCTGATAGCAGATTTTAATCTAATTTAAAGAATTTCATCCACATTTTCAGAGAAGAAAGAGGGAGGGAAGTTATTTCCGTTTCTCCGGCCGCCCTCTGACATAATTATAAATATAGAACAGGCGAGACGCGCTAAATCGACCGTCACAAGTTTCACCCTTCCCGTTCGCGTTTCGTTTCTCGTTTTCTTTGTTTCCCGCTGTTCTTCCAAGTGTGTTCCTTTTCGCCGACAATTTTTCTATTCTCGCGGTATCCCCGTGGGTCCGCAGCAAAAGTCACTCGGATACGGAAGTCGTTCGGAGGTTGAAGTAAGAGCGGAACAGTAGCTCGTAAAGACTTGTACAATTTTCCTCCGCGAGCTTTTATTTCCTGGAAGATCCTGGACGAATAGCTTGTCCCTTTCCAGCCGTCCTATTATTCCGAAAAAGATCTTTTTTTTCAGTCGGTCAAAAATTCACGAGTGGAAAATGCGAAGGCTCTTGGTGAAAACGCGATTATTACGCTCTCCTGTTCCATCAAGGAAAATTCTATTCGAGAAACTCTTTCAAGGGGCCATTCAGAAATACAAAGGAGCTCCACTTTTTCACGAATTTCATACCTTTTTTTTGGTATTCCGAGAGCTATTTCAGACACTGAGAAGTTTAATTGTGTCGAAATTTCAGAATTGGCCACGAGGAATGTAATGACCCGATATTTTGATCTTTCTCGACCATCTATGGTTTCGTATAATACAGGACGAGGCATTTTACGATGTTCGCAAGGGTGTGGCAAGCCCCGTTAAAGCAAAGTATAAATTTCGCTAGTCGTAAAGAAAATCGAACGAGCAACAGCGAGAGAGTCGATCGGTTTGCGTACGATCCATTTATTACGAGCGGCAAACGCGAGATCGAAAGACAGGCATGAAATCGATGGCCTGGGGCGATCTCATCGATCAGGATGTAATTATCCAGGATCTATCGTGGTAGGAGGTCCTGGTTCCGGCAATCTTCCGACTGGAACCGTGACGGGGACCCGGCTCGCTCTCGTGGCCGTTTCTAACGAGGCTTTGTTACTCGACTCGCGCGTCTCGTGTTCCATCGAGAAAGTGGCTTCTCGTGTTTTCATCTGCTCCACGAGTAACTCGAGCCGACCGTAGGCGAGAAATCACGATTTACAGGATGAAAACAGCTGCAGCCGCGGTAACGGAGATCGTAATCCGCGACAGGTGACAGAAACATCCTGCGCATCCTTTCAAGAAACTTTTGTCTTTCTATGCGAAAAGATCGAATTTGATCATTTTAAAGTTCTCGTCGCGGATTCCTTTCATCGAACAAGTCGACGATTGAGAAAGTTCCCTGGCAAAGTGGCCAAGTTTCACTTTCCTCTTCCTGCTGTTGGCAGATTATCCTGGCTGAGACAGCAGCAATTGAAACTGGCCGCGAGGAGGGACGAAAGGAACCCGGGAAAACTTTGGCGACAGGAGACCGGAAATCGGGTGATCGGCGAATTGAGGAGCTTGCAGAGAAACAGACTTAGGCACGATGGATATGCAAGCGACTCGGCTGTCCTCGACGACGACGACGACGGGTGGGCTGTCAATTCCACTTCCGGACAGGTGAGGAACAACCCTGCGAATTCAGCTTCTCGTTTGAGGGATCGGATAATGAATGTGATAATTAAAATGAAAATTTAGACGCAAACGCGACCGACTCCCTACACATCGGCGCCAGCCAGCCCTCTGCTTCCGCAGCGATCCAGCAGCCGGAAGTACAACGGAACCGCCGGAACCGGTACTTTGGGGAGACCTCGAGCGGAGAGCGTGAACGAGCGTCCTTTCATGTCGGTGAAACGGGCGTACGAATACCGCAAATACAGCGACAGCCAGGTAAACGAGGAAGTACTTACGTTTTACGCAAGCAGAAACGGTTTGCTGTTAAAGAGCTGCACGCTTGGAATCGATCGTATTCGCGAGAGTCTTTAGAGATGTTCATAGTAATTTGAAGCAACGAAACACAACGGTGTCGGTCGATTATCGGATAAATATTTATTAAGTCGTTACCGCGGCAAGAAGCGCATCGGAGCCTGTTACTTTAAGCGTCGGACTGCTTAAAATAATTATCGATAATAAGGATAATAAATTCGAAACGGCGCGGCGGCACGATCGATTCTACGCTTGCGCTGATGAAACGGCGGAAGCACGAACGCTACAATTTAGTTGGCCGTAGATAGCGATTGTAAGAGCGACTGCTGCGGTGCCGTGTTTTATGGTTATGCCCCTACAGTTAGATCCTAAACAGCAAGAAACGGCCCCTTAGATCGTAGTGACCACAAAAAGGGATAAGTTTCACGTCCCTGTAGCCACTAGAACAGCTTATACCTTTCTTCTGCCCACCTTTATTATTGCACTGAGAAAATTGCTAAATTTGTCCATTAGATTGAGTTTAAAAAATGATAGCACTGCTGACTAAAAATTAATACGATTAATAATTAACTAACGACGAATTATGATTTATATAAATACCGTGATGGCAGCAAGGAAAGGATTAACCCTCATAGGACCGCGCGGTTTACACGAGGGTTAATATACCTAGCTCCCTTTAGCATGAAGCGCTTGGCTTGCTTTTCAGAGCCCTCCGACATCCCCCCGCTCAGGCTTAGCAAGCACACAACCCTTAGGATTAGCAATGCAGCAACAAGCAACGTTCGTTAGCACGGACAAGCCGCAACCACCAAGGCCAGAATCTCGAAGCGACAGTTTTATTCGAGCTGACGCTCTGTTGCGCGAACATCGTCAGCAACAGCAACAGCTAGCAACCGGCAACAGTATCGGCAATCACACGGATCAGAAACAGGATTTCGCGAGAAGTTCGCGACCGGAATCGCGGAACAGAGTGATCGCTTATCAGAGCTACGATCGCACCACAATGACCAGCAACGATAGGAGCGTGGATCACGTGGACGCAGGATTGCTGGCGGTCGTCGATCAGCAATCGAGCGGTCAAAACAACGCTGATCCTCTCGTGAGCCTCATTCAATCACTGGCCGAAATTTCGCCTGTTCGCTCGTCCTCATCCGTGACTAACAAGACCGTGAACGATCATCACTCTCCAAGCAACAGCGCAGCAACTGCGGCAACTGCGAGCAACAACGTTGCTAACACCATCACTAATTGCTCCCCTAACCAGTCGCCCAAAGCATGGCAGAATTGCACCCAGGTTTGTCCACCCTCTTCCCGCGAGTATCCTCGTCGTATACGATAGTTCAACTTGCACGCTAGTTTTATTCATTCTCGTGCCTGTGCATTCAGATTGTACAAAAAAAATAGAAAGATAGATTTTTGTTGATAAATTAGCACATGAAAAAGTATAGCGTGGTGTAGAAAACCACGCTATATTTATTCATAAAAATTTCATCAGTTTACATGTACATACTTTCGCTTGAGCCAAAAACATAAAGAGCAACGTTATTCAACGTTCGCTTGAAACAAGAATTGAAAATCCATGAAAATTCGCAGTCGCACAATGACTCAGCGTCATCGTGGACCGAGAGGAGCGTCAGTCCCGGAAGTGCAGTGGTCAGCAACGCCTCGAGGCCTCAGACCCCAGCGTTTCCGGTGCATCCTCGAACACCGTACGTCAACAATTCATCACCGACGGTGACGTTCGCGGCTGATCGTGCTTACTCCACTTCCAACACTAGTTACAACGTGAATAACAATAATAACAATGTGAACAACGTCGAGACAGCCGGGAACAATAATAATAATGTCGGGAATTACGCTAGCGAACGAACGATCTACATCGAAGAACGAAGAGAAGTCTCGAAGGAGACGGGACTTCCACCCAAGAGTCCGACAACACAGAGGTAGGCTGCAATTTTATTTTTTTTATTTATATTAATATATTTTGTTGATTACACGTTTGAGTTTAATTACCTGCAGAAAGATTCGAAAAGTTTGACATTTGAAATTTAACACTTTGGTGGTTTCATTCTATGAAAATTAGCTTTCTTTGCAACATACATTAAATAAAAATTGTAAATATGATCCTATTAATTATCTTCTCTCTAGATATAAAGGGGAATGTAACATTCCATAACATACGCGATCATCAAAGTGTTAAGCTTTAAGCTGTTCAGTTTATTTTTCCGTGAATTAAACCCTTTAAAATTAACGCGTTTTATCCTTTAATTAGCTTGAATCAATAAATAAATTGCGATCCCTAATTCAGCGATAAGATTACACATCGATGGAAGCATTAAAATTACCCCTTATCTACTATGCTCAATCAAGATCCTCCATAAAGTTAAACGATTTCAAATGAAGGTTTACATAGGCATCAAATAATTTTCCCGCGTTTTATGAAACATTACTTCCATGATTATGACAGACTGATATTCGTGATTCTAGACGATTGAGTTTCCCGGCAAGCGGGCCACTTAAACAAACGCATAACAAACGATGGCCGCTCACTAACCAATCGGCGTCGTTCGACTATAGGTAATATATTATTTGAGAGCGCTGGAAAACAAAAGATGATTTGCGCTTTCTGAATGACGGAAACGCATCGATCTCAAGGATGCCTTTTGAATGTTTTATGTCGTGACACTAACCGTGTGTATTAGAACACTTTTCGTTGCAACTGCATCATACTAGGAAATTAATCAAATTAATTTACCAATTTAGGATTTTTACACACTTACTAGTTCTACGCAAGCTGCTAAAATTTTTTTTTCTAAATTACCAATTCATATCTATTACTTAGAAGGATAATTAAGTACGATGCAATTGCAATCAATTTGCAGCAGTATAATTAAAAACGAGAAGCCGAGGACACTCGTCGTGTGTGTATTGCACCTGTTGAACTAACAAAAGCTCGAGCTTTTTGCATCGTGTATCACCTTGAAAGCAAATTGCAGGAAATACAAACGACACGTATCAATAATCATATATCGATGAATATAATTAATGGTCCCCAGCAAATCTTTAACTGCAGCAAGAAATCAACATCGCTAATTAACAATATGATATTAAAAGTAATATATGCACCGTCACCTGCTCGACAACAATTTTTTTTACGTTTACATACGTGTGTGTATTTGTCTGTGAATCGTGCATTCGTATCAAGGCATAAAAGAAGTTGTAAATTACGGCTGATTCATACTTTGTACTGTTTGTGCTTCCTCCGTCGATGTATCCTGTTCCTTTAATTCCTATTTACACACTTCCATATAAAAGTCATAGGGTATCTATTAAAATTTCATGAAAATCCAAGGAAGGTCCTAGGACTTTTATATGTGTTGCATTTCCGATGTTTTTTCACGACGTACACCACTTTGCACGAGTCACCCGTGAAACACACACACTGAGTGAAAAACCACACGCGTCTGCCTGCACGCGGAAACGAAACCCTGCTCGAAATGCATCGGATAACGATACGTGTGATTGCTTCGTTGCAGCAAGGACCGATCTGTTTCTCCGATAAACGAGTCGACGATGCAGTCTCAAGTTGTCTCACGCAGCCCTGGTACTCCGACTCACATCGAGTTCTCGCAGAGTCCCAAGGTATTTATGCGATATAAAATGAAATGAAAATTCTATTAGACGAATGGAATTTATTGAAAATATTTCAGAGTGCCACATCGTACACCTCCATTAACAGCGGTGGCCAATCGTCTCCACAGGTCCAGTATTATGGTTCGAGACGGTCCAGCGTTCATTCGAACACCGAGCCCCAGGAAGTGGCCGATGCGAACGTTAAATTTGTGCGCGACACCAGCAGGATCTGGTACAAGCCAAACATATCTCGAGAGCAAGGTAAGTGTGTTCTATTTAAAATCGAGAGAAATAGTGGGATCCCTTTAATTATTTTTCTTCATTTGCAGCCATCTCAATGCTGAAGGATGCAGCACCTGGAACGTTCGTTGTCAGAGACAGCAACTCCTTCCCAGGTGCCTTTGGACTCGCTTTGAAGGTAGCAACTCCACCTCCAGGTGCACCGAGCAGTCCCAGAGACCCGTCCAGCGAGTTGGTCAGGCATTTCTTGATCGAACCTACCTCCAGAGGTGTCAGGTTAAAGGGTTGCGCGAACGAACCAGTTTTCAGCTCGCTGTCGGCATTGGTTTATCAGCATAGCTTGATGGCGATGGCTCTACCTTGCCAGCTGCTGCTCCCGGAACCGGAAGCTGCGGCCAGAGCCCTAGATTCATCTACCACGAACAGCACCCAACAGCTGCTCGCGCAGGGTGCAGGTAAATCTTATCAAAAATACACGAATGTTTGTTGAACTAGTTTAACGAACTACTTGCTGAGTTTAATTAATTCCTTTCAGCCTGCAACGTTTTATACCTTTTCACAATGGATACCGAATCGCTGACGGGACCTCAAGCGATTAAAAAAGCAGTCACGACCATGTTTGAACAGAAACCACTGCCTACCGCGACTATCGTTCATTTTAAGGTCTCTACACAAGGGATCACCCTGACTGATAACGCGAGGAAGCTTTTCTTCCGTAGACATTACCCGACGAACAATATCAGTTATTGCGGTTTAGATACCGAGGAACGCACCTGGGATTTCACTGGCGACGACTCTGGACGATCAGCTAGCGCTCAGTAAGTTATTTTCCTGGAAATTTTTCAGAAAGTTCCTGAAATCCACCATCGAACCTAACACTATCTCAATAAGAGTAGTATCTCTTCTAGTTCTTTTCTATAAAAAAAAAAAAAAAAAAAAATGTATTTTCTTCAGTCGATGCTTCGGATTCGTGGCAAGGAAACCCGCCCACAAGTCGGACAATCAATGCCACGTGTTCGCCGAACTTGAACCAGAGCAACCAGCCACGGCCATAGTGAATTTCGTGAACAAGGTCATGATGGGCAATTCCATAGCCAAGGCCAACATCGTTTAAATCCTGACATTCATCGCACGCCTCCTCTTAAAATTTTCGAGTAACGGTTTCAACGTACGGCGTTGACCATGGACGAAAGATAGATTCGTCGAAGAAGGAAATCGTGCATGTGTGGTTCTTGAATGAATCTAATTGACTCTCGTAATAGATCTTCGTGCATTTCTTGAACGTAGAATCGGAGTCAGTAGAGCATGAACGTTCTAAACAATACCGTAGAAATTATCCTTAAGGGTTGTGGATCATTCGAAGAATGATCAGGAAGAGAAAAATTGATTCCATCCTTGTTGATCGCACGCTCGAGAAGAGAAACGTTGTTGACGATCGTTACTGTTGGCAGAATTATCTTTTAGCGAGTAGCAGAGTAATATAAGCGAACCTGGAGCAACGTACGACGATGCAGAGTAATTTGGTCCATAATTGGTTTGATAACTCATTAATTTGTTGGTGATTTTAATTTTCTTCTGTTTTATGGTTAAATGGAATTTTCAGAACCCACGGATGGCAGACCATGGAGGGAGCTACAGTTTTAATATAATTTTAATATAAATTTTTCAGTGTTCTTTAAAAATTATTGTTCCAATACATGAAAGTATTTAAAGTTCTAAAATGCAGAATTATACTTTGCTTCCAGGACAAAATTGTTACAGAAAGGATACCGTATATCGGTATAGAGTTCGGTAGCTATTAGTCGAAGAGCATATCGGTCGTGTAATTTCGACGATCGTCCAGCGCTCGAAGCGCAAAATCGCGAGTACGTCTCGATCGCATGAATACACTCTCATACACAGAAATATATACGTTATACACTATTGCGAAGAATAGTTGAATCAATGTGTACGTTATCATGAAAGCGTTATACTTGGGACTCTCGAGTAATGTTTAGCGAAGAAATGTTACGTCGTTGCGGAGCCATGCCTCTATTAGCCCACGAAGAAAAGGCTAGCGTGTTACATATAAATAACTGTAAATAAGTGAACAAAGAAACGAACGACGCGCGTGATTCGTCGAGGAAGATGGACGTATCACGATGAAGAGGAAGAAGGAGGATTCGAAAAATGCGTCGAATTAAATCAGACGGAACAGAAATAAACGATACTCGAAGAGGAGTAGCGTATCGAAACGAAGCATCACATCGTCGTATAATTTTTTTTTTTTTTTCTTCTTTGATCATCATCCTCCCGAAACCCATAGGTTCTTGCCATTAAATCGTCCTCGCGAGCGATATCCTTCGTTTTTGAAAAAAGAAAACGGTCGAACCGACGAAGGAGGATCCTGTCGACGAGGACGAGAATAAGCAGTCAATTATTGTACGAGAGAATGTTACATGTAATTAATACGACAATACTGTAGCCACGAGAGGATCTACGATCGACATTTGTATCGTAATCCTTCTCGTCGCGACACATATTTCTTCCTCTTCGTCTTCTTTTCGATGTTTTAATGTTTTAATATACGTGGGGAGATTGGTCGGGTCCTTTTATGCTTCCTCTTTTTCGTCCCTCCAATTTCAATGATTTTTATCAATCCTTTACAACATAAAAACAAAACCCTTCTTTGGATTTCCAAATTTACTTCTATATCTTAGGACAATATTTAAAAATTTCATGGGGCTCTCAAATAATGAGGATTGCAGCAAATTTTAAATTATTATATTAACGCGTGTTAAAGCATCCTTCGTTTAAAATTTGGGGAAAGATTCATAATTCGAGGGTTGATAATTAATGAAAGGGAACCGATGAAGAGGAATTCTCATTAGACCACTGTGCTAGTCAAAATTCGGTGTAAGCCTCGATGGACGAGGTGCTGGTAATGACCCGATCTTTCTTCTCCCTTCGTCATTTTTTTTTTAATTTCTCTGTTTCATCGTTTTCGCGGTTTTCCAACCGCGACGCGATCGTTGTCTCGTCTCTTATATTGTATGTTTCAAATTCTGTGTTCGCGGGAACCTGAACTAACCGAGTTAACATTAATTTAACACCAGTCATTATATAATAATTATCGAATTAATTATTTACTTATTTACGCTCTATTATTACCGTACGATCACGCAATAACTGTATTGTTGCATACCGGAACGGTATGTTCTTTATAGATGTAACGATAATAAACCCATATTCGAAGCGTAAGACGCGTTGTATTTTTTTTTATTGTTTTTTTAATTAGCATAGGAACCAGTAATATTGTGTAGCCTAATTTTTTCCCATTTTTAGGCAGAACTCATTTCTTGTTTTCAACGTAGTTTTGGATCGAATTTAATAAAAATTGAAACATTTTCTACGACAGAAGGAAAAGAAACCAGAAAAATTTCACAGCCAATATTTCATTCATATTGAGTGGAATGGAGTCTGTTGAGTTCGCAGATATGGTAAGTAGAAGACTATCTCTCGATTACCGTTAGTAGATTATATTGGAATGAGCAGCATCGTAAATAAAAGAAGAAGTATTTTCCAGTTAGCTTCCTCTCGCGTAACGTCCATGCAAAATTTATACAATAAAATATTGATTCTCCATTAGAATTAAATAATCCATTTTTGACATGAAGTATATACCAATAACGTGGACAGAAATAAATTAAAAATAATGGTGTTGAAATATTAAGAACGTCAGAAGATAATTGTCAACTTGACTGTCTTATCCAAAAACTGATAAGACTATCGTGATGATCTTTGAATTCATAATGGGTTCATCGCCCTTGAAGGGTTTGAACCGGAAGGACTTCCTCTTGAAAAGTAGAGTCACATTCCACTAACCTCGGTCCACTGTTGCTAGAGAAGGAGCTTGAGTACTGAATACCATAGAGAAATCCCGTAAGCCAGGCCCGTGGGGCAGACCGGTGAAACTGTCGTTTTTCGTTTACGCTCACAAGTCCGGCTCCGACTACGAGAACAGTCAATAAGGAGCCTTCGAGAAGATCGCATATCCTGGCCTGATTCAGGCCGACCATGGCTGTCGACGTTCAGTCGATCCTGCGGCTCGTATTTTGTTTGTCAATGATCATTTCATTGAATCTGATCGATGCTCGACCGAACCGCGTTGATTTTGAACTTTTCACTTGGGAAAATGACAATTGCTCCTCAGTGAACAGGGACGATTTATTTCTTGAAGAGGAAAGGGAAACGAATAGGTTTGCGTCGACTAATGTGAACTTGAATTCTTGTTGCGGTGATTAATTTGCGAAATTAGGATTCTTCATGGACTTTGTTTCAGATATATAAACGAGAAAGATGTACTATTAAACGAAACTAATGGTGGTTCAAATAACGAAGATAGCAGAGGATTTTCCTTTGGCGACATCGTAGAATCAATGTTTTCTGCAGTGGCGAGTGGACTTGGGTCTATCGTCACCAGTTTCATAGGCACAGAGAAAAGTTCCAAACCACGATCTACCAGGGTTAATTACAGAAACTATCAATTAATCAGATTGTTCCCTAGCACTCAGAGCCAGGTGAAAGAATTGAAGGAACTTATGGATGCTGAACCTGAGGATGTAAAATTCTGGACACAACCGATAAACAACAAGTATACTACACTTTTGTACTCATTTTATGTTTCATCGAACAGTAATAAAAGAGATATTGATGATTTTAGGACGACAGACGTGGTGGTCTCGCCAGATCTTGTCTCAGATGTGAAGACGTTTCTCAGGAATAAAGGAATTGACTTCAAAGTGCTGATATCCGATCTTCAGGTATGAAATAATTAGATAATATTTTTCTAATACATTTTTTCTCGACATTTATCTTTTTTTATAATAGAAAATGATAGCTCATCAAAATCCAAAGATGAGCAAAGAACAACGCGAAGATCTTGTCACCAGTCGAGGTCACAGCATGACTTGGAAGAGATATCATCGATACGGAGGTAATAATCTCACAATTGTAATTGCTACAAAATTAATCTTCTTCTTCTACAGAAATTGGGAAACTGTTAGATCGTCAAACGATTTTCTTTCAGATATCGTTAGATACATGGAATATTTAGCCTTCAGGTACCCAAGGCTGGTAGAATTGATAACAATTGGCAACAGTTTCGAGGGGCAACCCATTAAAATGGTGAAAATTTCATCTGGTCCAACTAAGGATGGCGATGACAAACCAGCCATCTGGATAGATGCCGGTAAGTCCCAGTTTCTTCAACTTATTCTTCCGAGAACACGTTTACCTAGTTACCTTAAAGAAATTCATAAAAGATAGAAGGTTTTGTATGCATGTACGTGCTTCATATTCATTTAGTTAACTCTAGAATTCTAGCGTTTGACATGAAATCTTGATCTTTATCAAACGCGACATTAAATCTCTCCTAGACTTTGCATAAGATGAAAGATCTTTTGTACGAGGCAATTTCTAATGCAAATTCATGCCTTCGCTTTGATATGCAAATGCAGCTATGTTTCTTAAAGATTTTAAACACTACTCAGTTTTATGAAAAATAAATTATTCAAGCTAGAAAGTTGTGCATTGAAATCACTTGCAATGCAAGGTTTTGTTAATTGATTGCTTTGTATAAATGATATCTGGATCGAAGCATATCATTGCTCTCATGAAACTTCATCGAAAGTTTGAAGTACTTGATAATAATTGAAAGGATTACGATATCTCTTTTTGTAATTACTTTCTGATGAAATTTCGATTTAGTTTCCATCAGAATCGATATCTACCTTTCTGCAGAAAAAAGTCGAAATATGAAGGACGAATCGCTCAATCTTCTGTCATTACGAAGAGATATTAATTACAATATTTAATCTTTCTAATTCCAATTTTATTACGGAAATATTCCTACTTGAAGAAACCTTACATTTCTGATATTTTATTAAATTTCAATCAAATTTCGATCCATTCTCTTTCTTACGTTACCAAGAATGTTTTGCTGAATTTATACACGCAAAGAATTTTCGTGTCCACCGTGTTTCATGGGATCTGTCCCGTTACCTGTCGCTTTTTTTCGAATTGTCTTGGTATTCGGTAGGTATGCACGCACGTGAATGGATCAGCACCGCAGTCGCGACCTACATTATGAGCCAGCTGGTCGAGAAGAACAGCAGCTACTCAAAATTGTTGGACAGTTCCGATTGGATGATTCTACCTGTCGCGAATCCTGATGGCTACGAGTTCACTCACACTGGTGACAGATTGTGGCGAAAGACTCGAAGCAATCATGGGGATGATCAGGACGACAGTCGGTACGATCCTCCTGTAAAAATCTGCTTCACAATACCTGAAGCTTTAATCACGAGCTAGTAATAATTTAGTGTTAGTCGATGATTTGCTAATCGTCTATATAGGTCCGTCCATTATAGTCTGCTTCAGTTGGTGAGCCATTATACTAGATGGTTATGGGGTAAATGCGAGGGTGTCGATCCGAATCGTAATTTTGGTTACCATTGGGGTGAAGTGGCGGAGGGTGGGACGAGTTTGGACCCTTGCCACGAAACATACGCTGGTCCGCACGCGTTCTCCGAGCGGGAAACCAAGGCGATGGCCGAATACATACTGGCCAACAAAGAGAATATTAGGTAGATCAATGGAAGATATAAATTTTTAAGAAGTAAGGGAAATAATAATGATTGAAATTTACAGGATGTACTTAACATTGCACTCTTATTCGCAAATGTGGCTGGTGCCATGGGGATACACGTACTCGAAACCCTCCGACTATTCCGAATTAGTGAGTGCAGCGAAAAAAGCTATCGGTGCAATTTCGAAGGTGCACGGTACCAATTACAAACTTGGTCCGTCAGCTGATTTATTGTATCCGACTTCAGGTATGACAACGACGAGTAAATATTTCGTCTACGGGAACTAGAAAATATTGGATCGTTATCGTTTTCTGTTTGATAACTAATTAGTGGAGCACAAACGATACCGCCGTACTCGTTAACTAATTAAATGGATTGCTATTACAACTATTCGGTAACCTAAATACGAAGCTTGTTTATTTAGATTATAGTATTTGTCACGATGATATAATATACACAATTAATAGAGTCATTTTCAAGGTCAAAACACATCATTTCTATATGTTTATTATCACTTTTTTATTAATTTACATTTTCAGACTAACAATTTTAGGTATTGAAGATTCAATGTGTTCTTAATTTTCCACTCAAATTTAAATTCACTTGTAATAAAAAATGAAGGAAATCCAAATATTTTTTCTTGAATGACACGTTTGGACCCTTTTTGGTACCATTTAACTTTAATTTTTTAGGCTCTTCTGATGATTGGGCCAAAGGTGTAGCTGGAATAAAGTACGCCTATACCCTGGAGCTTCGCGATCGTGGGACTTATGGATTTCTTCTTCCAGCGAGTCAAATCGTGCCTACAGCACGCGAAATCTGGGCTGGAATCAGGATGATCGCTCGTCTAGTCACTTGCAACACGTGAAATTCGTCGTGGATGGGCATAATGATTACAGCGTACTGCGGACTCATGAAACGTCCCTGGTATCAGTTGCAATTAGAACCTATATCGTACATTTCTTAATATCGTAATAAAGATATGTCTCGACAGATGTTGATAACTGCCCATCAAATCGAGTAGATAAACGGTCAGATCGTTATCGATGATTTATCGGCTGTTTTTTAACGGTGAATTTCGTTTGTTTACAACGTCCTTGAATGTACAGTGTAAAGTTCAGCAGATTGGATCTTCTAAAACATCATCGAAAGAATTACCATGACTAAAATAATTACTAGAATGTCATATTAATGATTCGATTGATTTTATCCATGAACGATTTGTAAATACTGTAAATCTTCGATCTTATCATCAAGAATGTGTAATTAAATGCTGATTAGAATATGGTGTAATTTATGTGTTATGTATTGTATTTAGTTAAGTAGTATGTATTCATTTAATAGAATTTAATAATTATACATTAAGAAGAAAATATTTAAATATAGTATCTTTGGAGTTTCCATGAATACAATCTATTTAACATTTGAACGATTTAACTTGAAAAATAAAAAATAAGACTCTTTCCAAGTAATCAAGAAAGAAATCGTGATACTGGATGATAATAATAACGTTTCTGTTAAAATGATGTGTTTCCCAAAAACAAATTCATGAAAATTTGAAATTATCACTAGATAATGATGCGTGATAGCACATATAAATCGTAGTTCCGACCTAATCTCAGAAGTTGCTTCGAAACAAGCGAGTAACAATGTTGGCCAAGTGTGCTTTGGCTGCCATCTTCGTGCTCCAGGGTAAGAATTTAAACATTTTGTTACTTCTCGAATTCATTCATAAATTAATATAGTTATACTGTCATATTTTCTTCTTAATTTCACTTGGAATTGAAACTTGTCTTTTTAGTATGCTGGGCCATCCCGTACGACCTGACACCACGTATCACTGATGGTGTAGACGCCACGCCTGGTGAATTCCCTTACCAAGTATCCATACAGTGGGGAATTCCACAGATAATTAAACACAGCCACATCTGCGGTGGTTCTATCTTAAATGAATGGTACATCCTAACCGCTGGACACTGTATCCAGAAGATTGGAGAACTGAGGGTTATAGCTGGCAAATACTACCTGCAGAAGAACGAGAACACAGAACAAACTATCAACGTTGCCAAGACTATCGTCCACGCTGGCTACCCAGGGTAAGAATTGAATCTTCATCCAAATCAATATTCCATGCGAAAATAATTAAGTGATGTGGCATTAATCGATTAAGAGAAATTTTGCTATTTCTACGAACTGTATTTTGTTGAGGATGGTTATCAACCCCTGGACAGTGGGCCATTGAAATTGCGTTTTCTAAACTTTTTAATATTTCAAATATTAATTTCTACCTATATATGAAATTTTTAGTGACCTTCCGCATCATCCCTCTCTTCATTATTTTTCAAAAAATTCACGAAATGCGTAACGGGAAGGTCGAAAATGAGATTCAAAACTGGATCAGCCTACTTGATCTCTTATCACATCTTTATTGGTTGTTCGATAATTCACAATCTCAGTTTGGCATTCTCTATTCCCTACGCAAAGACGATGATTTAAGCTAAACAAAATTCCATAGACTTATTTCTTTTTTTCAATTAATTTGCAGAGGTGTTGCCCAACACGACATCGCCCTTTTGAAATTGGAGAAACCCCTGAAGTTCAACAGCAACGTAAAGCCCATCCACCTGCCCGCTCAAGGACAAAATCAAGGGGGACAAGCTATTCTTAGCGGATGGGGTTCAACACAAAAAAGCATCCGCCCTACCGTTCTACCAAACAAACTCCAGAAAGCTGTTGTTCCAATCCTGAGCAACGAAGAATGTTTAAAGGAACTGAAATCCAAGCCAACCGTTGGCAAACAACCTGAACTCTTCAGCACTCAAGTCTGCAGTGGCACTTCTGGCAAGGAAGTGTCTGCCTGCTCCGTAAGTAGATTTAAGGTTCTTTTTGGAGGGCAGCGAATTAACAGAGAAGGGAATTTTTTCAATTCATGAAAAGAAAGTGAATTTAGCATACACATTTATTAATATTAATTTCTTTTTTTTCCTTTCAACATGCGTTTATTTTTGTCTTGCCTGCAGGGTGACTCTGGTGGCCCACTCGCCCAAGGCAATGGAGCTGAAGCTGTCCAAGTTGGTATTGCCTCATGGGTGATGATGCCATGTGGATCTACACGCATGCCCTCTGTATACACCCGTGTCGCCTCCTACGTTCACTGGATCTACTGGTACATTGATGAGCTACCAAGCACTCCGGTTCCAATACCCCAAGTGACTCCTCCGACTGGTTCGGCTACCACAGTTACAATTTCTTTCCTGAACAAATTCGCTATCACTTGTATTGCGGTAATACTTACCACAGTGCGTTTGTGACAAGTCAATGGAAAAATAGAATACAACAAATGAAGAAGCAATAATAATTCCCCCACGATATGTGTGAGGTGTGACGCGTAGGGACAAACATGCAGAGTACGCGGATAATTCATAACCGGGCAACTTGGGCCACGGATAGTTGACAAGCGACCGGTGATGGCCTGCAGAACCATGCCCGGTGTCTCCGGAGTTAGATTTTGAACTTATTGTTTAGAATGAGAGACTGAGAGGAAGTGACTGGTGACGAAATGCTTGTAGCAGAAAAAGCAAGCAGTGTGGATGGAAGAGTCGAGTGGAGTAGACTGGTGATGAAGCGTGTTCGTGATTAGTTAGTATACATAGTTTAGCCTGGTTTTAATAAAATACATTTGTACGCAGTCTTGTTTTCACGAAACATTCCAATCCCACATATGTTCCTTATCTCACCATTACCCCTCTTCGCACGTTGCGTGCGAAAGTAACTGCGAGTACAATTCGATAAACTCCAGATATCGATAACTTTTCATAGAAAGCAAATATAACATCTCAAGGACGAGACACTTATGATGGATTACGGGTGCTCGTGTCCCAATCAAATGGTTACAATTGTATCGATCAAAATAAATTAATCCAAGCAGATTGTATCTAAAAATTAAAATACTGGAAGCAATAATGATAAGTTTCGATTGAGTTTGCATCAGAATCGATATCTACCCTTCTGCGGAAAAAAGTCGACGTATAAAGGACGAATCCCTCAATCTTCTATCATTACGAACAGATATTAATAACAATATTTAATCTTTTTATTAAGGGAATATTCCTACTTGAAGGAACCTTACATTTCTGAAATTCTATTAAATTTCAAGCAAATTTCGACCCGTCCTCTTTCTTACGTTACCAAGAATATTTTACTGAATTTATACATGCAAAGAATTTTCGTGTTCACCGTGTTTCATGAGATCTGTTCCGTTACCAGTCGATTTTTTTCGTATTTACTGTTAGTCGATGATTTGCTAATCGTCAATATATGTCCGTCCATTATAGGCTGCTTTAGATGGTTATGGGGTAAATGCGAAGGTGTCAACCCGAATCGTAATTTTGGATACCATTGGGCTGAAGTGGAGGAGGGAGGGACGAGTTTGGACCGTTGCCATGAAGGCGATGGCCGAGTACATCCTGGCCAACAAAGAGAAGATTAGGTAGATAAATGGGAGATATTAATTTTCTAGTTTCAGGCGAAATGATAATGAATGGAATTTACAGGATGTACTTAACATTGCACTCCTATTCGCAAATGTGGCTGGTGCCATGGGGATACACGTACTCGAAACCCTCCGACTATTCCGAATTAGTGAGTGCAGCGAAAAAAGCTATCGGTGAAAATTTCGGAGGTACACGATACCAATTACAAACTTGGTCCGTCAACTGATTTATTGTATCCGATTTCAGGTACGACAACGACGAGAGTAAATATTTCGTCTATGTAAACTAGAAAATATTGGATCGTTATCGTTTTCTGGTTGATAACTAATTAGTGGAGCACAAACGATACCGCCGTACTCGTTAACTAATTAAATTGATTGCTATTACATCCATTCGATAACCTAGATACGAAGTTTGCTTCTTGAGATTATGGTATTTGTCACGATGATATAATATACACAATAAATAGGGTCATTTTCAAGGTCAATACACATCATTTCTATATGTTTATTATTACTTTTTTATTGATTTACCTTTTCACACTAAAAATTTCAATGAGTTTCTAGTTTTACACACCAACAATTTGAAATTCACCTGTAACAAAAAATGATAGGGCTCTAAATATTTTTGCTTCAATGTGATGTTTGGACCCTTTTTGGTACTATTTAACTTTAATTTTTTAGATGCTTCTGATGATGAGCCAAAGGTGTAGCTGGAATAAAGTACGCCTACACCCTGGAGATTTGCGATTGTGGTACTTACGGATTTCTTCTTCCAGCGAGTCGTGCCCACAGCTCGCGAAATCTGGGCTGGGATCAGGATGATCGCTCGTCTAGTCACTTGCAACACGTAAAATTCATCGTTAGTAAAGAAATGGTTTCAGCGTACTGCGGACTCATGAATCGTCTCTGGTATCTGTTTCAATCAGAACCTATATCGTTAATTTGTTAATATCGTAATAAAGATCTGTCTGGACTGATGTTGATAACTGCTCAACAAATCGTATAGATAAACTGTCCGATCGTTATCGATGATAACGCTGAATTTCGTTTCTTTACAACGTCCTTGGAGATACAGTGTAAAGTTCAGCAGATTGGATCTTGTAAAACATCATCGAATTGATTACCATGACTAAAATAATTACTAGAACATCATTTTAATGATATGACTGATTTTATCCATGAGCGATCTGTAAATATTGTAAATTCTCGGTCTTAGCATCAATAATGTGTAATTAAATGTTGATTAGAGTATGGTGTAATTTATGTGTCATGTATTTAGTTAAGTAGGATGTATTTATTTAATAAAATTTAATAAATACACAGTAAGAAAAATATCTTTAGGTATAATATTTTTGGAGTTTCCATGATTGCAATCCATTTAACAAGTGAACAGAATTACCTATCAAGTAATCAAAAAAGAAACACGATACTAGATGATAATCGTAACGTACTCGTTGTGGGCAGATGTATCTGCTATAAAAATAACATCAAGAGGACCCGTTATCGATTACAATTTTGAATTATCACTAGATAATGATGTGTAACACCATATATAAATCGTAGTTTCAACCTGATCTCAGAAGTTACTTCGAAACAAGCGAGTAACAATGTTGACCAAGTGTGTTTTGGCTGCCATCCTCGTGCTCCAGGGTAAGAAATTAAACATTTTCTTACTTCTCAAATTCATTGATAAATTAATATAGTTATATTGTAATATTTTCTTCTGAACTTCACTTGGAATTATAACTTGTCCTTTTAGTTTGCTGGGCCATCCCCTACGACCTGACACCACGTATCACCGATGGTGTCGACGCCACGCCTGGTGAATTCCCTTACCAAGTATCCATACAATGGGGAGTCCCACCCCTTACTAAATACAGTCACAGCTGCGGTGGTTCTATCTTAAATGAATGGTACATCCTGACCGCTGGACACTGTATCCTGAAGATTGGAAAACTGAGGATTACAGCTGGCAAATATTACCTGCAAAAGAACGAGAACACTGAACAGACTATCAACGTTGCCAAGACTATCGTCCACAGTCAATACCCAGGGTAAGAATTGAATCTCCGTCTAAATCAATATTCCAAGCGAAAATAATTAAGTGGTGTGGCATTAATCGATTAAGAAAAATTTTGCTATTTCTATGAACTGTATTTTGTTGAGGATGGTTATTATTTCCTGGACAGTGGGCAATTGAAATTGCGTTTTCTAAATTTGTTAATATTTCAAATATTATTGTCTATATATGAAATTTTTAGTGACCTTTCGCATCATCCTTCTCTCATTACTCTTCAAAGTGCGTAACGGAAACCTCGAAAATGAGATTAAAAACTAGATCAGCCTACTTGATCTCTTATCACGTCTTTATTGGTTGTTTGATAATCCACAATCTCAGTTCGGCATTCTCTATTTCCTACGCAAACACGATGAGATAAGTTAAACAAAATTCTACATCCCATTATATCCTTTTTTCAATTAATTTGCAGAGGTGTTGCCCAACACGACATCGCCCTTTTGAAATTGGAGAAACCCCTGAAGTTCAACAGCAACGTAAAGCCCATCCACCTGCCCGCTCAAGGACAAAATCAAGGTGGACAAGCTATTCTTAGCGGATGGGGTTCAACATCCAAGAGCACCCGCCCTGTTCTACCAGACAAACTTCAGAAAGCTGTTGTTCCAATCCTGAGCAACGAAGAATGCTTGAAGGAACTGAAATCCCAGCCAACCGTTGGCAAACAACCTGAACTCTTCAGCACTCAAGTCTGCAGTGGCACTTCTGGCAAGGAAGTGTCTGCCTGCTCCGTAAGTAGATTTAAGGTTCTTTTTGGAGGGCAGCGAATTAACAGAGAAGGGAATTTTTTCAATTCATGAAAAGAAAGTGAATTTAGCATACACATTTATTAATATTAATTTCTTTTTTTTCCTTTCAACATGCGTTTATTTTTGTCTTGCCTGCAGGGTGACTCTGGTGGCCCACTCGCCCAAGGCAATGGAGCTGCAGCTGTCCAAGTTGGTATTGTCTCATGGGGAATGATGCCATGTGGATCTAGCCACATGCCCTCTGTATACACCCGTGTCGCCTCATACGTTGACTGGATCCACCAGAACATGCACTGACAACCTAGCACGCACTCTTCAGCTACTACAATTACAATTTCTTTCCTGAAAAAATTCGCTATCACTTGTACTGCAGTAATACTTACCGCAGTACATTTGTGACAAGTTGATAGAAAAATAGAATACAACAAATAAAGAAGCAATAATAATAATTTCAGCACGTATGTTCTTTATCTCACCATTACCCCTTTTCGCACGTCGCGTGCGAAAGTAATTGCAAGTACGATTCGATTAACTCCAGATATCGATAATTTTTCGTAGAAAGCAAATATAATTTCTCAATGGCGGGATAGATAAGATGGATTGAGAGTACTCGTGTCTCAATCAGACGGTTACAATCGTATCGATCAAAGTAAATCAATACAAGCAGATTATATCTAATAATTGAAATACTGGAAGCAATAATGAGAACAATATCGCGTTATCAGCTTAAAAATTCTAAAAAAAGAATGAATAATTCAAGACAATGTATAACTCTATTGTTACTTAGACCTTCCAAAATAAGAAAATAAAATTGAAATAGTATTTCAAGATCATTAGTACATATGCTATGACAATAGAGATAACCTTAATTAATCATTGCATTACAATTGTAGTAGAAAATTGTTATTGTTATTTTAAAGACGTAACACGTTTAGAATGTCACAAGTTCGTAATTTTGATATATAATCTTTTATCCCAATTTGAATATTAACAATCACGTGGCATACATTATGAAGTGTCTGAAACATAATTCTTCCATCGATCACTTTTTAATTAAAATTTTTGGTAGTCAGAGTGATAAAGAAATTCCAAAGTTCGCAATTTTACATTCGACAGATAAAGGATCGATAGATTCATCATAAAAATTAATGAAATCTCTAGACATGCTGCAATCATTTTAATCTAACGAGTACCGCTGTCTTTTACAGGGATTAAAAGCTACCTTAGTCGATAAGCAATCGTTATCGGTATCAGGAAGAGCGACTCCTATATAAGATGCTACAGCATCGAAATGCATCAAACCATTGAAATGTCTTCGAAGTTGATCATCCTTATTGCCCTTCTTGCAGTGGCTGCAGCCAGTAAGTGAATTTTTACTAATATTACGATCTAAAATAATATACAATATTACAATATTAAATTAGGATTTTATTGTCACATTGTTCAAACGACACCTTGACTTTAACACTGTTCTTCTTTCTCAACAGCAAAGCCCTACCTTGGGTTCCCCACGCCATTTTTGGGCAGTCGTATCGTTGGAGGATCGGAAGCTCAACCAGGTTCCGCCCCATGGCAAGTCTCTCTTCAATGGGGTTTCTTATCCTTCCAACACTTCTGTGGTGGATCTATCATAAATAGCCAATGGATCGTTACAGCTGGACACTGTGTTCTTGCTGTTCCATCATATGGTGACTTCGTGGTTAAAAGTGGAAAACATAGCTTGAAAACAGTGGAAAATTCCGAACAAGTAATCAAAGTTGCAAAGTCCTTCGTTCATCCACAATACCCTGGGTAAGAGGGTAGACTAGACTTCAAACTCTATAATTTCATTTTCTAAATGCATTGAATTAAAATTTCAAGCCTGCTTTCTAATTTTGCTAATTGAACATTTTTAGAAACGTAGCTCCCTATGACATCGCTTTGTTGAAATTGTCCAAACCCCTGAAGATGAGCAACGCAGTCAGGGCAGTGAGCCTACCAAGAGCAGGAAGCGTACCAAGCGGAACAGCTACATTGACAGGTTGGGGATCAACTTCGAGAACTAACAATGCAATCATGCCTGACAGACTTCAAATCGCCAAGTTACCTCTGATCGACCTTGCCACCTGCAAAAAAGCCGTGGAATCTCTTACCGGCCCATCTCCATTGCACGAGACCAATGTTTGCACTGGTCCTCTCAGTGGTGGCTACTCGGCATGCAGCGTAAGAAATCTTGCAATTCTGTCCGATCTAACTGGTACCGTTTTATTAATTATCACGATCGTGGTTTCAGGGTGACTCTGGTGGTCCATTGGTCCTCAACAACGAGCTCATCGGTGTCGTGTCCTGGGGAATCGTCCCATGCGGTACAACCGGTGCACCATCTGTCTATACCAAGACCTCTTCTTTCGTTGATTGGATTCAAAACACTATGTCTAAAAATTAAGAAACTTTTATTTTTTCTAATGAATAATATGTACAGATATATACAGTGAAATGCAACTATATTGATATATGTAAAATAAAACCAAAAATAAACTTCTCTTTAACTTAAGTCCACTTTACAGAAACCGAAAATAGTGTGGACTCAGTGACGAGTCGACTAACAGCTCTTTCTTTCTTCCTTTCTTTTCCGCGACACGACCGTCATGGTCTTAATTCACAGTCAAAATGAATGCGCGACAGTGAAAAAGAAATTGCATCAATCGTCTCTAAATGGTCAATGGAAGTCTGTACAACGAGAAGAACTAGTTTACAAGCTGACAGGTAGGAAGAAAGATCCCGTTCATCAGGATGTTGTTCTGCGATCACTCTCACCTTCATCGTATCGAGATCGGCATTTAATCTCGATTCTCCGAAGGTGTGGGACGAAAAAATTTCACGAAATGTACAGAAAATTGTTAATTATCCTAAATTTCAGTCTCCTAATGTACAACGGAACCAGCGGTGAGAATATTTCCTTCTGCTTGAATAACATTTTATTTAATTTAATTTCATGGTATTTCTCGACAGATATGATGTCGTACATGGCTATGCTGGCACAAAGACCGGCAAGAATAGTCGGAGGGAAGGATGCCGAGAAAGGACTGCATCCTTGGCAAGTTTCCGTGCATTGGGGCGATCGAGAACGAAAGATACCTGCTAGACACATATGCGGTGGCAGTCTGTTGACTGCTGGTTGGATACTGACAGCTGGTCACTGCAAAACCCTCACTCCATCGAGAGGAGAATTCTTGATCTTAGCTGGTAAATATAAGTTAGGTGTTTTCGAGGATACCGAACAGAGCAGACTGGTGGACAAAGTTTTCGTTCATCCGGAATACGATGGGTGAGTCCTGTGATTTATAACACGAGGCTAGCAAATTTTTCTAGCGCTCGTAGGTGGCAAGAGGAACGAAAGGGTTAAGAATTAAATGAGAAGCGGTGTGTTTTAGAACCGTCGCACCGTATGATATTGCTCTGATGCAAGTGGAAAAACCATTCGATTTAAATCCATTCGTCTCCACGGTGTCCTTACCGTATCCTGGCTCCATTCCCACGGGAGACGTTATGCTCACCGGATGGGGTAGCATCGGAAGGACACGCGCTCCGGAAAAGCCGGAGAACCTGCAAGCAGCTTTATTACCGATAATTGATTACGACTTGTGTAAGAGTACGCTTGACAAAAGCTTGAAAGGAAAGGAGAAGAATCCTCTTCATTCGACAAACGTTTGCACCGGTCCTTTGGACGGAAGTCTGTCAGCTTGCAAGGTGCAATTAAATTTTTAATTATAGAATTTGTGCTGAAAAATTTTTTTCAATTCTAGGGCGACTCAGGAGGGCCATTAGTGACAAGAAACGGTTTTGGAGAAGCGGAAGTGGTAGGGATCGTATCCTGGGGACTATTTCCCTGCGGTGGAAAGAACGCACCTTCTGTATACACCAGAGTGTCCGCTTTCGTTACGTGGATCACCGTGATCATGTTGAATTATTCTTAATGAACCACACCAAAGAGATTGTTAATTGCTTATTTTGTTCAATAAATAGCGATTCGTTTATAATCACAAAGTTATATTGGTTACGACGAAGATATTTTTTATCTTTCATTTCGTTTCCGCCTGCTTACAAAAATATTAACGAGTCACTGATAATGATAAACTCGACAGAAGTATCAATGATTATTCGCGGAAGACGTGTCCGTTGCAACAGCGGAAAAGGTAAAATGATTCACGATTACTTGTGATAAAAACAAACAGCTATAATATTATAGATATAGGTGAATTCCATACTGGATAGGTGAATTTGAATCGTAAAATAGTCGGAAAGTTTCCGAAAATCTCGGCTTTTCATCTAAGATCTGTTCTTAAAATTTTAATAGATACATCGTTCATGGAATTGAACATGATCAGTACACAGCCTGCGGCAATAAGATAAACGGTATATGTACTTATCGATAAACTTTTGATACCAACATCCGCTAGGAGACTCGTATATAAGATCCAGCCGAGTGAAAACGTATCATACCATCGAAATGTCGTCGAAACTGATTGTCTTTATTGCCTTCCTTGCCGTAATTCGCTGTGGTAAGTCTATTATTAATAGTACTCCTTCCTCTATTAGTCCTGTTCCTTTATATTTCTCTAACTAATCAAATTCCATTCTTTTTTCTAAAGAAGGGAAACCCTACCACGGTTATTCTTTACCATTTTACCCCTAATATATCAATGAAGCAACGGAAGCACCAGTAAACTCTACCCCATGGCAAGCCTTTCTTCAATGGAGTCACTCTTCTTACACTCACTTCTGTAGCGGAGCGATTATCTACACTCAATGGATCCTGACTTCAGCACACTGTGCTATGATTGTTCCATCCTACGGTGACTTTGTGGTTAAGGTAGGAAAGTATAACTTGCAAATCAAGTGACGAAATCAATACGTATTCGTACGCAGGATAGGTATTGATTTGTATTTATACAACGTGTAATTACAACGTTTTGCAAGCCTCTGTCGGTCCCAACACCGACGACAGACATATGGTTCCAGGTATGGATAACCCATTGAAAAATAGGTCGAAGTCCCTAAGTGTAATGACCCTGACACGCGTTTCACCTCCACCAAGAACCCGATGCTAACATATATGCACAAGTTGCGTTATATGAAATATACAATATATCTTTATTTTTCAAGTGTGCTATCATTTTGTCTGTGTCGGATTATGTTTCCCTTCCAACTGAGAGCATCCATTGAACTGAAGCCAGTCTATGTTCTATTTACATATTTACAGAAGGTACCTTTTATCTATTACACAAAGTTTTCACGCCAGCACAATTTTAACAGGTGCGATTAAAAATAACACACGTGTGCTATCGTATATGCTAGTATATAAGATCCAACCGAGTGAAGACGTATCATACCATCGAAATGTTGTCGAAACTGATTGTCTTTATTGCCTTTCTTGCGGTAGTTAGCTGTGGTAAGTCTATTATTAATAGTATTCTTTTTTCTATTAATCCTGTTCCTCTATACTTTTTTAAACTAATCAAATTGCATTCTTTTTTCTAAAGAAGGGAAACCATACCGCGGTTATCCTTTACCATTTTATCCCAAATATACCAATGAAGCAACGGAAGTTCCAATAAAGTCTGTCCCATGGCAAGCCTCCCTTCAATGGGGTTACACTGATCACACTCACTTCTGTAGCGGAGCTATTATCAGCGAGCGATGGATCCTCACGTCAGCACACTGTGCTTTGATGGTTCCACCCTACGGTGACTTTGTGGTTAAGGTAGGAAAGCATAACTTGCAAATCAAGGAACGCACTGAACAAACGGTCTTTGTTGAAAAATCTATCATACAGAGGAATTATGATGGGTAAGTACACTTTTATCTTTATCGCAATCTTCTATGAATAGTATTGATAATCGAATAAACAAGATAACATTATTCTTTCTTCAGCCTTTATTTTATCAATTTATAATTGACACACCGATTTTGCAATTTTAGAGAAGCGGGTCCCTATGACATCGCCTTGCTGAAACTGTCCAAATCATTGAAGTACACCGATTCGGTCAATAGTGTCGATCTACCGGAATCAGGAAACGTATCGAACGGAGCTGCTGTTACCTTAACAGGCTGGGGATCGTCTTGGAGAACATACGCTCCAATGATGCCTGACAAACTTCAACTCCTGAAACTAAATACGATAGACATAGACACTTGTAACAAATCTGTAATACAGCTTACAGGTTCATCTTCCTTATCTGTCAACTCCATTTGTACTGGTCCCCGCAGTAGTGGTTTCGCCACGTGTAATGTAAGGAATCAAATTTTTATTTAAACTAATTTGAATGATTTTGTTTGACATCGTGACTGTGGTTTTAGGGTGACCCTGGCAGTCCATTGGTCGTGAGTAACGGTACCAATTATGAACTGATCGGAATCGCTTCCTGGGGAATCGTTCCGTGTGGTACGATCGGTGCACCAACGATCTACACGGAAGTATATCCTTATATTGATTGGATTATTAATATTATGGAGTATGCATGACACTACATTGCCGATTGGCATAATAATATTGCTAGAATGATGTCTCAGTTAGTCAACGGCTGCTGCTCGAGCACCATGTTAGCGATATACATATATACAATAGAAATAAATCACACGATATAATAAACAATAAAAAATAAGGAAATTATTGTTAATTGTTTATTCTGTTTAATAAATAGACGCTCTTACTTATCAGCTAATAATTACAGTGCACGAATTCGTACGTACAATATCAGGATAGGTATTGATTTGTATTTATACAACGAGTAATTACAATAATTTGCAAGCCTCTGTGACGATCATTACCGCGGCCAATGCTTCCTTCGCTGTTGGGACGATGTAACGAGCTGGTAAAACGAAACCATGCTTTCCAGTGTCTCTTAGCTCGATCGTGTAAGCGTATTTCATCTTTAGAATCGCCTTTGCCCAGTCGTCGGAACCACCGGAAGCCGCATACAGAGTAGTAGCGCTGTTTCCGACCGTGTACTCGCTGTTGGCCCCACCTGCTTTCTTCATCGCCGCGGCTACCTGTCTTCCAACCCTTTCCAGATCCGCATAATCCGGTGGGACGCGTTTGTCGTAACCCCATGGGTATAGAATATACTGACCGTAACTGTGAAACGTCAGGTACGCCTGGAGAGCAAAAGTAACGAGAGAATTCATTTTAACTAATTCGTCGTTGAGAGAAAGAATATAACTGACTTTGAAATTAGCAGCGCTAGCCTCGAAGAAATTCCGAATGGCGTTCGTTTCCGGTTCGGAGAACGGCCCGGAACCTGCGTAGATTTCGCGGCAGGGGTCTTTGCTGGTTCCCATACCACCCCAGCGATAACCGAAGTTTCTGTTCAGATCAATTCCGGTGCACATGCTACCTACAGGACGTTTCCTGTTCTTTCGCCATAAACGATCCCTCGTGAACGTGTATTCGTATCTGTAAATATATAATTATGGTACCGTTTCGTTTGAAAGCTGGTATCATTGAAAACGTACCCATCAGGATTCGCTACAGGGAGGATATAGTAATCAGCCTCTAAATCTTCACTGTTTTCAACCAGATGGTTGATGATGTAAGTTACCGCAGCTGGGGAGATCCATTCTCGAGCGTGGATTCCCCCATCGATCCATAATGCATGCTCATTGGGCTTCCCATTGCTGATTCTCAAAACCTAAATTACAAATAAATTTTTATAGCTTGCAGGATGTTTACAACATGGGTTCCTGTGGAGCAATAAATACCTTAAGAGGTCGTCCCTCGACAGAATTTCCAATACTGACGACAGAACAGACGTCTGGAAAAGTCTCAGCCAGGTAATCAAGGTATCCATGGATGTCTTCGAGGCGATGGTAACTGGTCCACTCCATTCGATGACCTGACAGGTATACCTTCAAGATTATTCAATGGTTGCACGTTCGATGTCCTTAAACGATATGTGAGAACATTCCGCTCCGTGGATTCAGATACGAATTGACACTGAATTTGTATTCGATCAAATGGATCGATCGAGAGGATTTTAAAAGAAATTTGTAAAGATGAGTCTGAATCGACGAAGCGGATTGTGCGTGCAAGAAGCTCACCCCTAAAGTGCCAACCACCGGGTACGCTAGCTACAGGATAACGAACAGGACGAGGAGGACGTGGATATCTACCTCGCACCCTGACTCCCTGCCACCAAGCGTAACGAGCTAGAAAATTACTTAGAAGCTTAATATTGATATGGTTAGTTGAACTCGTAGCCAGAAATTTTAATTAAATGGATAGATTCTTTACGGAAATTCATATGGGCAGAGAAAGGAAATACCTAAGACGTTTTCAAACAATTAGAAAGAGAAAGTTCTATACTAATTAATTTTATGCGATAACTAATGAGCATGAATTCTTCTCTGAGAATAACAATTCTATCAGGTCTATCAAAGATCGCTCTTTGTTTACGATTCTCCACTGGACATCCCGATTTCTCGAACAACTTTCCAGTCGGGCCAATTGCCAGCTCTTTGACGATTTACTGGAAACGGGTTAACGGGATCGAAACAACGCGGTTATTCGTGAAAACTACGTGTGCTGCAGATGCTCGCACACCATCACACACGAGCACATATAACTGTTAATGTTAATCAGCATTGTCGATGAACCGGAACTGGGTTAGCAGGTTGACTCACGACGAGGACGGTAACCTCGGTTTGTACGATCATACCTTTCCATTGAAAAATAGCTAGCAGCTAATGATTCCGAGTTATAGTTTGAAGTTTCATTGATTTATTATCGCCAGAATATGGGTACAGGTATTATAACGTCATTAACTCGTTAATTACTATAATTGGAAATGACTGCGTGTGGTATGACACACTTTAATGAGAATTAACATTTTTAGGGAAATTTCAGATATTTCCTTTTTCATGTAAAATGAAACATCATTTAATTAACTTCAGTTTCTAATTAAGGCACATTAATCAAAATAAAAATAGGTACATTTCATTATTTTTAATTTTGCAATGTACAAATATGTACCTCTAACGTGGAGTTTTATTAAAAATTGAAACGTTAGTTTTTTAATGATTAATTTACACCGAACGTCTAATGGTCAAGATGAATGCTTATCATGATCACTTTCGAATTCGCACGTGTCTACTACCATTCGTTCCCGTCAGCTTTCTTCGCTACGTGATTAGACTGCACAACAGCGATTAAACACGTCATTGCCATTTGTGTCAGTGGAACAGGTAAAATGACAAGCGAAACATCTTTTCACTGTCGAACAAATAGTCGTTTAATGTCTTTTTACCATGAGCCCCAGTACTTTCTGCAAAGTACAGCGATGAAGAGGAAACATTAAGCCCTCCAAGAAAGAGTATATGTATAAAGCAAAATGAAATTTACATTAGATCGTTTGAAATAATTTTGATGATGTATAAAAAAATAAGAGATTCTCCAAACCTCTACGACCTTCCAGTTCCTCCATCTCTTCTTCGGAAAGCGATGGATTTTCTTCGTCTATCGCTTTCTGCACATCTTCAATTACCACTTGGAATTGTAGATCCTTTTGTTGCAAATAACGAGCCACTCTCGGAATTTCTTCTGAACGAATCATCACATCTACTCCTGTTTCGTTGCTAGCCCATAACGAGAGCACTGTATTAAGAAACGATAATTAATCTGCAGAATTTGAAGAATTCATTAATTTAGATACAAAGATAAGAGAAAACTTCTGTATTTCGAAAACGATATCGAATTGATAAAAAAATTCTTCTGCAATTATCGAAGATAAAAATGAAAGATTAAAAGATTTACGAACATCCAGCTTCTTGAAAGTCCATCGTCACATTCGACACCAGGTCCTTTTGACCTTCGGAGGCCTGCACCCTCCACACCTGTGCTCCCTCGTAATTCACCTTGGCATCCCTAACTCTAACCGCCCTTTGAATTGTCTGCGAGTTCTCGGCGACAGGCTCGTCCACGATCTCGATCCAATCCGGTATCACGAATTCTCGTCTTTGCCGATCGATCACAGCCGCCTCGACGACGAGAACAGCGGCGAGAAGAAACGTAAACGTGAACCACGCACCACGCGACCTACTGCTCTTCTCCATCGCGAACAACTATCCTTGGACCGTCGATGGTCCCACCTTTTATAATATTCGACCTGGTCGACGATCGGGAATAACGGTACCTGACGAGCGAGCCTCGGTACCTCTTCGATCGCAGCTCGATCGAATTGCCAGCCTCGAGGATCCTTGACCTAACGAGGATTTGCTTCACATCCACGCGAGATGCCCCCTTTTTTAAAATTTAATTTAATTTAAAATTTTGGTAAATGAAAGGATTTTTATATTTCGATACGAGCTAATTCTGAGATAACCGATCCTAATTTTGAATATTTGAGGATAAAAATAAATTAAAAATGAATTATTGTAATTTAGAGATAGACACTCTTAGGTGGTCTACTTTTAAGCGTCAGTCAATTTTCTTAGAATTAAAATATGTCGACGCAAAATAGCGGCAAAACGCTTGAAACGGTACACGTTCCGCGCAAGCGTTTGGAGCGTTCATTTGGTTTCCGCGCGGTGCTTCTGATCGCATTTGATAGACGTCGTTCGACTCGTAATCGATGAAGTTAAAACTTGGAAATTCGGAGTATTCTGTGTCCAATCGTAAAATCATGAAGATCCTGTTGGCGATAGCCTGTTTGGTTGCACTAGCTTCAACTTTAGAGGTACCGTTTCCTGATTAATATCAAGAACATTACATTATGAAAAACGCGTTTGCGTTTTTCTGCATACCGTTAGGTCGTATGCATCGAGGAATTTGGTGCAAGAGTTCGTCGTGTGAACATTTTTAACGGGAAATAATGAGACATGAAATTTAAAAAATACTATTTCTATTTCTACAAAATTTAGAAAATGTTTGAATGATGGTAGAAATAACAGACGAGAAATGAGGTAAAAGTGCAGTGAAAGCCTGGTGCGTTGTTCTCTTGGACAGAGGATACATTTTCTGTGAATTGAAAGCAATTTTCAGTATCTGGTGAAACGTGGATAACGTATTGCCACATGAAATCGGATTAAAGAGGAATCGTGAGAAGAGAATCGGAGTATAGATCGGACGCGATCTATAGTTATATAGTGTACATAAGGTTTCCTTCCTTGTTACGTATCGTACATATATAACTTTCTGCGAACGCGTGAATACAATGTGTTTTACGATTGAGAAAATTGATAAGACGCTATCTTTCCAATATTTAGAAACCAATTTAGCTATCTTAAACATTATCGATATAGGTATACTTTCTTCTAATGTTCGAAATAATATTCTAATTGATTAATATATTCTCCTAATACGTTTAATAGTAATTAGTAAATTCCACATAAATAGAATGCTTCATTAAGAATTTATTCATTTTCGGATCAGTTTAACCAAAGAGTGTTAAAATATCCGAACCATTAAACAATTACTCCTTTCTGTAACTTTAATTACAATCTAAATCACCTTATAATTTATAGAACAAAAGCAAATTTATCTAATATTATTGATTTTTATTTTAGAACGATAATCTGACCGTCACCGATCAAGTCTACTTCGACATTATGATAGACGACCATCCAGCTGGTCGAATCGTAATTGGTTTATTCGGTGAAACTGTACCAAAGACTGTTAAGAATTTTCTTGTTTTATCGACAACTGGAGTAGCAGGAAAAACGTATAAGGGAAGTATATTTCATCGTGTAATTAAGAAGTTCATGGTACAAGGTAATTAAACAAGCTATCTTGTTAAATTCGAACTTGCTCAACAAGCCATTAATGATTTCCAGGTGGAGATATAGAAAATGATGATGGGACTGGATCGATTAGTATCTATGGAAAATATTTTGAGGATGAGAATTTTGAACTTGGACACAATGGTCCCCTGTATGTGAGTATGGCGAATGCTGGAAAGGATACCAATGGTTGTCAATTCTTCATCACAACCATATCTACACCATGGTTAGACGGAAAACACACGGTGTTTGGAAAGGTGAAATAAGTGTTTTGTTTTAAATTAGAAAGTAATTTATAAGATAAGATTATTTTTTGCATAGGTTATTGACGGTGAACACGTGGTTTTTAAAATTGAACAAACTAGGACAAACGCGGATGATGTGCCGATTAAACCAGTGGTTATCTATGATAGTGGTTCTATTCCCACGCCTTCGCCTTTTAAAATAAACGATCACGTTTATAAGTGAGTAAATGAAATTTTATCAAAACTTGGAAATTCATAGATAATACAATTGAAAACTATTGCAATTTGTTTATTGTAATTTTTTAGTTTTAAGGACAATAGTGTAGGTTTTCATTGATTAATTACATAAATGCAAATTTATATATTTTATAGTTTTTTTATATTTTATATAAAATTTACAGTATCTGGGCATGGATAAAAGCAACATCGATACCATTAGGTTTCAGCTTCTCGATCCTTGGCTTTTTCCATTACATGTTGAAGCAGTTGGATATAACGGAGATATAAATACTTTCCTGAAATTTTAGCAAAGGATTTATTTTACAATAACCCTTGAAAATTTTATGGCAAACGATAGACATAAACACCTAGGCCATAAATATAAAGATTTAACAGTAAAACACAAACAAGGGAATTTAATAAATGATTTAGTAAGTGTTGTAAAATATCAAAGTTTAAATATATATAAATTTATTTTAAGTACTAAGTTATATTTTTAATTAATATAACGTTAAAACAAATAATTTTCAAGAGATTTTTAGAGTTGTACCCCATATAATAGGTGTAGTGACAGTGAGTGTGCGCACGCACTCTATTGTTTACAACCGCGGCTGAGGTTGCGATGAGCCTGCGCCGCTTCAGTTCGTCTTCAACGATTCATCGAGCATCACCTGGGTGCTAATCGGTGTACCGCAATTTATTTCATCATTATTCTTTAAAATTTTATTATTTTCTTGTATTAAACAATTGTTTTAACAATTAACATTTATTATTTCAGTATATTTGGATATGGTGGTATAATCTTTTTTAATATATTAATGTTTTTATATCTTTTTATTGAAATGCAATTTATCGTGATAGAATTTTAAATTATTTTCTTAAAATTTGTTTAATTAATAATCACATATATTTTATTATCTCTTATTATTAAATGAATATTGTGTATATTTTACTTACATTTACACTATTATTTGTCATGATTTATTGTTTCAATATTTATTACTTATTAGTATAAGACATTCTTAAACGAATTTTTCTATTTCAGTACCGTGTTTATGAAGTAATTATATATCAATATTATTAATTAATATTTACTTTAAGTTCGTAACCGATATTATATACCGAATCATTCACTATCGTACTTAGATAGTCGGGCTTTCTCATCGTATTATAAGTGAACCTTCAACAACAAACACCCCAAATCCTTCCTTCTATTCCTAATGGTTCATCCGAACTAGTCATCTCCAAACCTTGACCTCATGACCTCATCCCTTACCGACCACTGGACTCACAATAACTCCCACCTTCCTGTTTTTTCGATTTTATAAAATACTAGATTCTACTTTCATCACGACGAATATTGTATTAAAAACTTCGCTTGTATTTCACGTTGTGATCGAAATAAATAAATATCGCGAGTTGAATACAACACCAACTATCCTTGGTGTGAACTGAGAAATCAGCATCATTTACGATATCGTTAATTATTTTATCTTAAATGTTCTGAGGTTCGTTGACCACCTCCAAACTTGATAAATTCATTTTATTTTCGTAACATATAACGAGCAAATACGTATAAAAATTTGTAGGAACATTCTCTTTACCGATCATCATTCAAATTGAAATATATATTAGTAGAAATATTTAGCAAATCTTAAACGCATTTAAGTACTTAAAACTTTATAAAACTACGTATGAACATACTAAATTTTACACTATTTTCTCGTTTCAATTAACACACAGAAACTTTAACGAAAAATGCAGTGATCAGTTAGTTATCCTCAGGACACCTGGCGTCTTGAATCTCCTGCAAATAGAAAACAAGATTCATCTTAATCCATTTCATTTTCTTTTTATTTTTACAGCAAAAGTAAATAATACAGAATTTTACCCTATTTCTCTTCTCTCCATATTTCGACCAAAAGGTGACTTTACACGTTGTTCTTTGACCAGTTTGCTTATTGAAAACTGAACACGAGGAGAATGGAGGCGAGTACAGGTGCAGCGATACTGCAGGGTTTACTGCACTTGGATTCTCGACTCGATGCAGTCCCAGGGAATCTGTACAAAAATTAATGAGGTACAGTAAAACATTCATTACCTTCCACACTAGAAAATTTAAGTATGCAAATAAGTAAATTTTTTAATACAAACTTATTTTTTTTTACCCAATTAGATGAAGTACCATATCAATTTTTTTTCGACAGATTTAAACATTTCAAAATGCTGAGATACTCTATTATCGTTGTTTTTATGTTTCGTTTTATCGTCTCAAGGCATTATGTATATTATTGAAAGTGTGATTCTTTATTAATTTACTTTCACTCGTATCATTCCCAAGTTTTTTAAATTATTTTACATTTAATTGGCAATTAGTAACATTTATTTTATCTTATGATGCTTCTGATGCGTAGAATTTATATTAAATCGCGCGTAATGTTCAAATTAAATAAAAACTGGTTAGGTTAACAATCGTACCATTAATGTAACATATTTCATTTAGTCCGAGAGTGTTTCTTTCTAATTCTCGAAGTTCTTCCGGTTCCTCCGTGTCAAAATTCTCCTTACATTTCTTGGGCCACTCATATCTGGTCTATAAAATAAAAAAGAATATTAACAAATATATTCATTTTAAATATAAAAAAATTTATCATACCTCACAAAGTTCACCCTGTAGAATTTTCATGACACAATGTGCATCGGCATGGTCGTGTATGGCTGACCCATGTCCTTCTCCCCAACACAGAACCATCAGATTGAACCTTCCGTTTCCTTCGTCGACCAAGTTTCTCGTGTACCTGCATAAAACGACTAGTTTAACTCACTTTTTATGGATTTCTTCCTTGACGTGAATCACGCTCGACATGTCACAAGGATAATTACTGGTTACGGAGAGGCAATTAACCGGTTTTATTGTTACAGATTTTATCGAGACGTGAGATACTTTCGATCGCTGAAGTGTCACGTGTCAAAGAACCGATATTCCGAATCAAGTGTAAAGTTTAGAGAAGGGGGACATACGTGGAAAGTATATGTAACCAACCGTTCACCGAACATACACCATCGATTTACGTGCAATACACATAAATCTTTCAGTGTTCCGCATACCTGGGTTGAACTTTTTCGAACACAGTGGTAAAAAAAATACTAAATTGTTTAAGAATAATTAATTCAATTTGGTCTAATTAAATTATACCACAATGATTTCTTACAACATTAACCCATTGACCTTAGAAAAATGAAGGGTGATGGGGTGAAAGACTAGTATCCCCTAATTACAAAATAACTTCATATGATTTTAATTATTCCTTGTTTTATATTTAATATAACATGTTCTATTTCGTACCGCAGTATTTATACTTTCGCGTGTCATGTAGAAATCGGTCGTATTAGCAATTGCGTGTCATAATCCTAATAAACAACATTCTCGTTATTATCTTAATGATTGGCGAAGCAATTTTTGTTTCAGATTTGCAATCGCGTTTCGTACATTTGCGGGGGAAGTTGCTTTCCACGAATATAGATATTTAGAAAAATTTCGTAATCTACGTTGCAAAGTGATCAATTACATCAGCCATTGTAGTGTGGAGAATAATTGTAACACGAATAAAACAAAGGATTGTACTAATTGCTATATTTCGAATTATCTTAACGAAACACATTAGAATTATCAGACTAGTTACTAGTCTTTGTCGAACAATTCTGGAATCCTCCGTCTTATCGTTTTCACATTCATACACGAATAGTTGGCTTTCTAACGTTCTTATTTCGTATTAACGAACAATAAATCTGTTCTTTACAAGCGTGTTATTCCCCCGCCGATAAACGTGTTGATGTTTTCAATAATTATTAATCGTTAATTATTTACATTTTTTCATCAGGTCATTTACTTTGTTCGCGTATCAACATATAACCGGACTGTTAAGTACCTCGTTATAGGAGATTGATTAGCTTCACGAATGAAACAGAAAATCTACGAAACCGTCAGGGTTAGAGAAACAGTAACGAGCGATAACCTATCATGAACTTCGTCATATTAATTTTATTTCACAAGTCCGACGTAGTTCTGTTTGTACGCGAAACGATAAAATATTTACCCGAGAAGTTCGATTGTTCGCGAACGTAACAAGTACAGAAACGTTGTTTACAATGGAAAACAAGTTAAGTTGCAAGAATTATTGACGAGCTTTTGTTAAAACGTATGGGGATTTTTACCGAGATTCAGAAGAATCACTTTTGATAAATCTGATTTATTTTTCATTAGGCAATAGTTAAATAAATAAGATAGCTGTTATTTTCGACCCTTTATACTCTTAAATTTAAATAATTGAAGGTGTCAATTAAAAAAATGGGAACGAAGTAATCCCAGGATTTCATCTAAGGAACTAAATTTCAAAATCCATAAAAGGGGTTGAAATATTTCTATTTTACCTATATCTATCAAACTTGGCGTATTTTTTCCATTCCAAGGGGTTGCTCCTGTAACACGCCATCAAATCTTGCACATGGTCAATATTAACATGGTCAGTCTTGAAAGCTTCGTGCAGAGCTTCGATAAGTTCTCGAAGAGTTAGAGAAACCTTTCCTTGTACAGGGTTCTTCTCGTTCAAGAGTTTTTCACGGGAAACACGGAACAATCTCGGATCTTCACTGTAAACTTGCATCTTTCCCCTCGTTCCTTCAAACTAAGAGAATCAATTTTTGGTCACACGCGAAAATTCGACAATGCGAATCTCAATTTGCGTAGAAAGTAACAATGCGGTGCAAACGATTCTTGGAAAGAAACAAGAAGCAAAGAACTGAGAGCTGTTTGAAAGCGAAAGGAAACGAAGAATGCGTTTAACGATGAAAGAACACGTTGCCGGTCTACAGTTCGTAACGATCTAGTAAAACACGGGAGACAGCGTCTCTTATGAAGCCTAAGATATCCCCTACTCCTCATGGCATCGAGCAACTTCAAATATTTAGTGCATTCGGTAAAAAATATTTATTTAAACAACCGAGTGATACAATAAAACTTGCGCTGTTATATAATTCATTAACTAATGATTTATGGGAGGGCACAGCGAAGTTCCTTTAAATCTTATATGGACGGAATAATTAACCCTTGGAAGACGAAGTGTTAAGACAGCAATAATATAAATCTTATTTTTATTTTAAAAATTTTAGATTATTGCTTTAAATATTGACTTGCAATGAGCAAATATCCATATATATTTCGTAGGTCCTAGGTCACAGTTGACCCATGGTCCATAGTTCGAAAATCAATATATTTTAATTATAGGATATCCTTTATCCCTAATGATTTCAAACAGGAAAGGTTTTGTGACAGAAAGTTCTCGTTATTTTATATTTTCTTATAATCAATATTAGAATTTGTTATCCCAATTTATCTTAGTTTCAAATTATTTGCACTGTTCCGTCATTTTTTCCGAAACTCGTGACATTAATTTGTTTTTAATTCCACTACCTTCGACCGGAATAATTTCGGGTTTCTTATCACGCACGCGTATGCCTTTCATTTTAATTTACAGCTGTTATATGATTCAAAAAACAACATACCTACCATTGTGTACAGCAACTGCTGTTATTTTTTGATATAAAAAACGATACGAGATAAACGCATACCACCTTCGAACAGTTAAATATTTGCTTCGATGATATCGCTACGATTCACATAATCAATTTTGTAATATTTCGCACGTACATTCTGATTAACGTAATAGCGAAGAAATATGTCAATGGAATGGGGAAAGATTTGAAAGGAAGCTGAATGAAACTAGACTTCTATCTATTCTTAAATGAAACACAAAGTGTTTTAATCTTAAATTAAGGGAACATTATCAAAATTACATAATTTGTAAAATCAATATTACTTGAATGCCTTTGATGACTAAAATCTTTAGAATCATATTCAAGAACGCGTTCAATAAACACGGTAAATAGTTTTAATTCATGGAAAATCATGGTAATATTCCTACTTTTTTATCATTTACAAATCATCATTAATTGATCTCAGATCCCGATTACCAGATCATTTCCTTATAATACGTGTTGTGGGGTTAAATAATCGCATACAAAAATAAAAACAAAATAACAGCTTATCAATCTTTCTTTTGTTTATCATCAAAGCTATAAAATCCCTCAGCTATCGTGTCAAGATCTCATTGTCAGTTACTAGATCGTTTCGACGATATACGAATGTGTTCTTCTGTTAAATAATCACAGGTGACTTTCTACCGCACACAAATTATCTTTTCGTCATTGTTCTTTGGTTTCGTGGATGTTTTTCCACGCAGTGCCTTTTCCTTCTCTTTCGTGCGACAAGGTGAATCATTACACCTGCACGGCCTCGGTTTGTTGCATTCTCCGGTCGCAATGCAGCTGCGGAAAAAAGAACAAATGGGAGAAAAAGTCAACTGGAAGTACTTGATTTAACTTTAGAGCAATTAAAACGTACTTAGATCGCCATTAATAACCGCCTTCATATTTTTTTTATTAATCTTTAAATTTGTTTATATCCTTTATCCATGCATTTCTATTTGATACGTGATTACTTACATGCAAGGCGAGCTTTTACAATAATAACACTTTGCTCTTGGTTTCTTCTGATTCGATTTAGACTTTTTGCATCTGCACGGTGTAGATTTGCACTCGCAACAGAGGGATACTATTATTTTTCTTGGTCTATCGCTTTTTTCCTTGCCCGTGTCACACTTGTAATTGCCCAGTGATTTAACCTTTGGCTTCTCCATGCATACTGCTACCAGCTTTCGTCTTGTTTTAGGACTGCAACAATATCGAATCGTATTGAATTATAACATTTACCGTCCAATAGCTTTTATCTTCTTCTTTCAACAAACTACTCTGAATAAATATTTATAATAAGATTGAAATTTTTACATTTAATTTCAGAACATCAGAAATTGAACAAACTTTAAATTGATATGGTACAAGTGCAACTTTGCAATACTTTTATGTCATGAAATGCAGTTAGTAAATGCAGCGATCTAATATTTGAATTTGAAGACGAACTTTGCACTCGGTAATAATAAATAATGAAACCACCTGACACAGCATTTTATCTTTCCCTCGTTAGGATTGCAGCAACAGGGAATCTTCCTGCAACGAGTGCAGCACGAAGACTCGCTCAACTTCTGCTGCAGCTCGTCCATCACGTCAGAGAAGACGCTCAAACGTTGATAAGGAAGGTCATCGGAGTTGTGGTGTTTCAGCTTTTCATGGCACCAGCATTCATTGATAGAATCGGTTCGAAGAACGTCCAAGTTTCTCGAGAAGTAACGTCGTATCTCTTCCCTCGGTTTCCACGCGGTAACGTACATGGTGCGATCGTTATCGGCCTCGGTCAAGACCGGTCTTCCATCGCAAATCGTCTTCCGTTCCTCGCACCTGCACAGGTCCATCGACAGTTCGCAGTACGAGCATTTTCTCAACGGCGCTCTGCACGTACACGTTTCCCGAGGATTGTCGCAATATAGACAAAACATCGACCTCATGTGTCCGCAGGTGCTTCTGGTTTTGCAAATTGATTTGCACGAGCACTTGCTTCTCGGTTTGCAACAATTAGCGCAGGGCACATAGGTGGACCTGCAACTGTTTAATCAGGAAAATTATTTTGTTGATCAAAGATATTTTCGACTAACCATCAAATTTCATTTTCAGGGAAGGAGAAATGTACCTGCACTCGGCCCTTGGCCTACGACAATCCTCGCAGCAGAGCACCCTTCTGCACCCACACTCTGCCCAGTTCCTCTTATCGTAACAAGGAATCGAAGCACTGGTTTCCTGAGAATTCGGACAACGGAACTGTCTCTCTTTTTTCAAACAGCTCTTCGGATGATTTATACATTCATTAGTGCTCTGTGACATTGGTAAATAACATGTGCATCTGCTCTCATTACCCACGGTACAATTTTCATTAATATCTGTACACCTTATAAAGTTTGGATTCACACAGGTTGTATGGGGTTCTGATACGTGAATCTGCAAACATTGTTTCGATTCTTGATTTAATGACTTCCTTCGTACGCATTGGGCGCACACATTAGGTGCTTCAGAAGGTAGGTCAATTTTTATACATTTGTCTTCCATCACAGATTTTCGAGTTTCTGGTTTCTTTGTTTCTCGGTCATCGGGTTTCTGTCGAATTTCTGGGTCCTTTGCTGGTCTAGGTTCCCGAGACTCAGATACTTTTTCAGATTTTTCAGGATTTATCTGTTTCATTTCTTCAACTTTAGTATCTTTAATTGAAGGAGGAGAAGGTTTGTTATTAACCATCGTGGTCGATAATTTTGCCTTTTCTTCCTTTTCTTTAATATCAGAAGTTTCCTCTTTCATATTTTTTTTTTCTTCTTCAATCTTTATTGATTCAACAGGCTTGGAATCAGCATCATTTTCAGAAATCTTCTGTGAAATGTTTGTTTCATGCTTATTCTTTTTCCCTTTCATCATTTTATGAAAGAATTTTTCTTTCTCTTTCGTGTCTTTAGAATCTTTGGGTAACCGATCGCCATCAACTCTTGCTTTTTTGTTGGCGCTGCCCTTCGTATCTTCACCGACCTTATCTTCCTCCTTAGATTTTCTTTCTGGACTTTCCTTTTTCTCGAGAACTTTTCTGAAACTCTTATAGAGCATGCTACTCCTCACTTTTTCCTGGAAGGACTTCCTGGCACCTTTATCTTCTTCATTCTCTTTAAGTTCCTGCGTTTTGTCTTCCGGTTTCTGTGAAAGGGTCTGTTCTTTTTCAATCTCTGATTTTTTTATAAATTTATGCTGCTCCTTCAGGTTGAATCGTTTTAAAAATGCTGGCTCAGCTTTCGTTTGAGAATTATTTGCATTGTTACTCGACGGATTCATTTTATTTTCTATTGCATTTGGTTTTGTCATTGGAGCTTGATTAGTATTAGTTTGATCAATAGTTTGCGCAGCTAGCTTATTCTGCTGCTTTAAAATATTTTTTAGCATCAAAGCTTCGGGTCTTATCAATTTTCGAGGCGTCGATGGAGGAGCTGGCACTTTCTCTAAATTTTCTTTCTTCTCTTCCTCTGTTTCTTCATCAATTTGTTCACTTTCCTTTTCTTTCTCTTTCCCAGCACTTTTTTTGGTACACGCTACAAATTTTTCTACAGGTTCTTCTAAACTCTTAGAAGCATCTCGACAAACGCTTACCGGATCTTCCACTGATTTCTTATAAGTTTCAACATCCATACACACATCCTCCTCTTCTTCTTCAGCAATACAAGCGCAGGTTGACAATGGCTGAACAAAATTCTCTTTTTCCATCGCCCTTCGTCTCTTTCCACCACAACTGCACCGTCTATCACCAATGGGTTCCCGATTTTGTTTACGACATCTGCAAGCCTTCGGGAACTTCCTTCCCTCTTTCAATTTATTATAATTACTGTAGTCAAATTCAGGCTTTTTATCACACAACACGATTCCTCGTTGTCGATCCAGAGAGGTGTAATCATCGTTTCGACTGCTGCAGATTGATTTCGACGACCATTCATCGGTGTCTGATTTCGAATTAATTTTCGAAGGATAAATCGTGGAACAAGGCTTTTCTATGCTATCACACACGACGTACTTCGATCTTCTGAAAAATTCATCCGATCCATTTATCGTTGCATCGCTGTTGCTACTGTCCTTGCATTCGCATTCGGTTAAAGTAGACTCTGTATCCTTGCACACAAGGAAATCGTTACTTTCTTCTCCTATCACGATGTTAGAATCTGTGGATTTCGAAACGAGGCTGGATATGTTGCTGTTGTCGCTACTTTCCTCTTTTTGCGGAAGAAGATCCAATGATTTTTGTTCTTTGAATTTCCTGCGCTTGTTTCGAATGCAGGTCACAAGTTTACTCGAACATATCTTCGATTGGTCCGTGGTTGTTTCCGAACTCGATTCTGTGCACGGCTGCTCAGGTTTTTTGGATATGCATGGCTATAAATGAATATCATTATTTTAGCAAATTAAATATTATTATCTGTGATGGGAAGCTTGGAAGCGATGACACACCAGATGCGTCCTGAGTTACCTGTGTATTTTCGTTGGTTTCCGAGCAGATATAGATATTCACGTTTCCGGTCATCCTACGATTATCGGTTCGACAATCGCTCGTCAATTTCGAGTGTTTTTTACTCCCAGTCCCTTCGATCTCAATGCCTTTCTTATCGTGACCTTTTATCTTTCCCTCGTGCATTCTTTTTGAACGAACAGCATGGTGCTTCTCCCGGAAGTAACTCGGTTTTAAACCACTTTTGGGAGACCTTCGACGCGATCTATACTCGTATTTACCTTTTGTATTACATACTAATTTGTCATCTTTCAATTGTTTATTCTGTCCCTTTCCATCGTCCTGTTTTTCAAAAATATACCATTATACCTTAAAACTATCTTTCGGAGTAAAAATGAAGATTTTACGAAAGTGTTTAAGTATCTTGGATACTTGCATCTTAAATACCATTCTACATTGCTTCACGATCGTTTGCATCGCTTCCTTGATCGAACTATTGATCATTTCCGTCAATTTATCCTGGCCAATTTTATCTGTCACGTCACTTGGTTTCTTAAAAGTATCGATTCTATCCTTCACACATGTATCTGAGTTACATTTTTCCTTAGTGCAAGTTTTTGAATCACAAACTTTATGTTCAAAGGAGTATCTTTTCTTATCATCCTCGATTTTATCCTCGATTTTATCCTCAATTTTATCTTTGATTTTATCCTCCTTCTCTTTGTCATTCTTCTGCAAGCCTTGTTTACCATTTTTATCAGAATTTCCAGGTACCTTTTCATTCTCAGAGTGTGCAGTATTTAAATTTTTAGGATCAGTGTACACCGACGCGTCTATTGACAGAGGAGGAGGAAAACTAGTCGCCTTTACATCGTGAAAGGGGTAAACTACATTTGCTTTGTTAATTTTTGTAGCTTCTGTTTGCTGTTTTTCAGTTGGCGCATCTTTCTTCTTCTCCGGTGGATCCTGTTTCGGTTTTGATTTCTTGAAACTCAACAATTTTCCCAAACCCATTTTGCAAAAATTCAATCCTTTCGTTTTTTCTTTTTCCTTCTATCTACATCGAATTCAACGTCGTCTGTCCCGTTTTGAAAAATCTTTACGTGGGTGCTTGAATTATCTCTCGTTGTTGTCGACATCGCCGAAACTCGTGTAATTTGCTGTCGTTTCGAACGAAAGTGCATCGATCTCCTCTTATCGCGAACACATATTGCTAATTTTTCTTCCGGTACGCGTTCATTCTGTAGGTTAGATAAACGACTCCAAACAATCGACGATCTGCTTACGTCGATAAAAATGACGAAATATGATAAAATTAACTTCGTACTGACGCGTTGTCGAGGAGACCTCTTATCGAGTACGTTTACCTTCACTCATCGTGGTGACTCGTTATTATCTGTCGTTTCATCGGCGGATGTAGACCCATCAGATTTTTCTGTCTTCTCGCTGCAATCGCAAACAGATGATATCTCGATGAAAATTTCTGGATCAAACGAACACTCATCACACGTTTCACCCTTTTTTTTAAACGTCGAACGAGGAACAGCCTTTTGCTTGTGTTTTTCACACGGGACTGGCTGCAAGCAAATCATTGGGAAATTTATTATAGTTTATTAGTGATCGATACCCAATAAATAATTATCATACTATATCGAATAATACCAAATATATACAGGGTGTCCCGTAACAGGTGGTACAAGCTAGTAGGGGGTGATTCTACGTAAAAGATTGAATCGAAAAAATAGAATAAAATTTTTTCATATGACGCTTTATTTTCGAAAAAATAAGTTCGAGGGGCACCCTATATATTATAATTATTAAGGTACCTTGAAAGGTGCAATCATTCTTTTAGCAAATCTTTTCACAGCATCAGATCTTCTTTGACTTTTAGGTGGATATAATAGTTCTACCTGTTTACTTTTATCCGCTTTCTTAGATAAATGCATCAAAGGTATGGTATCTGATTTTTTGTAAGCCTTTTGACGAGAGGTTCTTTTTTGAAATTCACGTAACACGTTCTTGTAAGCTTGAGTCTCTTGATAAGGAAAAATATCTTTTTCCTTGGCTATCTTGCTCTTGAAATAAAATTGAATGAAACGAAAATTCAAATCTAAATTTTAAAAAATTCTAATTACTTACAGGTGTCAAATAATCGCATACAATGCTACGATTGGTCCTCGGAGCTTCCATTCTGGAACACGTGGAAATTGAACCTGGTGAACTTGCAATTTCACGTTCCCTAGCCTCTCTTTCTCGAATCAGTCTTATTCGATCGTGTCTTTTCAATTCTTCGATCAATTCTGGACTCTGATACATTGGCAAATATTTCTTTACCATAGGGATTTCAAACCCTTGCTCCGTTGATTCTGGATGGATCATTTTTCTGGGGTCTTGATGAGGGGACTCATAACTTCGTGGACCAAAATGACAAGGACTGAAATACAATTTTTTTGTTCTTTTAATTGAACCAATTTATTTCTTTTTAAATCCGTACCTTTCATACGTGCTGCAAGATTGCTCAGGATATCTTCTATATGTTCCCATTGTATGGGAATCGTAAGGAGAGTATGCGTTCCCATGTGATTCCCATTTTTCTGATTCCTGAAATCCTGAAAATGGCCTTCCTGATTTTCCAGAACAATATTCTTCTTTTTGATACTTCTGTGTTGGTTCTGGAGGTAGCTCTCTATCTTCGAACTGCGATCTATATTATTGAAAAAAAAATTACATTTTGTCTACAATTCTCCTATACTTAATTAATGAAAATTATTTTTACGCGTGGAATTCTTCATCTTCAGTTAACGTTGATTTTTCTGAGCAACTACATTTTCTTCTTTTTGAGCAACTATGTTTTCTTCTTTTTGAGCAACTACGTTTTTTTCTTTTTGAGGTATAAGGTTTAAGAAGGTCCTCTTCTTTGTATCTAATGAAAATTAATTATTGAAAGTTTTTTTAAAAAAAATCATGAAATATTTTGATAAGTCACCTCTTTCGATGTTTCTTCTTTTTGTCTTTTTTAATCAATTCCTGAGACGTCAATATTTTCTCAGGTACTTTAGACATTTTTCTAGATTCTTTTGTATCTGGAGCATCTGAAACTCTCTTAACATATTTGCTTTTCATATCCTTATCACGACTCTGCAACTTTGTTTGAGTAGACCTACTTCTGTCAGGTAAATCTGTAGATTTATCAACTTTTAATTTTGCAGCTTGCTTTGTCCCTTCTTTCACAACATCTTTTTCTAATTCCTTTTCTGTGGTCTTTTCAGTTTCTTCAACTTCTTCAGTCTTTTCAATTTCTTCAGGTTCTTCAATCTTTTCAATTTCTTCAGCTTCTTCAGTCTTCTCAATTTCTACAGCTTCTTCAGCTTTCTTCTCTGCATCTATTTTTTGCCTTACAGGTGCAGATCTTCCTTTCGATTTATAATTAACACCATATAATTCTAATCCTGCTAATGGATCATATACTGAACCACCGCCTCTATGTCTTGGAATCTCTATAATATTTTCTGTATCTTCTTCTGGGGGTGCAGAAATTATATTACTTTTCTGTTTAGTTCTCGTAGCTTTCGTTTCTTCAGTTTCTTCAGTTTCTTCAACTTCTCTTTCTATGTCTGCTTTCTGTTTCCTAGGTGCAGGTCTTTCTTTCGGTTTATAACTAACGCCATATAATTCTAAACCTGCTAATGGGTCATACGTCGAAGCAGGAATCTCTGCAACTTTTTCTGTATCTTCTTTTGGAGGTGCAGAAATTATTTTAGTCTTCGCAACTTTAGTTTTAACTTTCTTTTCTGGCTTTTTACTCAATCCTTTCCCTTCTTCTTTCTTGTCTTTCAAATCTACTGATTTCTTATATTCAGAGAAATCATCAGATTCATCAGGATATTTAATAGTATCCTTTGTATCATCAGATTCATCAGGATATTTAATAGTATCCTTTGTATCATCAGACTCATCAGGATATTTAATAGTACCCTTTGTATCATCAGCTTTCCTCGAAATGTCCACCTCATCCGTTTCATCAGTATAATCCATTTCACTTTCTGAAACAGTCATTGTACCTTCCGTTTCCGTTTCCTTGATATGTTTTTTAGTATCGTCAGTATGTTCTGATATGGTGGTCATTTCCAAAATTTCTCTGTCTCCAGTTGTGTCATACGTGATCTCAGACGTACAAGAACAAGGTCCCTAAAATTACATAAAACATATTCACTTATGATTTATTCATTTTTGATAATAGCTTACTTACTATTAATTCATCATCTTCTGTTATATTCCAATAATCTCTCTTCTTCACATCCGTAGATCCTTTGCTCGACAATTTATTGATATCATCTACTCGTCGGACGCATTTTCTTGCAGTTCGCGAATCCTCGGTCTCGTCTACTTCAAAATACGAAGTACTTCTCGCAGTAGACTCCAAATACCTATATCACCACACCTCCATATAAAATAATCACAATTAATAATGAAAATTAACGAAATTACCTAGGCAATCTTTTCGTAGTGAATCTCTTTTCACATGGATGTCTCAGATTTAAATTCTTCACTTCATCAGATTCATCTGTTGTTCTTTTAATTCTTCGTCTCGTTAGGTGTCTATCATCTCTGCTACTTAACAGAGTTTCCTGTTCATCGTCACAGGAAGTGGAAGAGGACCATGAATCCTTTGTCTTTCTACTTCTTCTGTACGATTGGACTGGCATTGATTGCTTTTTATGAAGCATGCTTACGATCCTGTTCATCAGAGATGGTCGTTTCCTTTGTAAACCTCTACATTTTTTATCATTCTATTAGAAGAAATGAAAATCAAAATTTACACGTGAAATATTGTAACTATTTCATTTTCTAATTTAAGTCTAATCCTTCTCTTTTTGGGAAAAAAGAATTTGAAGATTTTTCAGAGGTGAAATAACGTTGAAATTGAGGATGTCGAAGAATTAGAGAGGATTCAGAACAGTTCATACTTCTGCTTTACCAAGCCAGGGAATCCTCGCTACCGCGCTGACGATTTTATTTATACGACCTCGTTTCTCCTTATCCTTTCGATCCTTCGGAAGTAATTCTTCCGAGCTATCGTCCACTTCTATATGTATCACTTCTTCCTCGTCGACTTCCTCGGTCGACCATGATTCCGTGTCGGCGATCGAAGTTGACGAATCGGAATCTTTCTCGCGAGGTCTCCTCTTTTTCAATCTGGCACAAACCTTCCTACGTGCCCTCACCACGAAACCAGACGGGGAATCGCAGCTCGAACAAGTGTCTTTTATGAACGGTTCGTTGAATATCTGGAGAAGAGCTCACACGTGATAGATTTTCGAGATTAACAAGATTCTTTCAAACGTACTTGGATAGTCACGTCGTCTCTAATTTTCTGCGCTTCCAAATCTTTGAATGGCTCTCTGCATTTCTCAATCTCCGCTTCCTGAGGAGATTCGTCTTGATATGCTGAAATAAATAATTACCAAAGCTTCTAATTTTTCAGATACTATGTCAAATTCTTACTGTAACTGTAACTAGATTCAGAGCTTCGATCTACGTATTCTACGTATTTATCATCCGTCTGCTGAGCTACTTCTTTTTCCACTTTTTCTTCCCCCTTTGATAAATCTTCTTTCTTCACTTTTTCTTCTTCCTCAACCTCAACTTCCGTTCTTTCTTCTTCTGGCTCCACTGTTTGCTCCTCCGTTGGCTCCTCCGTTGGCTCCTCCGTCTGCTCCTCTTCCTCTTCTTCGATCACTGTTTCTTCTTCCTCCAATAATGGCTCCTCTTCTTCTTCCTCAGGCTTAGCTGGCTCTACTTTGATCACCGGCAATTGATCATCAGAAGAATCACTGTATTACACAAATCTGTTACCAGAAAATCATTCAACACTCGAAGATCTAATTAACCCACAATTCTTCACTCATGTCGGACAGGTCGCCATATTCCACTGGACTCTGACAAATAGTGCACATATTCTGCAAATCAGCGAAACACTGGGAACAATATAGACCGACGCAACCAGGAGTCGGGCACTTGATATGCAAATTATCATCCTGTTCCACAGCGCCGCATAGAAGACACATCCTTTGCTTCATAGGAAAGAGAACCCTCAGACACGGTAACGTTGCCCACAATCTCTCTTTCAGAGTCACTCTTTCGATTTTTTCTCCCTCGGCCAGACCGAACTTCCGGCGCAGTTGACGTCTGGCGAACTTCAGAAAGCTTCCCCTCGACCTGGTTTCATTCACGAGCCGATAATGAGCTTTCGAAATGAACGTGAAGCGGATACCAATACCTGATGATGTGATTGTACAACCAGGCTGCTCTTTGTTTAGCTCGGTCCGGATAATACTGACACATGACCACTTGTCTCAGTCGTAAACCGTACGGTTCTAAAAATGCCATCAGCCAACAGAATATAATCAGAGTAATGATTTGAGTATATTTGTCTAGGTCCGGTGTCACAGGAGCTGGAAGACACAACATCGTATCGATTTCTGAACCTTGTCCCTGCGGAGTGAAGGCTTTCACGATGCTTCTGTATAGGTCTGATAAATATCCATCTCCGGAAACGTGGATGGTCACCACGCTTGGTCGTTCAACCTATTTGATTATTTTTTATAAATAAATTATTCAAAGTGTTCTATTTAAATCAATCATGAAAGATAGAAATTGAACGATGAATTGAAAATTGGTATTACCTTACTTTGAAATCGTCCATAGAGTTGGATAGTCTTCAATACCCAATAAAGACTATAATCGATGATCATATAAGAGCCGAGTTTAACAGTGGCCAAACACAAGAACACTGCAGATCTTCCTAATTTAAGTCGTTCAGGTTTGATCAACATGACGGAGGATAGGGGTACGTATTTATTTCTTTCTCGAGGATTAAGTGGTAAGACAGTTTCCTTATCCTGTCCAGCTCTTATTAGATCAATAGTGCGTAGATCATCGGTTATGTATCGATTATCGAAACGTTCGCTAGTTAACCATTTGTAGCGATAACGCATCACCCTAGAATTATTTTTTATTTTATCGAAACTCGTGAAATTATTCTAGTACTTTTACCTAAGCAAAATGAAGAAAGTGAAGAAGGAGGTGACGAAACTCATCCAATCAAAGAATCCAAAAAGTGCATCCGTTCTGGATCTTACTTCTGTAGCGATACTAGTAGACACTTCCCCCACAGTTTTGCTTTGATTAGTCTCGAAGTGAAACGAATGAGAGAACTTCACTTTGACGTAGAACATTGCCTTCATGTGCATCGTGAATTTTTTAATTTCTACGAACGATAATATTTACAGTAGACCGTCAATAAATGATCAGAATAATGTTGATTCAGTTATCAGAAATAATGTTTACTGGTTCGTACAGCACCAACCACAGTGTCTGCTACGTAAGAGACTAGCATGCATATGAAATCCAATGGTTTAACTATGTAGCATAGGGTACTGACTATGTAAGTTATATTGCAAACGACACCAAAATAGGGTCCCAATTTCGCTTTGCAATCAGCCACTGCACCCTCGAATACCCTTTGACACCTGTCGAAAGGGGTGCCTAGTTTTTTGTTGCATATATTTATTACACTGCCCAGCCATTGGAATACGGAAGTGATTACTTTCACTGAAAGAGAAGAAGCTATTGTAAAATATAGTGGTAATTATTTAGAAAAATTAAGCTTACGTATACTGAGAACAAGTCTCTTAATCGCGACCAGTGTCTGCTTAATTTTCTTCACTACTACTTTCACTGATTTGATGACTTTCGAAATGGCATCTCGCAAAGCATAAAATGGCTGCTTTGCTAGATCGATCACTGTCTTCACTGCTTCTTTTAATTGTTCCTAAATAACATGCATTCTTAATTGCTGAATTATACTGGCAATTAACTGACAGCATACTTGTGCACAGGCTAATGATTCTGTGAGTACACTAGTGTTGTGCAAAGTGTTCTTCACTGGTCCAGTCAATGCTAAAATAAAAGCGTACGCCATCAGAGCTTGTCTTCCTCGTTTGGAAAAAAACTGTGGCAGCAAGAGTAACACGACGCATCTGTAAAATTTTTATAGATAAACTTTTAAACCGTGCACGAGGGTGTGCAAAATTGGCAAAAATGATAAGTGTGCTTACCGTATTCGATAAGAAAAAGCGAGGCCAATCGTGAGGATCACTCCTATTATCGTGCAAATTGTTGTCGCAGATGATAGCTTGAAATTTAATTGAAAAACGAAAAACACGAAGAACATGTAAGTGAGGAGTATCCCACTGATGAAACCAAAGAGACTCTTCGCTACGAAATTCTCCAAAGTGCCATCGGTACGAATTGCAATAATCTTTTTGTAAGACCAAGAATTCTTTGGTACCGAGAGGATTTTGTCGAAGAACTTTTTAACCTTTTTCTTCAAGCTGTCAATATCGTTGAAATATAGTCTAAGGATTTTATACATAAAAGAAGGTAGAATAAGTGGGTCAATTTTGAAGCTCACAAGAGTTTCTTTCGTCGGAATTTCTGTTTCAAAGTGTATTTAGGCTTGGCACCTTTTGAAATCTCAATCGATAAGAACTTTTCATCCTCGTATTTTACCCTAGCTTTTTCTAGCTTCCTGGCTTTCAGAAGTAATTGGAAAAATGCCATGATCAAAGTATCTGTCAGTAATATATCATACTGCTAACTATAACTGAAATTAATTTCTTTTTCGATCCAGTTTTGCATAATTTATTATAAGGCTAATATGTTACTGTAAATACTGCATTTTTCTATAACAGAGAAATTCTCTTTTTTCCATCGAATCGAATCAAATATCGATTTAGTTAATCATTGAAATTCATCGTGTATAAAATTTTATTTTTCCCGCGGTTTCTTTACTCGCTCGATAAAGTATCATTAGAGCAGATATGAAAAGAACAAAATAATAATAATATATATATATATTAAAAGTTGCAAATAGTTCATATCAAATTAAAATTTGATAGCTCGCAAATTTGTTTCATAAATTTACACGACGTATTGATTCGGAATAAGACTACAGCGCCACTGGCGCTAAAATTGAAATCAAAGAATAAAGAAGACGGACCTTTTATCTATTAAATACTTTTATTTGCTTCCTTCACACATTACAAAAATAATTACATAGTTATTTAACATCTCTTATCAATATAAGTACAAAAAAAAGTTTTAATGTCTGCTAACATCAACTTCCAATGCTCGCAATTAAAATAATTGATCTCCTACCATGTCCATACTTTTATACTTTCCGCACAGCAAATTTTATAAAAATGGTTAATTAATTCTGTGCATGATTAAGGATGAAAATTCAAAATTCACTTATAGATTCATCCTCCATCATTTACAAGCTTTTTTCATTAATTTCTTAATTTTAATTTACTACATAAATCCTTAAAATGTTTCAGGTCAAACAATCTCCAAAGTGCAACCCAGAAATCTCCCAAAAATCGATAAGAAACATTGAATTTCTTTGAAAAATCGACGCGGAGACTGTGGCAAGGCCTGGGAATCTCCATTTTGTTTCTCCATTCGTCTAGAAGATGGCGTGGAACTAGTGGTTCGATTGTCGAAGAGAGAGGTGGCTAGTGTAAGCGTACGAGCGGAAAGAGGAGGTGACAGCTGAAGAGTGGTCGAGCGAGAAGCCGAAGAGGGGCGCCGAATCTAAACCCGATAACGAACCAGCTGGTGGCAGTGCCGTCGTACGACGTTTACGTGCACGTACGACCTTCGCGAAAATCCATTTCCAGCTGGTCCATCGTCGATGATTTAAATCATAAAATCCCCCGTAAAAACAATCAGGAAAGTGTCCCGGTAGTGGTACCAAAGTTGAGTAGTCCTTGTGATAAAGTGGTCCCATCGATCGTCGGCGATCCGGAGCTAAGTTTAAGTAGTTCTCGTTGAGGAATCAGGCAGCAGCAAGTAGTAGAAGAAGAAAAAAATAAAAACAGAAACATGCCGTGACCGCAACACGACTGACACCAGGATGTATTGTATAGTCGTAGGAAAATCACGGTGCTCGTAGCGCGCACGACATTCGATTGGACGACAAATGTCGTAGGTACTCTTATCTGTGGCTCAGGTGTGTGCGTGTGTGAGAGTGAAGTCCTGTGTGCGTGCCTGTGGGTGCTACTCTCCTCGCTCGTACCTGACCTGACCCAGGTGATCACCTGGACCGAACGACGATGACTACGAGGGAGTTATACGTTAAGGTATGGAACTAGTCCAGATTCTATGCTCCGATCTGCTACCGTTCGGATCCAGTTCCTGAAACTGCTCTACTAGTCTAGCAACAGTGTGACGAGAATGTCTGTTGACATTTCTAATTGCTTCGTTTTTCTGAATCGAAGTTACAGTTAGACATCCGGTGAATGTTCTACTGATACTGGAAGTAATTTTTACAGTAAGAAAATCAACTGTATTTTCATTCATCAGCTTTGAATTCATTTTTTTAACGTTTAAGGTACTTCTGTAATATTGGAGGATCCAGCCTCCCCATCCAAGAGTGAATATTTCAACCCTTAATAGGGGACCTCAGCGGGAAAGATAGAAAATTACCAATGTAGAAACCTTTTATATTATTATTCTCATTTTAAATCTCCTTTACATTGAAAGTTAATTAAAAATGAATAGATTCCCTTTTTTTATAAAATATTTAATCATAGGTGGAATTTGACTGCTGGCTGTTTTAATTTTTGAAAGTATGATTCATAGAAAATGTTTCTACTGTTACCAAACAAATGTGTCCTGCTACGAAATGATTCACTCGAGAAAAAAATAAACAAAATGTCATGTCATGCTTGACGTTGGAAAGGGTTAAAGGATGACAATTCTCTTGTGTGTTACAGTCGACAATTCTCTTAAGACCTGAGGGCTTTGTTATTTCACCATCTAGTTACATAAAGAAATGCGGTTTAGAACGCGTACTTGGATGAAATTGTTCACAACTCGTTCTACAATATTATGCAAAATTGTTTTATTTTTTCGAATTTGAAACGACGGTATATGCTGTCGCCGTTAAGCAACAAAGAACGTCTTCGTGCAAATGCCTAAGAACTCCAACGTGTAAACATTCGTGAAATCTTTCGTAGAATCGTGAAGGTTTTCGGTGACAGGTCTTCTCGTTTTTCTTCAATGTTTCACATCTTTTTATTTTATAAAAACTGCACAGAGAATGGTTTGTCGCTTCGAAGTAAACAGCTGGTGTAAGTAGATTGGCCGAGATTCTATCGATTTTCAGTTTGTTCATGATATTGTGTTCTTCCTTCAATCTCTACACGTTCGTTGAAGAATTTTGTAGCAGGAGAAACATAATATTTCTTGTATTTTTCGAACGCTTGAAGAATGATGGTACAGCGAAGAGTCGGGTGATTTGCAAAATTAAGTACAACTTTCTTCTATATCCTAAACGATCCTGTACAATCTTAATTATTTAGGAAGACAATATATCGTTCTAATTAGTTCGAAAGGCACGCATCATTGATTCCAAGTGAAGGTGTCTTTCTCAGGTTGCCTCTAAGGAACAACTTTCACCAGAGGTGTTTTGCTTCTTCAGCTTTATATGCAAGCGATTTGTAATACTCTTAAGTGTACAATCTGCTTATTATAAAGAATCCATCGTTGATTTTAATTTATATCCCCTTCGAGCGAAAGTGAAAACCTTTATGCGATCATGGAATTAAGGTAACTCGATGGCTGGCAATTAATTATATTCGACAGAACAGCAGTTAACATTGTTAATTATAGTTAGATAGGTATAGTGACTCATATCTATTTACATTCGTGATGTAATTTCTAGCTTTTGAACTTGAAATGTGAATGCTCAGTTTATTATATTCAGAGTGAACAATATTTTGAACCAGTTTCCCATTCAGAAATTAAATTAATTATTTTAAAAAATAATTAAGTAATAGGTAAAGTTACAGATTCTTTTCGAATCAAAAATCAATAATGGTGATAAAGCTCGAAGTCTGAAGGTTTAATTCTACGTTCAAAACCAGGTACGATTACTAGGTAGGTCGATGTACACGATAACGATTATTGTGTGCAAACTGTTCTTGACAAGTCTGTCACACTTGTTTCATGTTCTTGAACATGGAATACCGATCGTATGCTCTCGATCGGTCAGCATTTCAATGCCTCGTTAACATTAAACATTCATATTTTTTCATTATTTCGATCCATTTATTATGAGATAAATATATAGCAATTTTGAACTTCGTCCCCTATTAATTGTCTGTTGATAGGTCAAAATCACGGAGAAATTAATACACCCTGATGAAAACGTTCGATCACACTCGATTGAACTTCATCAATAGAGAAAGTCTTTCTAGAAAGTAAAATCCTATTGAAAATACCATCGTGCATGTATAGTGTTCGAAATGGTCAAATAATTGATTCAGCAATTTTCATCCTCCATGGGAATTCCTTTGTATAAAGTGTTTCAAGAATGTAGAGACCCATGTGAGAATATTCAGTCGATGAGAACAGCGTTTAATCCAGCTGAAACCTGCCCCTTTAAGGTCGTACGGTAACTCTCCATCTTGGCTGAGTTATTGCCTTGGTCAGGTGAATTGCGAGGGTTGTCCGAGGTCGTACAGCAATTTTTATGAAACACACCTTTAACACCATTCCAATTTAAATATTAACACATTTATAATTAATAATCAAAATAATAATAAGTATTTTTCTCTTCTATTAAAAAATAATTTTCATAGTCAGTTGAATAATAGACTATTCGATAACACTCAACACTGATCCCATCTTGTAGACACAGTTAAAGTCAGGGACATTCGTCGCATAGAAGGTCTGTATCGATCACGACACACTTTACAAATGGTTCTTCAATTTTACGATTTACCATTACGATTCCTATTTAAAGCATAAAATAAACTCATCGGGTATGAAACTGGCATCGACACAGTTCACAATATCGTTTGACATTTCCTCGTGGAAATTAATTATACAGTGACCATTGCGCAACCCATGGCGATAAATAGATTGCGGATGTTTATCTAAATATAAATCATCATAATATATTTCTGAATACCTTATTATTCTTAATTCAAAATACATTTTTAAATAAAAATTTCAGAAGGATATTTCAGAAAGAAGTCATTAAAGTTACAATGGAATTATAATTTATAGTGTAACACGTTTGAAACTCGAACCGAAGTTCTGATCGCACCTTTACATTTAAAGGTAAGGTAACTCCGTTCGAAACTGTTGCTCGCACGATCGGTTCGAGGAACGTGATCGCTAGACTTCGCTCGCTAGCAAACGGTTCCCTTTCTCTTCATGACAGAGAAGCAAAACGTCTTTCGAATAGGTAGTTCTCCTTGCTTCTTCGTGTCCCGTCACGAGAAGACGCTTGTTCCATCGTGGATGCCTGTTCCTTGTTCCGTGAGATTTTATCTTAAAGGTCAGGCGGACTTTCCCTTAAACAAATTGCTTAGGAAAATTTCACTTTCTTCCATTCCAAACTCGTGAAACATTGATCGAATCTAAATTATACTCAATTTTTAAAAAATTCCATAATTAATCATTTTGTAAAAATTATAATGGGTATCATTGTAAATGTTTTGCATGCAACTTGTGCAACGTACGATGACACAATGATACAGCAGTTTAACGCACAACAAAACAGTCTGATTAAATACAATGGTTATCGTCCTTTTGTGCAGCCTCCGTGAAAAACAAGAATTCCTCCTAGCAATCTCCCACGAACGCGTCCCGTTTCGCGATCCTGCCTGAACAGGGACACAAACAGAAGCGTAAACTCGCGTTCTCACGGTTGTAAACCGCGCTGGATGAAAAGCAAGCTCGTTGATTTTTATTCGATGACCATGATTCGTACTTTACACGATACGCTATCGCTGTACAGGCTTCGCAATTGCTGTTGATAGCATCGCAAATAGAACGGATAGTGTAGAACGAATGATAGACAAAGTTTCGAGTACACATTGGAGAAGGTGCTCGTGCACCGAAAGGGTTCATCGAAAGGGAAACTGTCGGATGGCACAGGGCGCGAGCGACACGTAGCATTCGGTATCAACGATGACAATTTTCAACGTACACGGTGAAAAAAGAGTGTAGGTGGGCGAGAAACTTGACCCGGTTATTCTCAATAACGGAGAACTCGCCACCTTTCTCGGGAGCAACGATGCCGAGTTACGACGATCGATCTTCCAGCGAATACCACGTCGAGCGATCTCGAAATTACAGAATAACGTTTCGAATGCATTTGAAATTCATTGCTTGGCACGGTTGCGTGCAACTTAGGCTTCCTTTGAATAAGTTCCAGGGTGGGCTCTCCCTAGGCTCCCCCAACACTGGAAGTATATTTCCAGAGGTAGACTAGCTATTAGGAGTGCCGGAAAATTTCCGATGGGTCATTAGGGATTTGGAGACTAATTAATTAAAATTATGACCCATATTCTACAAGAAGGCCCTCTAATTCCTCAGTAAAAATTTAAGTCCCAATCCACCCCTGTATATTTCCATTAATATTCTCTTCTATAACTCGCAAAAATAATAAAAATTATTAAAATTACAAATTCTTGCTTCGTTTCGGAAGTTTGAAATTGCAACGAGGAAGCAGATAAGGCAAACAATGCGAAAGCAAATATTAATGAATGTTACGTCGTAAATAACGATTATAAATGTTATGCAAAACTCGTCGACCAACTGTACGATAAATCGTGTTCCATTTTTAAGACGGAATACGTATGATCGTGTTTCAAGTACACCTGAACCACCACCATCTAATTGCATCAATTGTCCGACTTGGTTACGTTACAATCTTCGTTTCTTAAAAAAACATTTCCATCGTCTTTCGACATTGATAAAACGTGTCGAAATACGAATTCTGAATTCGAAATGTGAAATCGTATCGTACAACGTGGACGTCGTATCAGTTTGTGGGAGGAACGTGTGACAGAATGATTCATTCTTGAGTGGCTTTGTGGCTGTTGATAAGATTATAAGCTCTGCCCTCCTCTTTCTACTTGTAACGTGAATATTATAAATAATTTTACCTCTTCTCGCCAAACAAAGCATTACGTTATAGTCATCGTTATCCTATCTAATCTTTAATTTTCCAAATGTTTTTGTGCTTAATTGAAAAGTAGAAGGTAGAACGTTTCCATTGGAAAATCGGAAATCATTATTCGATGTAAACGTCGATCGAATATCTGGAAGTTTCATTATAGACACTGCGGATACTCTATTAAGTGTGACTTATCGTTTGAGTAATGGGCGATATCAAAGTTTTAACTGCATGTAGCTTGGAAAAAGTTCGCGTAGCTTGGAACATAGAAACTAGTCGTGGGTGAAACGGCGACAGAAGCCGTAGATCGGTTGGCGAAGCTCAGACCGAAGCTTCCCTTATGTTTGCCGTCTACGACATCCGAATACGTGCCTCGAGAATATCATTAAAATTTCTTCTTCTTTCGATCGAATCCTTCGGCAGCTTATTTTAATCCAGGGATTAAATTAAAACTGAAACGCGACGAAAATTAGAGACTCAAGATTTGCATAGCTAATTAGTAATTATGCAATATACCAGTAGCATAAGAGAAGCCGGAGAGCCTTCTAATTAATTCACGATGAGAAAAAGGGAGGGAAAGTTAGGTATTCATTCTCATCTTTGAATTTACCGATTGTCATGGGTAACCATGCGTGGTTCACTCTCGTTCTGGCCAGCTTTTGAATTAACGAGCCCCGTGGGAACCCGGTAGAATTCAGCCTTTTTCTGTGCCTATTCCTTGAGTAAGATTCTGAAGAGTAATCGTTATTCGGTACGCAACATAGAAAGCATGGGAAATCATTTCTTTAATAGACGAACGAAAGTAATCGACGAATGAAAAATTTCAAAATTATTTAAATAATATAAACTTCGACGATTCGTTCATTCTTTATTGTATTTTTTTTTCTCAGTGAAAGGATTAACTTTTTACGTAATCGAATCGAATTCAATCAATCTTCGAAATGATTCATTGACTAACATTTGTCATCCTCTATCACGATGATGTTTCATAACATTTCTTTTTCACATGTCCCATTGACTTTTCAATCTAACCAGCGAAAGTCGTTGCACGTTATGAAATTCTGGAATTCACAGAGATGCGTTCGCCGGTGATTTCACAATTGTGCAATTTAGGATTGCTAAGTCAGCAAACGGGTCACCTCGAAAGGCAAAAATAAAATAAGGACGCGGTGAACGCAACGTAGGCATTAGCGATCATTACTGGAATTACAGTGAATTTTTCATGGTTGAACGTACCTCTCTAAACGCCATACAGTTTTCAAAGAAAATAGAAACAAGAAAATAATTTCCCTTAGGAAATATACAGTGAACATAAATTTTTACTGACAATGCTACGAGTGTTTAATTATTTTTTTTTCTTTCTTAATGTCATCCAACCAATGTCTTGTATAATAATTGGTACACAAGATTGGATCGTGAGAGTTCACGGTTATTTTTCACTTCTCCCCGAGCGTGGTTGACCCACATACGAATGTATCACCGTGTTGTTTGAAGACAACATATCAAACGTTTCACTCTTTTCGATTGTCTTTTACAACCAGTTTCTCTGACGTAAGATTGACAGCTTAGGAAAGAACAGGTACGAAGGTGGAGTGAATTTTACCGTTGCTCGATATTCCTTCGAATCACGTAATTCTGCTCCTTTTTCTGTCTTTCTTTTTTTCCTGGAACAGCCCAGTGTGTGCTCGGTAACAGTAAATTTCGGCGTTTCGTGTCTCATTCGTAATAGCACCAGGTTCGTTCAGACATAATTTCGTCGATACCGTTACAAGGCTCAAAGAAGCGTCAATTTGAATCAGCGACGCTTCCATTCCGGTGAGATCATCGATCTTTAGCTAACGATATACGAAACGATAAGCATGAAAATTAAATCCATTCGTCGAGATTGAAAGGCAATAACAATCTTAACGCGATAACGAATTCTCTGATTTGGCGCGGCCGTCGTCGAAATCGATCTGGCGACCTCGTTTCCCTGCGTAGCGCTCGCAAAAATGGAAAAGCAGGTCATCTTTTGAAAAGAAGGAAAATTCAACGCTAAGTAATTAACTCGTGCAAGCTCGTTCACACTGTTGAAAATGTTGCCATACAGAAAGTAGAGCTTTAGGCGATGCCATCAAACATTGCACTCATGAAACTTAAACGACCGTGCTGAAGCATTTCTTTTCTCTCCCTGTGCAATTCTACCCACTTGCGTTTTCTCCCCACGAATATCGTCGAGGTGGTAAATCTTTAATAAAACATTCGACGATAAAACAAAGCCTCGATACTGAAATAAAACGTATGACGATAGGGTGGCAGGGTATGGGTACCACATCCAGAAAAAGTGTGGGAAGGTGCGCTGCTCCTGGAGGATTACAAGTTAAAGCAGCCCACTTTGAAGGTCCACACGGACGATTCGAATCAGACGAAAGTCTTGGAAATAAAATCGGACACCGATCTACCGCCACTGAGGAACCCGGACATACTTATTGGCGAAAATAATTTGACGTCGTTATCGTTTCTCCACGAGCCGGGGGTTCTCTACAATCTCCAAATCCGCTTCCAACGACACTGCATCTATACGTATTGCGGTATCGTGTTGGTCGCCTTTAATCCTTACAACGAGCTACCCATTTACGGGAATGACACGATATGGGCGTACAGGGGTCAAGCGATGGGCGATTTGGAGCCCCATATATTCGCCGTCGCCGAAGAGGCTTACACGAAATTGGAAAGGTTCACGTTTTATTCATAATCGTTTCCTCGAAACTTGCTCCGAGATTGATCAACTTTTCTTTAAAACGCAGAGAGGGTCACGATCAGTCCATCATCGTCTCCGGGGAATCGGGTGCCGGGAAAACAGTTTCCGCGAAATACACGATGCGATATTTCGCTACCGTCGGCGGTTCAACGACCGAGACACAGGTGGAAAAGAAGGTGCTCGCTTCCCTGCCAATCATGGAAGCGATCGGTAACGCGAAGACAACGAGAAATGACAATTCCTCGAGGTTTGGTAAATTCATCGAGATTCAGTTTAATAAACATTATCACATCACCGGTGCCAGTATGAGGACATATCTTCTGGAGAAATCGAGGGTCGTCTTTCAGGTATAATTGATTATCTTAATAGTAATTATTTCAGGTGGATAATCAGTGACAGGAGAGTGACAGTTAATTCCCATTATCCGTTAATGGTTTCCAAATTTCCTAGGCACACGAGGAAAGGAATTACCATATATTCTACCAGATGTGCGCTGCCGCGGCGCGGCTTCCGCACTTACACCTAAATCATCAGAATCAGTTTCACTATCTGAATCAAGGAAACAACCCAATGATAGACGGCGTAGACGACTTGGCGTGTTTCGACGAAACAGTAACTGCTTTTACCATGCTAGGATTCTCGTCCAAACAGCAGGACGATATGCTTCGCATTTTAGCGGCCATAATGCACTTGGGAAATGTTAGGATAGGGAATTCTGATGCTCTGAATTCGAGCCACGAGAACGACACCGAGGCCAGCTACATTCATGTAAATATACGCGTTGATAAACCGTGAACGTTTATACATTTGCATACGAAATTTGCTGAAACTGTAATTTCAATATTTCCTTCGTGATTTAACTTTTAGGCGTCGGATAAACATTTATTGACGATTTGCGAGTTATTGGGCACCGACGTGAACGCGATGCGGAAGTGGCTGTGCCACCGGAAAATCGTGTCGATGAAGGAGGTGTTTCTGAAACCGATGAACGTTGAACAAGCGATCGGCGCGAGAGACGCTTTAGCGAAACATATTTACGCGGAATTATTCAACTGGATCGTAACCGGCATCAATAATTCCCTCCAATCACAGAACAAACCCCAATGCTTCATCGGTGTGCTCGACATCTATGGTTTCGAGACATTCGAAGTGAACTCGTTCGAACAATTCTGTATAAACTACGCTAACGAAAAGCTTCAGCAACAGTTCAATCAGCACGTGTTCAAATTGGAACAGGAAGAATATTTCAGAGAGGAAATCGAGTGGACTTTCATCGATTTCTACGACAATCAACCCTGTATCGATCTTATCGAAACAAAGCTGGGTATCCTGGATCTGTTGGACGAAGAATGTAGGGTCGGTAAATTTATTCGTACTATTATATTTCATTATTTTGATATAATTATTGAACAATCGTTTGACGAACAGATGCCAAAAGGTTCGGATAGTTCTTGGGCCGAGAAACTTTACGCGAAATGTGGCAAATCGAAGCACTTTGAGAAACCACGATTCGGAACATCCGCCTTCCTGATTCATCATTTTGCTGATTTAGTGCGTTACGAGACGATTGGATTTTTAGAAAAAAATAGAGATACCGTTATCGAGGAACAGGTCGACGTGCTGCGCAACGGAGATGTACGCAAAGAAAAATGAATATTAATTATTTTAACTATTTCCCTTAGATTACCAGATCCCTCATAATTAATTATTTTTAGAATAAATTACTGAAGAAGCTGTTCAGCGACGAGGATCCAAAACTGATGGTACCACCGAATGTCAGGGTGAAAATATCCGCCCAGAAACCGGCACCCAGTACTCCTAAACAAAATAAGAAAACGGTAATATTTTAATAAGAAGACGATTTGTATAGATTTTTATCTGTAAAATAAAATCTGTAGGTAGGATCTCAATTCCGAGATTCCTTGAACATGTTGATGTCGACATTGAACGCAACCACCCCCCATTACGTGCGTTGCATTAAACCAAACGACACCAAGGAAGCTTTCGAGTATAATCCAGTTCGTGCTGTTCAACAATTGCGAGCTTGCGGTGTGCTCGAGACGATCAGGATATCCGCAGCAGGCTTCCCGAGTCAGAGGACCTACGGCGAGTTCTTCCTCAGGTACAGGAGTCTGTGCAAGTTCAAGGACATCCGACGCGATGATCTCAGGGAAACCTGTCGACGAATATTGGAAAGGTCAGTTATCGTTAATTAATCCATTCTTCGGTATTTATTACATAATACCTCATTGAAGTTTTCTAATAAGCTAAAGAAGAAATATAGTATTTCTATTTCTCTAAGAGATTTAGAATGGCAATTTTTGGATGTGCCATGTTTCTTGATTTTCCATTAATAAAATATAATCAATAGGTACATTAAGGACGAGGACAAGTTTAAATTCGGCAAGACGAAGGTTCTCTTCCGCGCCGGTCAAGTGGCTTACCTGGAGAAGCTGCGAGCTGAACGACAACGAGACGCTTGTATTATGATACAGAAAACGGTGCGAGGCCTAATTTGTCGCAGTAGATACAAGAAGATCCGACGCGCCGTTCTGGGTCTCCAAAGATACGGAAGAGGCTACATCGCTAGGCAAAAGGCTCAGGCAGTGAGGGAAGAAAGAGCCGCGATTAAAATTCAAGCACGAGTCAAGGGTTGGTTGAAGAGACGACGGTTCCTTCGAATAAAACGCACAATTCTCGGTATTCAGACTTATGGCAGAGGAAAGATGGCGAGGCAAAGGTATCAATTGATGAAGGATAACGCCGCTGCGACTGTGATTCAAAGATTTGCGAGAGGATACCTCGTTCGAATGGCGTGCAAGAAGAAATTGCAGAACATCGTCATTGTTCAGGCTTGCGTGAGAAGGTATCTCGCGAAGAAGGTGTTTAAGAGATTGAAGGCTGAAGCTAGAAGCGTGGAACACGTGAAGTCGTTGAACAAAGGGTTGGAGAAGAAGATCATCACGTTACAGCAGAAGATTACTGAACTCGTATGTTTAATTACTTTTAACGTTTATCAACAGGTTTTAACAGTAAAGATTTTCACTTATTCTTCTCCAGATCAAAGAGAATCAGATATTAAAGAACGCTCAGCACGACGTGGTAGACTTGAAACACAAGCTGGAAGGACTAAAGACCGTGGAATCTGAGAATAGAAAATTGAACGCTATATTAATAGAAAAAGAAAAAGAATTAGAAAAGATTCAGGATATAGTTAAGAACGAAAGGGACGAGAAGATGGATATTTTGCAGGTACTCAAAATTAAGAAGCATAGAATTATTTCCTTTCTGATGAATTGATTTTTTCTCAGGACAAAGAGAAAACCGCTCAGGAGAAGGAACAAGAGAATCAGAAGCTTCAGGGCGAGATCGAGAAATTGCGGAAAGAACTTTCGGTCGCTAACGAGAAGCTGAAGAACAATCAACGCGGCGCTGAAGAGAATTTGAAGCACCGATTGGAACAAGAAAAGGATCTCCTCCTGCTGGATCAGGATCAGGATCGTGGCGCTTATCAGAAGTTGCTGAAAGAGTATCACGAATTGGAGCAACATGCGGAGATGTTGGAGCAGAAGCTCGCGATGCATGCACCGGCTCATTCCCGTTCCCTCAGCAATGCTTCCAGCAGCAGTGGACAAATTGTGTCCACCGAACTTCCTCAGGACGATCAGAATATCGTACGCTCATTTCACATATTTCTATCCCTTGCACTGTAATTGTGTTCATAATTTTATTTTTAATTTCAAAGGATTTGGGTTACGGATCGGTAAGATCGACAGCATCCTCTTCGACTCCTTACTCGAGAGTGGAAACCATCGATTGGAATCAACAAAGATCGGACAGTCCACCAGATGGAGAGGTGCAACCGAATAAATCACCTTCAGAAACAAATGGACCAGCACATGCACCGGTCGACATCGGTCTGGTGTTGAAACTTCAACAGAAACTGAAAGATGTTGAAAAGGAGAAGGGTAGATTGATCAGGATGGTGGAAGATTTAGAACGGGACAGTCCCGAAGAGAATTCGAGGACACAGGACACGTTCAGGGTAATTTAGAAAATTAAATTATTTGTTCAGAATTTTGACGAGTAACACCGAGGTCTTTTATTTGACAGCTACAAGAACTAGAAATGGAGAATGCTCAGTTGAAGAAGGATCTAGGCTCGCTGAGGAAAAGCGTCACCTCTACAGGCCTATCCGGTGCACAACAGAATCTCATGGGTAATTCCTTAATTTACAGCGCTAAGAAAATCCTTCATTACTTACTCTATCGACTACTATAATCTATTTTTTTCTTTTTTTGCTTTCTCTCACGCTGATATCTGTTTATTTCGCTTGTTCTACTTTATTTTTATTTTATTGTACTTCCATTAACCAAGGTGTGGTTATTAATACGTGCACAAATACACTGTGTATCCATTGATTTTTATTTCCTCCCTATCCTTTATCTATTTGATTTATGCACATTCTCGATGTGTATATGCAAACGCTTTATAAAATGTTTCGTGTCGCACTACCTTTTTTTTATGTGATCCTTTATAACATTGTAAGCAATAAAAAAATTTTCAGTTGAAAATTGGTCATTTTTCTTTTGCTTCTCTCTTTCTATCTCGCACATAATTATCCTTAGGAAAAGTGATATATGGACGACGGTGAAAAAGCGCGATAAATGATTTCCATTTCAGGACAATTCGACGCTCTTCAAGAAGAACTCGAGAGACGAAGAGAAGAATGCATACAGTTGCACAGCGTGTTGGCGGATAACACGAGAAGAATGAAGAGTTTAGGCTCGAATTATGGCCGAGACGTGGACATCATTAACGAAGATGGAGAGCTGGTGTTGGCCTTCGAGACGCAGAAGAAGATAAACAGGTAAATCGAATAGTGTCGTCGGTTGATGGAGGAAGATTCGGCATAGTGTCTAATCGTGTTTTGTCGTTTGTGCATGCTCGTCGATTTTCAGTAGACTTAAGACAAGGCAAATGTCCACCAGAGAGTGAGTTAAGATAATTTTGACGCGAATACCTCCGACTAGATTCATTTAGCGATCTTTCATGATCCAGAACATCATTTTACTGAGATTTGCTGACACAGTGGCAGCTGCATAAAACATATTTCATTTACTAATTATCATTTAGCGCTAGGCTCGAGAGAGTGACATCTCCTTGTCATATTTAACACGTTGGATGCCATTGTGATAATAGCCATTTTTATTTTTCATTATGAACGTGTTGTATTATTAATACATACGATAACAATGCTATCCAAAATTTGTCTTCTCTATTAATTACTTGATTAGATTAGATTTGAGCTAATAGCTGGTGGTAAGTGGTGTCCTCCACAGCAATCAACGTGTTAAATTAATAATTTTAATTGAAGAATTAAACGATGAATTAAAATGAGCTGTTGTGTTCATTCTTGAAGACAATTGGAGGATGAGATTCAAATGAAGGAGAAGAGTTGGCGAAGCCAAAGGGACGAATACCGAGCAGAAGTTGACAGGCTGCAAGAGGAAATCGAAAAGCAACAGAAATTATTATCCCTAAATTTGAGTAAATCCCCACAGACTCAAACCGAGGCTTACATGCAGCACGAAATTGCGAGGCTAACTTCGGAAAACTTGGTAAAACTCTGATCATCTGTTATAGTAAATGTCGCATATTATGCTTAATAAATATATTGATTTGAAAAATAGGAGCTACAGGAAAAATACGACAAAATAGCGGAAGAATGCAGGAAATTCAAGAAACAATGCAAGATACTTGTGAAACGTCTGAAGGATGCAGGCTGTGAGTATAATTGAACATTTCAGATAGATATCAAAAGAAAAGAAATTTTCTTATCTGCAACAAAAACACTTCAAGTGACTCATGCATTTCTTCAGGTAATTTTTAATTCTAAAAAAGGTAATGATATCATGTACTGTTTTTGAACTTACAAAAAAATCTACTTTAATTTTTATCAAATTTTGGCGTTATATTTGACATACTTTTTTATCAATCAATAAATCTTAGTTTCATAGAAATATGTGAGTCACCGTGTGATCAGGTGTAGTACCATGAAATGATGTTTGAAAATGACCATTAAAATATTATAATATTTAAATGCTGACAAAGATGAGGGAGACGATACTAAGGAACAGAAGGATCGCCCTTATACGTCGGGGGGTGCCGGTGAGTGTGTGGTCTAGTGATCATTTTCCTCGCCCTTTTACGCAGACCATACTCACCCCTGTTCATAAATCATTTTATGAATCTATCATTTAATTATAAATCATTTAATGTGTTTCACAGTACCATACAATGCAGAGTCTACGACCGATTCCGCGATGTCTTCCACTGGTCATTCGGCCGAAAACGGAAGTAATGTACCGGTTATTCGAAAGAAGGAGAGGGACTTCGAGGGGATGTTCGAGTTTAGGAAAGAAGATATCAACGTGATAATACGTCACCTAGTTATCGGTAATTTTACAAAGTTAAATTATCTCGGGTTCGAATTTCGAATGGGTTAATCTCAAATCTAAATATTTTCAACAATTTCGTAGACTTGAAACCTAGGGTTGCGGTAACATTACTACCCGGTCTACCAGCGTACATTCTCTTCATGTGCATCAGGCACACGGACTGCATAAACGACGACGAAAAAGTTCGTTTGTTATTAACGGGTTATCTGAACGCTGTAAAACGAGTGGTGAAGAAACGCGAGGATTTCGATTCCAGCGTTCTCTGGCTCAGTAACACCTTAAGATTGTTGCACAATATGAAACAATATTCCGGAGACAAACCATTCCAAAATGAGAACACTCCAAGACAGAACGAACAGTGTCTAAGGAATTTCGATTTGAGCGAATATAGAGTCGTGTTGAGTAACGTGGCGCTTTGGATCTTCAACAATATCATGACAAATCTTAGAGAGCGGATCCAGGCATTGACGGTCCCTGCTCTTTTGGAACACGAAGCGATCACAGGCTTAAATTCTAATAAACCTGGCCGAGCAAGATCCTCTTCCATGGGAGAAGAACCAGAATCCACCCAACAGAAACTTAACAAACTATTGGATGAACTCACTTCCGTCTATAAAACGCTTCAGTATCATGGCGTAGATGCTGAAATCGTAGTACAATTGTTTAAACAACTCTTCTACTTCATGTGTGCCAGCGCTCTGAATAATTTGCTCCTGAGGAACGAGCTGTGCCATTGGACTAAGGGTATGCAAATAAGGTTCGTGGAATTTTTTTATTTTTCATTATAATTTAGCACTTCTACTTTATTAATATAATCTAGAATCTAGAATCTCTGCTACTAGCCTTCTTCCACTCTCACTTCTTCCTTGGCTCTCCTTAGGATCTCCTCGAGTTTTCTAAGATCGAAGGGGTCTACTTTGCACCTGATTATACTTACGTGAACTATGCCTTCATGATTACGTTTTTTTTTTTTCAGGTACAATCTGAGCCACTTGGAACAATGGGGAAGAGATCGACGATTAGAGCCAGCATCAGCAGCCCTTCAACCGATCATACAAGCAGCGCAGTTGTTGCAAGCTCGTAAAACAGACGACGATGTAGAGGCCGTGTGCGAAATGTGTAATAAATTGTCCGCTAATCAAATAGTTAAAATTCTAAATTTGTACACACCTGCGGATGATTTCGAGACACGCGTGCCGGTTTCATTTATCAAGAAGGTACAAGAGAAATTGAACGAACGCGGTGAAAACAACGAACAAGTAAGTTTGAAGAATTTGTGAAGATATCTTTTAGGAGAAGATATTATTCATTATTTGTTATTTTTTCTTTTTCAGCTGTTAATGGATCTGATGTATTCATATCCAGTAAGATTCCCGTTCAACCCATCAGACATTCGGCTAGAAGATATTGAGATACCGGAAGTACTTCACCTGCCCATGCTCAAAAAAGTGTAATCATAGTAAATGAGAAACTTAGAGACCCCGCTGCGCATGTAACTTTTAGTTGAGTAACGAGTAATCAAATTCGTATAGCCTATTTATTAAGAAATATCAACAGAAATACGGGAGAAAAAGAAATTTAGCTATGCTGAACAACTTTGGCTAAAACAAATTAGATAACGCATCGAGCGGGTCATCGAAATCATCGTTTTATATATATTTTTTTTTACTCGAGTAATTTGTATTCAACAAAGTATCATTCCTACCGTTGTCTGCGTAAACGTGTCGATTTAAAGGATTCCTTTTACGAACGGCGAATACAGATTTCATTTTCGTTCTTCTTAATGATTACACGTGAAAGACTTAAGGATCGCGTCAAATATAAGGCTCTGCTGGAGCTTGCTGAATTGAATAAAAGAAAATAAACGATGTAGATTTGTAAACGAGAATAGTGAGATACGAGGCTGCGATGCAATTGCGAAACGAAGTGCCGAATTCTGTATTGTGAAATACAGAAACGTTGTTACCGATGATTTAAAGAGGTTTAAGAAATGCGTTGTTTCTCGATTAGTCTATTGAAAGTTGAGGCCAATTTATTGCAACTCCAAGCAAGAACTGTATGTAATTATCGGATGTCTGTTGGAGATGTACTTAATATGTACAAAAGATGATGAAGGAATGGTGAGAGATTAATAACGTTACGTTGGATATAGATTGTATATTTTGTGATACGAGAAAGAATAACCATAGGTCTGGCGAGGACGGACACAGAAGGCAGAAAATACAAGAGCAAAGAGAAGGAGAGAGAAAGACAGAGGTATATATTGTTATTATAATTTATATGTATGTACAGCATCGAGCATAGCAGGATTCCAGAAGGAAAACGGTGGATGATCCTCGATGGCCATTGCTCTTCTTCCCCACATTCTCGTCTCTTCCCTTAGCCGTTTAATATTAATATCGTCAAAATTAGGATTTTCAGAGTTCTATATTGCCATTTTTCCTCGGGAAACCTACTTTGCTCCATAATGTACAAGCGATTGTATTTTGTGCCATTTTATTAGTAGAATTTAACCAAATTCTGTTTCCTGCGTTGGTCTGCATTTACGTTTACGCTTTGCCCGTAATCTTTCGAAAACGAAATTCCTCGGAAACCCGGAGTGTACAGAAAAGAAAAAAAAATCCGTTTACATAATTAATACCTTGACTCGATGTGACAAAAATTTATTTGTTCCTACAATGAAAAATAAACGAATGATCGTTGATGAAAAAAACCGATACCATTCATGCTTATTAATTAATTAATGTACCCAGGTTAAAGAAAAAATGAAGAACGTTAGTAAAAGTAAAACATTTTATTTGCATTGTATCACAATATTATCGTATAAATTATCATTGTGTTATACCGATGAAAGAATATTAACTAAAATTAACGCAGTTATTAGAAATGTGAATGAAGCTCGAGGAAGCAAAAGAGGTGAGGTATAATTAAATATTATAATTGATTCTCTTCGTACAATAATTCAATGTAGAAGGAAGAAATACGGGAAATCTTTAGGCTGCATCACCGGCATCGCTCGGTGAACGTATATCATCAATCTTAAGTATCATCTTTACCAATTGTGTGGCTAATACGATCTGTTGCGTTTTACTGGTCAATGTTTCGACAACGTTTTGCAATTTCATATCTGTAATGATAAACAATTATTTATTTGCTATCCGTGGTAAGGAGGAAGGATTTTAAGGAATACCGATACCTACCGACAGTGCCGCGATTCATACAATCGATACCAAAACTGGGATTCTTCTCGAGTATTTGGCGGGCTTTTATTTCGGTTAAGGTATCTACGGGTGAAAGACCGGAATTTTCAGCGAGCGCCATTGGAATGGCTTCCAAAGCTTCGGCAAACGCACGGAACGCGTATTGCTCCAAAGTGCTGATCTTGTTTGCCTGAGCTGTGCACGCAATTGCGCAAGATATTTCGGCAGCACCGCCACCGTATAAAATTAGTTGGCTCTTAATGACATTACGAACTGTACACAGGGCGTCGTGAATAGCTCGTTTGGCTTCTTCGATAATCTTAAAAGAGAAATTAAAATAAATTTTTAAATCCGTACATATTCCATACGGATCGATCGAACAGAATTTATGAAGTATTGTAGCACCAGATAAACGAAGCTCAATCAAATTCATTTTAGATTGAGCATTCAATTAATTATCATGACGCGTTATTTTTGCAAGGTGTCTGGTCAGTTAGGTATATTGGAATACCGCTGAAATTCTCCTTGCTACTTTTCGCTTTAACTAAATACCACTTACCATTTTATTACCACCGCGAATGAAAATAGTGACCGCTCGGGAGTTCTTGCATTCTTCGATAACGAGCATTCGGTCCTTAGTCGTGCCGAAAGTTAGTTCCCTGACGATGCCTGCATGGCCAAGTTTCTCTGGTGTCAACTCCTCGAAACGCGGAACGATACGACCACCGGTAGCAATGGCGATTAGCTATAAAAATATTCAGTATCGTCTCACATCTTTGTTCCTTCTTTTTTTTTTTGAACCAACAAATGGAAGGAAGAAAAATTAAGCCCTCAGATCTCATAATCTTACGATCATTAGAGCCACTGCGAACGATAAGATTACTAACTACCGCGTTTACAGAATTTCCGTTTATTCTCGTAATAGAACACTAATACGGGAAAAAGAAAAATTTCTGAAAATGACATTAGCCAGCTGTCTTGAACTTTCACCCTCTTCTATTGCGCTTCGTCATCATCGGGCAAAATAAATGTGCATCGAAGGAGGTAGAACTTACTTCGATTTCTGGCCCACCAACCCATCTGACTGCTGGTAAATTATTTTGGAGAAGAAGATGGTTGGCCTCGTCATCGAATCCCCATTGACAAATAGCAAGGGTTGTTCCGGCATCTTTAACCCTCTTCACCATTTCCGTGAACTTTTCTTGTTCGTAATCGCGCAGCGCTCTGTAGTCTTCGACGGAGGTAACATCCAACTTGTGTTTCGTTTTCGGCTTGGGCGGTTCAAACGGACAGGTCAGAATTGCCAATTTAACATTCTCCAACCTCTGTAATAAAGCGCACAATTCTTTTTCATGTTACGATTTTCAAAAATTCATTAATAAAAAATATAGTTATTGCGCCTTCAGCTCTCATAATCTTTTGATCATTGAAGCCACTGTAAAGATCAGATCATTGAATAGTTACTCTCGCGTGAACCTTCATTTTTCCGAAGGTTAATAGGAAATTAACCGAGGGAACAGTTTAGGGTTCGTCGAAAATAAACTAAACAACTTTTCTGAATCTTCACCCTTCTCTGTTTCTTTTCGTCATCATTAGGCGAATCGAGATATTAATAATTTCTTGTTTTAAAAATTGTCTTTACCTTTGGCATTTGAGGATGGCTGAAGTCTTTGTCAATTACAACACCCCGGACTAAGACAGTATCTTCTAATCTACCACCAACTTTTCCTTCTACCTTTATCAACTCAAAGTTCACGTCGCGCGAAACAGGATCTAAAACCGCAAATACCGCATTTACAGCTATTTCTGCCATTTGCCTGTGGCACTTGTTGATGCTAGAAAAAAAAAATGAAGAAAGTATTGCTAACATGTGCTAACAATAAACACAACCAGACATAAAACATGATTATTACATTTTTGAACCAAGACTAGTCATAGCAATTTCAATATATGGCTCTAAATTTTCTGTGCTGCCCTCAAACTCATCTACAATTTCTTTCAGATGATCTACTGCGCACTTTGCTGCCATTTCAAAACCATCTGCTATTCTAATCGGGTGAATTCCTTTATCTAGCAATTGTTCAGCTTGTTCCAAAAGGGCACCAGCTAACACAACTACTCCAGTAGTACCATCCCCAATTTCATCATCCTGAGACTGTGATAATTGAACCATTAATTTAGCAATCTCATGGTCCACATCCATGTTCTTCAGAATTGTTGCTCCATCATTTGTTACAGTGATGTCTCCATCACAGCTCACCATCAATTTATCAAGACCCTTAGGTCCTAAGGAGGTTTTGAGAATGTTGGCCACATTACGGGCTGCCAAAATATGTGACTATAATTAAAAAATGATTAATTTATTATACATATTACATATAAAATGACCAAATGGGACTGTTTTATAGGATTCATTGATTTCCTTATATGGGCAAAAGCATTGCCATTAACACCTCTCATAAATTACAATTTTCTTAAGCAATAATCGAAATATATCTTTTAAATACAATTTAAGGAAACAACGAATATAATATCAACCAAAATTAAATCGATTTAGGTTGATAGATTTTTAGTTTTTTAACGAATTGCCAAGCCCAAATCGTCGCCATTGCTCTTTTCTTCACGTGGTCGCCCCAAGAAATCATTGATGAAATCTTTGAATTGTTAGACTCAACAGAATCATCAATAAAGTGCTTAGAATAAAATTATTACTGCTTTTTCTAATCTGAAAGAACGGAAGAGATTATACGGAGATGCTAATTTACCTTAATTGCATCTATGCCGGTTAGGCGTTTTTGTTTCTCTTGGTCACGAAGAATAATGAAAGGACGTCCATATTCGTCAAAGGCCACAGTACCAGGTATCGCAGTCATTTTTCAAATTAAATGAACGCAGATACTTTCTGTATACTAGTGTTTCGACTAAAGCAACGTTTATTCTCACAATTTTACGTTCACTCGACGATAGAATTACACGACCATTTTGTTGCCTTCAACGGATGTAGTGAATACGTACTGCCATCTATTCTAGAATATTCTTCAGCAAGGCAGTGACTATGAATCGAACAAGACTAGTCATGTCTTTTTTTAGTCATGATTTTTAGGGGTTCCCAGATACCCCAACGTGACCATAAGTCCGCGTGCACGTAGCACAGTCGGTAACTTTCTCTGTGCACCGACAAAATATCATCTTGGGGTATCCGGGACCCCAGTGACTCTCTGTGCACCGCCAAGAAATCGTTTTGGGGTATCAGGAACCCCGGTGACTCTCTGCGCACCGACCGAATACATCTTGGGGTATTTGGGACCCCGGCGACTCTCTGTGCACCGCCAAAAAATCGTTTTGGGGTATCAGGGACCCCGGTAACTCTCTGAGCACCGACCTAATATCGTCTTGGGGTATTTGCAACCCCGGCGATTCTCTGTGCACCGCCAAAAAATCGTTTCGGGGTATCAGGGACCCCGGTGACTCTCTGAGCACCGATCTAATATCGTCTTGGGGTGTCTGAGACCCCACGAACTTTCTCTACATACCGACAAATTAACATTTGGGGTGTCTGAGACCCCGGCGACTCTATGCGCGGACGAAAGTCCTCTTGGGGTATCAGGAACCCCGGTGACACTCTAAGCACCGAATATTGTCTTGGGGTGTCTGGGACCCCAGCGACTTTCTCTGCTCACCGACAAATTATCACTAGGGGTATCAGGGACCCCGGTGACTCTTACAGCACCGTTCTAATATCGTTTTGGGGTGTCTGGGACCGCAGCGACATTCTCTGCGCACCGACAAATTATCACTTGGGATATCAGGGACCCCGGTGACTCTCCAAGCACCGATCTAATATCGTTTTGGGATGTCTGGGACCCCAGCGACATTCTCTGCGCACCGACAAATTATCACTTGGGGTGTCTGGGACCCCGGTGACTCTTTCTGCGCGCCGACAGAATACATCTTGGGGTGCCTGGGACCCCGGCGACTCTGTGTGCGCGTACAAAAGTTCTCTCGGGGTATCAGGGACCCCGCTGACTCTCTAAGCACCGTTCTAATATCGTTTTGGGGTGTCTGGAACCCCAGCGACATTCTCTGCGCACCGACAAATTATCACTTGGGGTGTCTGGGACCCCGGTGACTCTTTCTGCGCGCCGACCGAATACATCTTGCGGTGCCTGGGACCCCGGCGACTCTCTGTACGCGTACAAAAGTCCTCTCGGGGTATCAGGGACCCCGCTGACTCTCTATGCACCGTTCTAATATCGTTTTCGGGTGTCTGGGACCCCAGCGACATTCTCTGCGCACCGACAAATTATCACTTGGAGTGTCAGGGACGCCGGTGACTCTTTCTGCGCGCCGTCACGAATACATCTTGGGGTGTCTGGGACCCCGGCGACTCTCTAAGCACCGTTCTAATATCGTTTTGGGGTGTCTGGGACCCCAGCGACTTTCTCTGCACGCTGACAAATTATCACTTGGGGTATCAGGGACCTCGGTGACTCTCTCTGCGCATCGACTTAAAATCATCTTTAGGTGTTAAGGACCCCGAAGCCCGGTTGATACTCTGCATACTGACATTATGGCATCCGGTATGCGCCAAGGGGCGTAGATCTACTTTCTAAACATACATATACCTTTATTTTATTTTCTGTGTTCTTTTAATTTGCTGTATTTATCTTCTTAGGGTATTGAATAAACTAATTAGGCGGACGAACGTGTTGATTATTACTCCCATGTGCATCCTTTATATCCCTGATTTCTTTATATCTCTACACCCCTTATCGCCCTGCATTATTTCATCCAAGCGTTCCTTATATCACTGTACCCTTTACATCCGTGGTTTCTTTATATCCTTGCATCCTTTACACGTTTCAATCCCTTACACCCTTGAATCCCTTACATCTCCCTGTCTCTTAAATGTCTGCCCTCTTACAAACCTGCTTCCCTTATAGCCCTGCATCCCACAAACACTCTATTCCCTACATTCTGCGGTGCCTTTCATCCCTTTAACACTTACATCCTCGAAATTACGCTTTCGGCGTTTGTAACAGCGCCATCTAGCGGCTCGAAAAGGAACTAAAGTACGAATCAATTTAGCGCCCTCTGGTGGACAAACTTGGAACTAATATTTTCTCGAAAATACAGCGCCCTCTAGCGGCTCGAAAAGGAACTAAAGTACGAATAAATTTAGCTCCCTCTGGTGGACAAACTTGGAACTAATATTTTCTCGAAAATACAGCGCCCTCTAGCGGCTCGAAAAGGAACTAAAGTACGAATAAATTTAGCGCCATCTGGTGGACAAAATTGGAACTAATATTTTCCCGAAAATACAGCGCCCTCTAGCGGCGAAAAAAGGAACTAAAGTACGAATAAATTTAGCGCCATCTGGCGGACGAAATTGGAACTAAATTTTGCACGGTTTTAAGAGATGTGTGTGGGTTGCAGACATATAAAGGATGTGGACATGTGGGCGATACGGATGACAAGGAGTATAAGGATGGTGATGCAGGGATGTGGGAGATGCAGGGATATAAGAGATGCAGGGATATAAGGGTTGTTGGAATATAAGGAATGTGTCAAGGATGTAGAGATGTAAGGGATGCAGGGTTGTAAAGAAAACAGGGATGTAAGGGATAAGCGGGGCCAAAGGGTCGCAGGAAGCCGGGGCTGGGGCTCTGGTCTCCACTGCACGCGGCCCGAGGAGTGCCGGCATCGGGTGTGGCCCCCGATGTCGGCGGAGCTTTGCTGGGGTGGTCAGGGGCGCGGGGGTGCCGGTGTGTTCGTAAAAGATCCCGGAGCCCTCCCTATAGCCCCAGTGCAGGCCACCGTGGTGGTTTTAGTGGGTAAAAATCCCACACTACCTCTGGCCCCTCCCCAGAGGGGCTGGAGGTGTCTTTCTGAAGATTTCCACCACGTTAAAATAAAAAAAAAAAAAAAAAAAAAAACGGAATGTAAGAGATGCAGGGACGTAAAAAATTCAAAAAGGTAAGGTAAGTAAGATAAGGTAAGTATTCAGAAAGGTCCGACATGTAAGAGATGCATAGATATGAGGGACGCAGAAATATAATAAACCAAATGAAGGGTTATTTACAAAAAGAATGGGAAAAGCAGAATTAACTGTTTCGTATGCATCACAATTTATTTCACATTAAACTATTTTCAACTCTGTAGTATAATTTTAAACATTACATATACGTAGTTACACATATATAATTATGCTGGAATTAATTCATTTGACAGAGGTACTTTTGACTCGAGCCGGAAACGGCTGTAGTCCCCTAATGAGTCGTACGTTTAAACAATAGATGGAAAAAAGTTTTCCAAATCTTCCTTCGGGAAATTTACTTATCCTATGATATGTATTAGTTTCAGTTCATTGACTCATTCTCGTCTCTTTGGTTTACAAATTAACAGTAGGATTCGAGGACTAAAAGCAACTATCGTTATAAATTATTCGAGACGAAAATGTTAGTACAAAGAGGCAAGGAGTAAAGTGACAATTGATACAATTAATACAAATCATTTCTTTTGAAATAAAGATCATCTAATCGATAAACCCTTAGAGACGACGCACGACGCATCAGAGGGTAGTAACATTATTTTATATAGAGATATACGCATCCGGAAAATATATGAATACTATGTAAATATGTGTATATATAGCATTTAAGTATACATATCGATCGAAAGATAAAAATATAATTTCAGTTAGATATATATCTTGTAGTAACATGTCACATTTAAGATTCCCTTAATGGATTAGGCATGATATGTTACGAGTTTCCCCTTATTAGATAAACAGGTCAACGTTGGAAGTAATAATATTAATAACGTGTAACTAGAAATATATTACTCTCTTTATTTTGTGTGTGTTTTGGACACTCGATGACTAGCACCAATGGCATAGAAGCGAGCTTTTCTTGTCCAAAAATTTTTCGCAGCAGGTACTTTACGCATCGGAAAATGTTTTCAACATTTGTTTCGTTCGTGTGTTTCATCTTCACGATCATGATTATTCACGTAACTCTTTTTTTTCTAATTACCATTTAACGTAACGATTCTCACACATAGAAAGATTCTTTTAATTATATTACTAATTAACGTAACGCTTAAAAGCGAATCAATTACTGGTATTCGATCGAATGATTCACGCGGTAAGCGTTTTAATTGTGCGATTCTCACGTATAGAAAGAAATCATTTGCTACTTAATGTGTCTACGTACACACCGTATACTTTCAATTATTTTTTGGAATATATATTACGATAAGCAGAAATTTCATTGATATGTAATTAAAATACTTTTAAACCTCACGACACGATGCATATTAAGTTACGTTTGTTAGACACCGACGAAGCTTGTTTAAAGTGTTTTTTCTCCAATTAAATTCGAAACATTGATCTTATTAATATATAATGTCGTTCTAATCATCAATTTCTTTCCACTACTACTGATAACAAGAATGATGTTTCTCTGAGAAACAAAAGAATGAGAATCTTGTTCCGTGTGCGTTTGAGTAATTCGAGTAGAAGTCTTAAGAATAAATTCAGGAAAAGTTTTGCTCGTGTACAGGGCAAAAAATTTATTTCTTCAGTCGCATATTTACTGCAAAATAATTATGTCGAAGTAAACCAATAAAGAAATTAAATTTTCTAATCATTTCGGTTTATGAGAAATAGAGATTCATTTATCTATCTTTTCTACTTCTATCGTTATCTATTTTTTATTTATTCAATTCCTATTCAATTTTTAAAACTCTAATTATCTCAAAAACAACATTCAAGGAATGAAAAGAATGATATACTTTCTTATTTCTTCTTGAAGTATACCCTGTACACGTTGTTTGTTAATAATTATTAATATTAGCCTCTGCGTACATAAATCTTCTCATTGATATGTTACCTTATGATTATGATATGTGTTTGTCAGTCGTAATATTTAAAGAAAAATGATTTGGAAGGCGCGTTTACGTTGTTTCCAGATTCTCCTACCACTCTCGCAATGATGAAAATTATGAAATGTTTACGGTGGCAGAGAAGAATCTGGGATCAGGAGAACTTCGAAAGACTTAGATTGGATTTTACTTTCAATAATGAGGACAGAATTTAATTAATGTAGACACTCCTCCCGTTCTCTTCGATTCGTGTGAAATTCTTAGGCGAAAGGAACTCGTTTGAAAAGTCGATTTCCCTGTCCGGTGATACGCTTCTCACCGGAAGTGTACTGCACAACGGACTTCATCTGGTCCATCGCGACTGGTCCAATACATACCAGAGGATCTTTAAAATATGCACAAACCTAACAGAAAATTAGAACCTCTTCAGCAATTAAGTCAACCATAAAATTAGATGAATTCATTAGAAAAGAAAAGGTACCTTTCTTGGCGTTTGTCGATGACGTCTTTGAAGCTGGCAGCACAAACCACGAGTGACATCGCATTCCCCAGACATGTTGCACTCCTCATCTAGAACAATTTTCGTTTTGAATTTGGAGAAAGCAACTTTTTGTTTTCTGATTGCATGGGCACCATTAGATGGCGCTGCTGGTACCATTTTAAAGTGTGCAATGACATAATATTAGGAAATATGAAAAGAAGGCTTGCTCAATATTTTTGGCATTTTAAATTAATTAGATTCTCTTTTATTATAGTACAATGTTTTAAAAGTTATAAGCAAACGACTTACGTAAAAGCTTATCGCTCTGACGTAATCGTTTTCCAGTTGACCTTTATCGATCACCCCTATGTTCCTTTACCCTTATGGTTACCACAGTATCTTAATTACCCATCAAGGGCCGATTACATGCTAATATTTTTCTATTATACCAAGTTTCTAATAAAATTTATGCAAAGGATATTCAAAAGAATCAAGGGTCTAAAGGTGTCTAAAACCACCCCTGAATAATATCAAAAGAACAAAGGCTAATGCCTTAATACCTAGTCCGCTTTAAAACCTTTGGTAATAGACCTGTTATTAATACTTACTATACAGTTTATTAGCAGTGACCGGTGGTTGACAGGAACGAGTCTCGCTACCGGCTATCTCGGCACACATCAGTCCAGTTTCGCAGTCGTTGTCATTCCTGCATAATTCACCCTGTTTCTGTCCCAAGTCGTACACGCAATGACCCATTGCTGGAACAGAAAAAAAGTAAGTGTTATTAGAGTTCGAGGTGTGCAACGTAGGCTCTCTCTGACTACCCCAACTCTCCTAACACTCCATGGCCTTCTGAAGAATTTTCTTAAGTGTTTCCAAGACCCAGAGCAAGTGACAGCAAGTTTCTACCCCTAATCTCGGTTAAAATCAGCGTAACAGCTGTCACGCATCCCAAATCGGATGGAAAGTGTTAATCAAGAGATTCCTACGTTGCACTTAGGTGTACAGGGAAATATTGACGTAACTAGGATTTTTATATGGGGTGGATCATATAAAAAAAAGGAGTAAAAATTACCTCCATCAACGTTCACGCAGATAGAGCCCTGACAACAGTGCTCGTTAGCGGTGCATCTTCTCTCGAAGCACGGCACCACGTCTTCTAACGATTCTCCATAAGAATTCCCATATCCAGCCGACAATGGTCGCTTGAATGAAAACGGAAGTTAGAGAATTCCCGGTAACAAACGGACACGCGATTGAAATATCGCGTGGCAGAAAGAAAAGTGGAGCAGGTCGTGTCTTTGCTTGTCGTAAATTGACTCTTACACCCGTACACGTCTACGAATGATTTACGTGTTACGAATGAATTATGCACAACCCTTAGACGCATTCGGGTCAACGGCGACGGTCTAAAATCCTTCCCTCTTGTATTTGAATAGAGAACTCGAGGGATCGTTTAACGAGCAGCTAACAATTTTCATTTGATTCTTTGCCGACGGCAAAGCAAATTTAATGACACTTCTCTCGCGAGGATTGCAAGCGGTTGGCACGTAAGTGGATACAGTTACGCGGGAATAATGTTATCGATCGTGTGCCGACTCTACTGCAGCAAAATTGCAGCCAGCTATTTTTGTTAAGAAATCAGAAGAAGTTGGAGCTAGTTATGAAATGAAAAGAACGATACTAACCTGATACAGTCCCGTTTTGCTCATGTAGTCACCGTGACTTCCGTAGCCAAGATTCGACAGCATTTCCGGGCTGAAACGATTAAACAAACCACCCCATCCTTCGACACCAAAGTGTACCGTGATCGCTAAAACGACAACGGTCACTGCAAAACACGTGTGCATCTTTGGTCGCGTTAAAGGCTGCTGTTTCCTAAACCTCTGAAATTTAAGTAAGATTTCCAATCGTTACTTCGAGCCAACGATAATTAACACGTTGTTCTACTACGAGTTCAATTAAATTAAAATAATTAAGAACGAAGACAATTTTGAATAATATAAGATCACACTAATAATTTGAGATAGCAAATTATATGAAAAAATTAATTCTGAATATCTTTTACTACGCTAATTGCTGTCATCTGAAGGAGTCTAAAATTAAATTAAATTTATCGCCGTCTCAGCGACCTGTCGCCGAGGGTTAATTAAACCTCAGCTTAGAAGGCGCTTTTAGATCATAAAAGATTAAAAATAAAATAACTACCCTTGCAATAAATTGATTGCGCGAAAGTGTGCCATACCTTTTTCACCCATCGTCAATGAATGATTCGAAATTATGCAACAAGGAATGTGCTAATAATTTGATAATTGATGAGAGTGGTAGAAATAGAAATGAAAAAATAATTATTGAACTCACGAGATTCCTAGTCACTCTAATTCTTGCCCGGTGTTTCTTGGTAGGTCAACCAGGAAGGATCAGCTGCGTTTCGTGCTTGCTCACGGGATCAACAAGTCCTCGATGGAGTTTGCCGGAGGACTGAATCCAAGCTCCGCTAGCATTGGCAATCTATACTCTTACGTCGTTCCGGTTTCCCTTGTACAAGCTCGTACAAACATCGGCGCAAGCGCGACAGCCGAGCTTTTTACGCACACGACCTAGGTGACATTTTCTTCATTCAGATTTTTCATTCTTTTATGTGTTATTCATAACACGGAAACAAATATGAAAAGAAACATCTTCATATTTCATTTCATTATTAAAATATGAATATATACAGATTGTTGAATTAACGAGGGGAGGTGGTACCGTTTGTTTGCTTTGAATCTTCCTGCCAGAGAGATTTTGTTTGATTTGTAAATTTGCAATCGCGGATGGAAATGGTACATAGCCAGGATCGTTTTGTTGTTCAGAGAAGTGCAAATATCGTGTGAAATCGCAAAATTGTTTACGAGCTTGATTAAACTCGTAGTCGTAAGTTCTTGTTTGTGCAAATGGTACTTTAATGGTTAATAATTTTCGTTTAAGGGTAAAGGAAAAATTGCGATCGCACCCCAGCGAAGGATAGAACAGCGCCATTCACTGGGCACACTTTCGTGTAGGTGTTTAGCTCTTTCCTCGTTGTTCCAAGTAGATCGCCGTTGTTTCGGTCTCTCTTGAACATATTGATCCGACGTGTCCTGATGCTCTACCTGGCGGTCGATCCTGCTCTATATATTTCTTCTGTAGGAGATTCATTAATAATACACTTGCGTGTACATTTCGCAGTAAAGAGGGTGCTCGTTATTCTGTTAAATTTCATTTCGACAAATTGTTCGCAATAACTTTAGGAACAGGTATTTTCTGAAGATTTCTGTAAACATGTTTGAACCGCATAAACGATCATCTGTTTATGGAAATGCCAAAGTACATTGCTTACGTTGCATGTACAAGTTATTTTTATAATATGCAACAAATCACGGTTTGTGCAATTTTCTATTCTTCCAAGAATCAAGATCTACACTATCCTTCAAGTAAAATTAAAGGGATGAAGTCACCCCTGTATGTATTTCGTTCGTATTACGCTTTATGTTCCGTCGGATTACTCACCAGAGTTGAACATATTTATTCATTATTCTTGAGTGACTTCTCCACCTGACGAACAAACACATTGTACACTTTTATCGTGTACCTGTACTACTTAGGATTAACTGTCGCGTGTTGATCAACGTAACAGGTTTTAAACTTCCAAGAAAACTTCATCCACGATTAAACTTATTAACATTAACACGCACGGGAGGTTGATTATCGCAGTACTGCTGGTACAGTGAAATTCGAAGAGTTTTAATCTTGATTGATAAGTTTGTCTTCGCGTGAAACGTAAAAATGTTTTTAACTAGGCTAGAGTCTAGTTGATTAGGGTGGTAAGGCTGAAAAGTAAAACATTGTTATCTCGTATAAAAATGAGTTTAATAAATAACAGCTAACAACGAAATAAATAAGGCTCGTAGTTCTATACGTATAGTACGTGAAACACGTATATGTACATACAGGGAACACACAACACGTTCGATGGATACAGATTAAATACTCGATTGCTTCTTGAAAAACAATGTCTGTTCAACAACAACAAAATTTCACTGTTCAACATTCTTCAAATATAATTAAACAGAGGTTATTCGAAATCGCAAGTACCAGATCACCCTATAAATAATGTCATGATTCATATCGAATAAAGTATTAGTTTTTCAATTTTTTCAATTAACAAAGATGGTCTGAAGAATGGAATATGGACCCTGAGATGAGATGACCCGATACTATAATGAAACGTATTCGTGTTCGTTTAGTTCTAATATCTCTTAACTGGTATTCCTCAATCTAGTCCGAAGGAAATAAATTAGTCTTCCTTTGTACATTTATACAGGTGGCACGGAATCGTCAGTGCCCATCAAGTGTCCAGAAAATCAATGGATTTCCTGGTCCTCAGACCCCGGTGATGCTGTGCAGCCAAGGTTTGAAGTAAGTCGTCCTCATGTAGACACCTGGAAGATAGGGCGCGGCACAGGTTATTCCGTGAGACACGGTGCCCACCAAGAACCATCTTCCATCGGGTCGTTGCATCACCAATGGTCCACCGCTGTCACCCTAAAAACGTCAATCCAACAATGCGATACCGTTGCGAATTTACGAAAGAAACGAATGATACGGGAAGTTGATGGTTTCCAGTGGTACATCAGATTACGCAAAAAAATACCTCGCAAGAGTCTTTCTGGCCAGTGGCGTAACCAGCGCACAAGAAACTGTCGAGAATCAGCTTGGAATGTCCACCAGTCTGGAACATCTCTTGACACACGGAATTCTTTATTATGGGCACTTGGACTTCTTGCAGAACGGAAGGTACTCCGCCATCTGTAAATTATTCAAAACGAAAAACTTGGGATTATTTGTACAAACTGGTGAGATTATGACTACCAGAATCAGATGTACTCACTGTATTTCAATCGTCCCCAACCGGTAACCGTGGCCATTCTACCAGTAAAATCTATACCATCATCGGGCATGCAAATGGGCACGATGTGAACGTCGAATTGTATCGGCGATTCCAGTTCCAGAAGAGCCAGATCGCTTTCAAAAGTCGTTGGATTGTAGCCTCTATTCACTATAACTCGTCTAACGTTCCTGGTCACACTGCGTTTCGATTCCAATTCACCTGACAAATCGAACTCTCCGAAAACAGCTACTAAAGTTGCCAAAAATCTGCAGAAAATTCGTCCAGATATTTACTCCAGGTCTGACTTGAATAGAATGTAAATCGAAGACTGTTATTTACCCTGGTTGACAATGAGCTGCAGTGATGACGTATTTATCAGTGATCAAAACACCTCCGCATTTATTCTTCGTGAAAAGACCAAGCCAAGTGGCCTCGCGAACCAAAACCTGCCACGGCCATTCGCCAAAAGTCGCTGCTTTACCACCGACGATTCTACCTGACTTAATCAGAGGTCTTATACCGCATTCTGCAAAATGTTAATCACCCTGTTACAATCGAGCAAGAAGCGAGTGATTGCAATGGACAACACAAAAACCACATATTTTTTTCTGTCTTTTATTCTAAAATAAAATAAATGTATACATGATTAATAAATAAACAACGTTGAGGAAATACAATCATGCGATAATTCCAAGAAACCAAATGAAATAGACATTGAAGGCTTATGGAATTTGGGATTTGGATTAGAAATATTTGTCCTTACACTACATTTATAAAATTTAAATCAAGCACAAGTATCGACCCTTATATCACAGTAACTTTATTAAAACAATTGGAACCATGAAAATCTGAAAATTGAAAATCATGGAAGGTGCAAATACTCACGTGAACGAAAATCGTTCGACGATGTGATCTGTGGGGTAGTGGTAGTTTCGATGTTGTTCGAAATGCTGCTGTCTTCGTCAGCGACTATCGCTTCGGTGCTTATCGCTGGCGTTGTAGTGGGTCTTCTAGACGGTTTCGTACGTTTCGTTGTAACCTGGGGTCTCCTCGTGGTCGCACTGGACACCGTGGTCGGTTTCGGTTTCGCAGTAGTCGGTTTCGTCGGACGAACTGGTTTCTCCGACACCGACGGCCTGGAGGATGTTGGACGACTAACTGGCCTCTTCGTGGTGGCTGGTTTCTTCGTCGTCGTGTACGAAGGCTTCGCAGTAGTCGCTGGTCTTCGCACGGGTTTCCTCGTGGTGGTCGCTGGTCTCTTTGTCACCGTGGATGGAGCAGCCGTGGTCGCGTTGACACGATTGTACACGATATCTTTGAGATCCTGAAAATATTTATAAGATTAGTATATTAATTATATATAAGAAACGCAATTAATTTGTAATATAAAAAATAATTCTACCTGAAAATTGCCTTGTAGCGATTGAACAATCTTATTCACAAAGGTATCGACTTTATTATTCAAGACATCATCCTCGATGAAGGTGGGTGTTGGAATATCATTCTCGCTGATAATCTCGATATCGGGATAGCCTGTATTATTGAAAGTCTCCACGATGGTCGGTTTCTCGTGTTGAACGATGGGCGTCGAGGTATTAAAGTTCGGGTTTCGAACAGGTGGGAAGTTGATCAAGTCATCTGGTGCTGCTGTCTCTTCGTCACAATGAGGCACCGACGTGGTCGCCTTGAAATTGATTGTGGTCGAAACGACAGGTTCTTTGAAGACTATAGTATCGACAGGTGTCATGTTCTCGTCCGATGGCGTCGATGGTTTCAAATAGAAGCTTGGTTTACTGGACCAAGAAGAAGTGGTCCAAACGTTAGGTCTCTTCGTCGATATTTTCTCAGAATTCTGTTCAGTATCATTCTCTAAGACAGCAGCCTCTGTGCTGAGGTTGTTGCTCACCGTTGGCTTCGAAGTGGTCCCGTCCTTTAAATTAACGCTGAAGAAACTGGTCGAGACGACGTTATTCGTGGCCACGTTCGAAATCACCGTGCTAATGTTGTGGGTTATGGTGGTAGAGACGCTGGGCTTTCTGGTGGTGAGAGGTCTGAAGGGTCCCGAGGTAGGTCTGAAGGACGAGGTAGGTCTGACGGAATCAGTCACTGGTTTCTTGGTGATGATCTTCTGGGCGATTTCGGTGGTGTACTCGGTGTTGAGTGGACCTAGAACTATCACAGTAGGAGCAGGAGGATTCGTGGTCGTCTTGGTGGAATAACTGGAGAAGGTCGACTGAGTCGACGGCCTTGAAGAATACGAATTTGAAGTTGGATAGGAAGAGTAGGTCGTTTCAGTGGGCACTGTTTCGTAGCTATAATAATTCGAGGATTGTCCTGGCTTGTAGAACGTGTAAGGGAAGGTCGAAGAGGGTCCACTCGTGGGTCTCGTTGTAGAGATCCTGACCAGGGATGGCTTCGAGGTTTCATCGATGCTGACCCATTTGTTGATGGACGAATTTGGGGTTTGAATAGTGGTACCAGCACCGGGCTTCGTATCGTTCAATATTGATATGATATGATTAATCGCCAGCTCCTCTTTATCTACATCATCGTCCTTCTTGTTCCCTGAGGACGTGTCATAAGTGATAGTAGGCACCCTGATCAACTCCTCCTTCTTATCGCTTAAAGTACTCATCGGCGTGGTGGTTTTATCATCGTTCGAACTTAGAGCATCCACGTACTTCGTCGACACCCTCTCCTCTACCGTGCTGATCTTCTCGAAATTGTCCATGGCAGTCTCCAGGATGGAGGAAGCGGTGGTGAGCCTCTGCGTGTTGGCGTACATCTGGGTAACAACCGGTAATCTCGTCATCGAGGAAGTACTAAACTTGTGATCATCAGAATCAGAAAGCATGGTGTCGGATACCGAGGATGCAGGGAACTTCAACCATTGACTCGTAGAACTAGCCTGATAAGTGGTCTCTGAAGAAGGTTTCCTCGTCTCCATTACACCTTCAGTTACTTTTGATCTCAGAGTGGTGCTCTGAGTTTCAACGACCCTGTCCTCGGTGCTGGATTCTGCGGTAGGCTTGAACAAATCGTCAGGGTTATGCGTCTCGTTCAGTGTGGTTCCATTCTCGTTCAACAATATGGTATCGGCTGAACTGTGGTTATTCTGACCCAAACCTTGAGAGAACAAAGCTGGCAACTGATCCACTGGATCAGCTATCTGAAGTATCTGATCAGGACTCAGCAGCGTGGTGACCGGATTAACAGCCGAATTGTCCTGATGATTCTGAATGTCATTGTTCGAGTCGGAATGACTCAACAGTCCAGGAAGAGCTAAATCGTCCAACACGTTCTGCTGGCCCAACAGAGCCTGAAAATCTTCCTCCAGGTGACTTAAGTCTGGCTGAGCCGGTAATTGAGGTTTCTCCGCGTTCTCGACGATGTCCTCGTGGTGTGCACCAGTTGATGGTGCTTTTATGGTGCTAGAAGGCGCGTCGAACGTTGAAATCTTGGTGTAGGTGGTTCCTTCGTTATTGGGATGATTGGATGTCCCGGACGTCTCGGTTTTAACGGTGCTGTCTTGAGAGATCGTCATTCCGAGCGGTGTGCCATCCGAGTTTAAGAGGATCGGTATATCTGGGACGTGATCGATTTCGTGCAGATTGAACAGTTCATCGGTGAATGAAATTTTGTCACCGTCGCTGCTGATTTTCGACGGCAGCTGGCAACACGCGCCGAATAGGAAACCGTCCATACACGCGCCGACTACTTTTCCATTTCTACGTGAACACTCGTAGTTGAACATGCATAGTGTTGGCTCGTTTGAATTCGCTCGGGTTGGAAGCGTCGGTTGACACGCTTTTGGGACTATCCTGTACCCACCGAACAACCTTCTACCTGTAAAATAAAGAAGAGTTGTTTTAGAATATCTGTGAGGATCACGGATAGAGTGCAAGTGCATTGGAATTGGCTTCGAATTTTGTTAACTATCGGTTCAAATTCGAGCCAACTGGCAATACACTTGTATCTCTAATTATTCTAATCACGGTGTAGTAATTAGACGGTGAATGTACAACGGTTCTCAACAAACGAGTCGAAAACGAAACTAAGTGAACTCGTTTGGTATTCGACCTGTTAGTCGGACATGCAGATCAGGAACAGTTGTCCCAAATTCTGTTTCTTTGACTTATAAGAGAAATCGGTTGTTCAACCGTGGGTCACGAGCGTGTAAGAGCAATTGTTACGCTTATTTTTTGGGGACGAGCGAAAATTTTCAATGGATTCCAACGATGGAAGAATACGAAATGAATGGAATCACGAAAATTTTTTTCTTTTTCTTAAATCTTGTATTGAAGTCGACGTACAAAGTGATCGGTTATGCTCAGGTGACTAAGATATAGGCGAGCAAGCATGTAGGCTTCGCACGTGCCTCCTTATATGCCTACATACTACCGATATAATGACCTACTCTGTGAATCGGCCGAACTGTTTGTCAGTATTCTTCCGGCGTTCCAGATATTTTTCTTTATTTTTCACGGACTTTCGTTTAACATCGAACCGTGTCACGAAACGATATCGATTCAACCTGTCATGAACTTCTGACCCAACGATCAATTTATTCATCATTATAGATTTTATGAATTTATTTTAATGGAAGTTTCTCCTGCTTTTATGTATTATTACCTCGATTATAAATAAAAATATTCGCACTCGATAGAGCTTGCAACTTGATACCTTTACCGATATTTAATTTCATTAATCAACGGATTTTAATTAACAACTACAGGGATGACGATAGTACAAACCGTGTCGTATCGATTGTGTGTTTAATATACGGTAGCACGAACACAGGGTAATTAGAATATTGCGTGCTGCTTGGATAACGGCTCAGAGTTTCACTATGCACACAATCATTTTTGTTATGAATATGAATTGTGGACTAATTATACAGAATGTTCCATTTTAATCCGACGAAGCAATTATCTTCTGAATTATTCGTTTTTCGGAAAGGGAACATTACGTGATGCGCACGAGCCTTATTTACAAACAACTTACTGATAAGACTGTTTTCGAATGATTTCATTAGTAGAAGGGTTGAAAGAGTATCTACTCTTTAAAATTACACAAACACGCATGAAGTACTTTATTGTAGAACGAATCGATACTTATCAACGCGCGTTACACTTTTCTTCGTCATGAAAGGAAGAAAATGTCGGGGGTCAATGAAAAGTCTCAATCGCGTGGAAACTGCCATTCAACACGGTTCGACGATGATCTTGACCGGCAAAACACGGCTCGTGCGAATTGTTTGCGATCCCGTAATTGTGCGTGTCAACGCTGTCGAACAAACACGCAATTTCCCACGCGTGTTTTTCCGGCTGAACGTGTTCCCAGATAATCATTCCCTCCAATTGCAGTCATTGAAAAAGCGGGCGCGTTTGAATAGGACGATCGTCTCCTGTTTACCCGAGCCGAGCATCGGGCTTTTTAGAATTTCACGTGCCAACACTGACACCGAATTCCACTTACGTCTCACTTCCTTTCGAAAGTCGCGAATTCCATGTTCATACAGGCTCGAATCTTATTTCGAATGCACGCTCGAGCGTTCTCGATCGACACAAAGTGACACACATACTTGGCAATTTTATGAAAGAATTTTCAAACCAGTCTCGTGAATTTCAAAAGAAAGATATCTGTAAACTAGTTGAGCTGAATTGTTTAATTAGAGCAGGTTTAATGGTCATCAAGTTTCTAGGTTTATTGGGCGATTAATTAGCACGCGGTTTTTAATCACTTTCGCGCCTCCTGGAGATAAAGATCGTTGAACTTGAATTTCTTTTATAATTTCTTAAATTGAATACAATCCCTGGCACGTATGTATCTTAATCGTAATTCATTCTTTATTTACAACTGTCAATTTATTACGCAACACGATTGTTACCTGCGGCTTCGGGCACGTGAGAGTGTGAAATGACGGACGTCGAAGAAAGGATGACGAGGAACAAGTGGATATTCTTCCCGATAGCCATCTGCAACAAAGGATTCTATTATTAATACTGAAAGAAGATAAATTACACAAAAGAAACTGTTTAATAATTACATCAGTTGTCGAGTGAATTAATCACTGAATATCCTTTGCTACCTTTTATAACGGTACGGGAGTATTAGCGAAGAGGTCATAGATAATAATTATAATTATCTTAAACAATGGAGTTATTTATTTCATAATTTTATTCAGTATTCAGAAAGGGGGTGAAATTTGTACACGCCTATAGCTTGAATTTCTTAATTATTCAACGTAGCAGCTCAAGCATCATTTTAATCCTTAACGAGTCAATTAAAAGGAGGAAATAGCGGGCAGGTGACAAAAGATAAACGGTACTTCAAATGAACCGAGCAAACTACCGCGATGCTGTTTCGTCATCTCGGTTTTCCTCATCTCACGAGGAGATTTACACGCTCACGGGTACACGCGTGTCTGGAAGGTGAGCACACGATGTCCCTACGTGTTCCAAAATCCCGTTATAACAGTCAGAGAGAGCCCAGTAGAGTACGAGGTGTTCTACCTATCGCATGAAGCCGTAATGCGATGGATGTGAGAAAGGAGGAATAAATAATTATACAAGGGACTGATCTTACTGAAACGGACCGTGAGATAGAAGACGAAGAGTAAGAAGATGATCGCCTCGAGAAGACACCCGGTAACCCAGTTACCAATTCCCCCTGGTTATTCTATTCTTTCATTCTCCAATTATTCCGAACGGTGTTATTTATTTCTTCAAGAAAGAAATTACACAATCTTACCAGAACTGAGAAATTCACATCATCTTGAAGCTTTGTATTTTGATTGATTCTCGACGCTCGATTTTCTTTATATTTTATGCTAATTCATTCTTTTAATAGAACTCCTGGAAATTGACACCGGAGGAAGATACCGGTACTATCAATTATCAATTTCTCGTGTTATCCATCGTCGTTCTCGTTTATTTTCATCGTGGAATGCGTCATTACGTGCACGCACAGTTACGTGCCGCGACAATTCGTCGAAGCGGTAAAAATGAAATCTGCCTTGAATTCGTTTTCCGTTGCTCGCAAATCATCAGCGACACGCAGCAGTATAGATATTGTAGAAAGTTAAAAATACAAATAGTTTGATGTAACGCTTCGATTTCACGGAGAAAGTATTTCTTCCTATTACCGGGCTCGATTACAGCATGCTCATTGTCCGCCGCGAATAATTGCGAACTCCTGCGAGAACATTTAACGACTGATAACGTGACAATCGTTCCCTTTCGTTCGTTCACGCCCGATACGAGATAGGTGTAATACCCGGAAATCACTTTCCTTCGAACTGTTCCGTTTTCTCGGTGCTCGATTTCGAAGCACCGTCGATCGCGATAAAAACGTCTTCAGGAGAAGACGAAGGTAATTATCGTTAACGATCCTCACCTTCGCGCGAGATAACTGTGATCTAAACTGAAGCTTCTGCGACCGAGTTTATTTTGAATTTCTTCAAATAAAAGATTTGGAAAGACTGCTTTTCGTGAATTCGGGTTCAAGGAACGTAGCTGCGTTCCATGTTCCTCTGAATCTATGCTAATGTGTCCCGGAGGATAAATCTTCATGATAGCTAAAAGTAGTTTCATGTACCATAACGTGGATAAACGGAACACCGTGGCAATAAATTGAAAGCAAAGCTCGTGGCACGCAGACCCCTGCACGTTTATCCAAACACGATTCCCTGTTATCACCCAGTGAAGTTTATGTCTTCTTTTAAAATTATACTCGACAGGTGTCGACATCGCGAATAAGTGAAAATTGCAGGGCAAACTCTCGAAGCCTGGGACATTCCCTTTCGATGTAATTCATGCTAAATTATCTATAAATTCCCTCGCCATAAACATCAATTCTATTACGAATTCATAGCAAGATACCCATAAAACGACCACGTCTCGTATACGTCTCGATCCTCTTGCACAACATGAAAAATGTTGCACCCAAGATCCGAGGTACCATAAAAATTCGTCCGGCAGAGTTGTCCCGTTACATCTCTCATTTTTTCCATTCTGCTTCGAGCTATTCCCTCGTGTTTAACCAGCTGTACGACAAACGATCTCCAGTTGTTTGGTTCTGCAAACGACGACACGTATCGCGATGCATACAGGAAGGGTACACCGGGTGTATGAGCACGAAAGCATGGGACACGATCACGATCTCGCGACTCTATGGCCTAAGGTAAGGAGTCAAAGTGTAGGATACGAAATTCTTCGCCGTTCATTGGCCGTTCGTCAACTCGCGCGAATGCGTGGAGCATACAGGTATGCATAGGATTCTGCACGTACGCGCGGACCTCGGAGAAAGCCCACGGTTCGACTCTTCTTCATTATTGGATCTGGGTGACCCGATTGGGTTGGCCTCGCCGGCCAACGGGCAGACGCTTCCTCGTCATCTTTGTCCTCTTCGCCTTCCTTTCTTTACTCGGAATTGAATCGAGTAAATCTGACCACGAACGTTTACCTTTTGCAACTGTTCCGCGTCTTTGTCACCGAGAAAAACTAGCTCGATCGTTCTATTGTCTGACGCGCTGTGGACTTGATACTTTGACTGTCGCAGTAGAAATACTGCTATTATATGGATCATTGCTACAGTCGGACAGCCAAACCATAATTGCAATCATTAAAAATAGGATTGTTCTATTTTTCAATTTATTTCCATTCGGTACCAATGTGATTTAGAATTTTAAAAAATTGGGGATCGTGGTAACGAATAGTGGATGATCCGATGAACCGATGCGAGCAGACAGGCAAAGCAGTAAAGAAACACGAAACAACGGTATCGTACACGCTTTCTGCTTTCACTCGAACGTTTGAAACGCTTTAAAACCCGGCCATTCGTGCAAAACCGATCATCACGGTTCGAGTCGAACGACCGTTCAGCCTATCATCTCGCTTCGTACGAATTGCAGAAAGTGATAGTTTACCCGTGGCCCGTATCGAACCGGAGGAAAAGTCGAAGAAAACGTTAGGACGAGGCTAAACTGGAAGCACTTTCTATCCTCGCTACGTGTCAAAATCGACTAAGTTATTTGGGGCAACTTGAAAGGGACAGTGCGTCGTGTGCATTTTAAGAGGGTGCAAAAGTGGTACCGGAATGTAGGCCAACGATTCGTGCAGGTATTAAACCGGCTAATCTACGCTGGTCACGAAGCCGATCATTACAAAGCGACGTCTTCGTGATTCGAGTGGTGAAATTAAAGGAATTCCACGAAATTTGGAAATATCGATAAGAAAACGCCGCTCGTTAACGAGAAATTTTTCCATCGATCCATACAAATCAATTATCCATATTGTTTCGTCAAAGTAGAGCGACAGGGTTCGTGAATGAGCGTTAAACGGGCAAATCAACAAACGCGATTGGAAAGAGTGACACGAACCGTCTGCTCGCTGACAACCGTTACCAACTTACCACTACCCACTGCGGTGGCATACCTAAGTTAGGTATACACACACACGCGCAGCCGTGTGTCGGTGACACGACTCGGGGTCATCGCGAGGAATCTTATTCCTTGCGTTTCGAACCGGGACTACCGACACGTTCGATCGGCGAAGAATTGGAGGGAAGCCCGTCGATGACCCACGGTCATCCCCGTCGTTAACGAAAGCTCCGAGTCATAAAAGCGTTCTAACGAGCAGGCTCGATCAATTTTCGACACGAACGAGGTTAACGTCATTACCCGCGTCATCGATTCGCCGGCTCATCCCTCATTAGCCGGTGAAACTTAACAGCGATCCAGGACGAAATTTCAGCTGACATTGACGGAACGGGAAGATTCATTACGGGCAAGCGCTTTGACGATAGATCGTGAAAAGAGGAACGGCGAAGTAATTACCCATGACTATTGAAATATCTCGAAACGAGACTTTAAGAAGCTGCAACGCGTAGGTAACGACGCGTGGATAAAATCCATGTTGAAGAGGTGAAGGAAGAAAGAGAATAGGTAAAGAGGAAAAAAAGGAAGAAGGATGCGGTGAGGCAGCGGAGCATGCCAAATGATCTTCTATGTATATCACCTCGTTTGCTACGGGCCAAAGTCGGAAACCGAGCTTTCTCCTGCCTCCACGGTCAGATTACCTTCCGTACGATCGCACTGATTCCTGATCGCACGTCCTGGTTCCGATAAACGATCCTACGCGACTCGAATCGACCGATTTCTTTCTTCATTTTTTCGTCTACACAGAACAGACTTTCTACATTAATATTTATTGTATCGTTTCCGTTTCATCGGGTCGGAACGAGAAATTTAGCCGGCTATATGGAAGAATATTATTTTTATTCGCGAAATCGACCGAATTCGTACGACTGTCGTCTAAACGGGATGAGATAACAGTATATCGAGCCTGGGCTAATGGAGGCGGCGGGCACTGTTGGAAATGAGTTTTATAACTGCTTCGGAATACTAATGAACCTTAATTTGAATCAGACGAGCGGGCCGAATTCGTGATCGGGACGATGGAAGGATTTCCATTACCAAACACGTTAATTCTTCGATATTACTGTTATATTAACAATGGAAGATAGCAATTTGATTATTAATTAATCCTCTGCCTAATTGGATATTAGACCCAGAATAAAGTGTCAAAGGGTTAGAAAGGAGCGCTTACCGTGCAACGTGTTATCCCGTGATACGTCAAACGATTCGTTAAAACCGTCTCATAACGTCTGAAATCCTTGATAGAACCTCCGTCGGTCGTTGTCCGGAAGCAAACACGAGCTTTCTCAACGTTACACGGGAACGTCTTTAATCAAGTTCGCACGTTGTCACCCGAGTTCCTCAACGTGTCGCACTTCTTCACTGAACCTATCCTCTTCTTCTTCTTCCACTTCCCTTTCTTTCGTCACCTAGTTCCCGATTCATACACCGGCCGCTTTTGAACGTCCGATGAAGAATCCAAATTTCGTCTACGACAAAAGGATCCTAACTACTCGTGCACTGAGTCCCCAATTCACGACACACTGTGATCCTTACCGATCTTCGAACGTTTCTACCGGCCGTTTTCGCCGATTGCTCGACGCAGGACACTGCTAGTTGGAAACAACGTTCGATCGAAACTTTTTTCACGGGATCTTAATAGCAATAACGATCTCTTCCGCGCACCGTTCGTCCATCCGGTTAGTCAACTGGATGGTACCTGTCTGACTGTTGTACCTCGTGCCACGGCATGTGCTGGAATCGCATGGCTAAGTCATAAGCGGCGCCTTCGACCAGGAATCGCGGTGATGGTGGTGGTCGAAGAACGAACCGGTGGTGGAGGTCGTTTATGGTGGAGGTAACGTAAGACCATGAAGACCGATCGTCGATCGAAGAGAGAGGTGGAGACCTCTCTTCGAAGGTAGACACGACGAAGCGGGAACGGAACGTCGAGGAAGGGAATGGGAAGTGAGGGTAACGATAATACGGAAAGAAGGAGAGATGACGAAGAGAAGGAGCGGATAAACCAGGAGAAATCAAAGTGGGCCAGTGACCAGGTCACGTGGAGAAGAACGAGGCCCAACGCGCACGACAGCGACACACTGTCCTACTCATCGGCATCGTCGTCGCCGCCGCCGCCTCCTCGCTTCTCTATCTGTCCATTCAGGAAACGTATCGCGATCCGTTCAGCCTCCGCTCGCTTACCCGTTGACGAGAACAATTTCACGGAAGGAACACTGAATTACGAGCCACGATGCTTCTGCAGATAGGTCGCCGGGTTAAGAATGCGACCCGAGGATGATTAGATTCGATGGAAAAGTGATTGCACGCTGTTTCTCCTTCTAAAAGGGTGAAACGACACTGTTTGATTATGGATCATTAAACTCTAAGATATAAAATAGAGATGTTTCAAAAATCTGGAGTGTTTATGAATCAGAGTCTCTGACAGGGACGAATCGTGATTACAAAAGTTGTGGGCCATTGATTCTGAAGATAACTTAATGTTTGCACGGGTAAACATTGAGATAGCTGGTTTCTCTCGTTCAAGTATTTATAGCAAATAGAAAATTTCTGTTGGAAGAAAACCAAAGAGGATAAAGTGTACTTTGTCTTACATTTGATGAGGTAAAGATATGCTGCTGTTGGACGAATGGAGAACCGGCCGGACGGATTTTTGGTATATCAGGAAGACCCTGAAGACCGAGGAAAAAGTTTCCAAGTCCAAATTCTATCTGAAAGCAAAGAATCTAAGTGACATTAGAAATAGTACCGTGCGTCGTCGACCTTCCGGACGAAATTTCTAAATTATCGTTTCACTAGTTTGGCGACGATTTATGCGAAACGTAGATGAATTTTACCGGTGTATCTAGAACAAAAAGAAAATCGACATCGAAAAAATAGAGGTACAAGTCGGCAAAGAATCTCAATCGATCGAATTTCACTTCATTTCGGAGTCAGAACGTCAATCTATGTCAACTACTTATGACGAATCGAATCGTGAACATACTACTGTCCTGAAATTAACCAATTATAACATAGAAACGTCGGATACAAGATATCAGAGGATGACAGACGCAGAGAAACTTTCTAACTTTTTACTCTACGCGAACCTTAAACATCGTGCTGTAAAATATAATTTCAATTTAGACACGCTGTCTTCGCGAGGCACCAATCGAGCATGAAAACTAACATAGTCTCGTTGAAATATCAACAACACCTGTCAACCAATTTCCCGTGCATAATTATCTAGAACAGTGATCAGCAACTTTCTTTTGCAGCCGGGCAGAATCGAACGCTTAATAATCGGTACGGGTTGCAATCGGAGGAAAAAACATCTGTATAATTTACCACTTTAGAAACTTTTTGCTGGTATAATTAAACAATCTGAAATATCCTTCTGTGGCGTTAGTTCCAGAAGATCCATCTTTGAATAACCAAAGATCGCTAATTACTGATATCGAATTTTCGACAAGTTTCGGTAAATCAACTCGTGTATTATTTAATCGCGTTTCGGGCCACACGATGCACACGAGCGATAATTATTTAAAGAAAGCAGCTGTATCGCGGCAACAAACGCTCGATCCGGGACACGAGGGAAAACCTTTTAATTAATAAATTCAAAGTTAGCAAGGTGTATCGTTGCACGCAATATCGGTAGGACGTGAATTTGCATTCGAAGCACCACGATAAATCGACGATTCGAAATCTCACCGAGGTCGGCCACAAAGTGTGTCAAACTTGGTCGGGCCATCTTTTACGGTACCTAACACGGTTCACCTTGCGACCAAAGAATGTCCGGATAAGATCTCATCTAACATCGTTTGTGGTGCCTGTTGCAGAAGCGCACAGTAGTAGATCTTTCCGAATAATTACGCGTTCAGACACTGTGTACATACAGTGAATTGCAAAAGTATTATTCTCTTAATTAACCCTTTAAATGATGTTTACACGTCTTATCGTCGATGTAACTCAAGAAGCGTGGACGTGCTATATACTAAATTGAATCTTCTAAACGTAATGCTTGTTATTTAATTTCCTGGTATTAATTAACACTCTCTGTGTCTGTATTCTTTATTTCTATTTATCGTATTATGTGCTAATTATAATTTATTTAATTTCCTCTTAAACTTCCAGGATCCATCGATTCTATTACACAGCACCCGATAATGTTTTTGTTTTTTTTGGAAAGTGTAGGATATGAATTTTAATTGAAAGCTTACGAATACTTATGCGTCTCACTGTACCTTTCAAGAGAGAGCAAGATGAAGTTCAATCCTTGATCGTGAACGTGACTGGTCCTAAGTAGGCCAGGACCTGTACCTTTCAACACCGTGTCTTGTCTTTGGTGGCTGTGTGCCATCCCATTTATTTAGAGCCGAGAGTATAATTGACTGGCGAATATCAGCCTCTTGAAATTACTGTTCCTTGTTGGATGGCAAAGAAATTTATGAATAAACCCAACGTATTTTTACGTTGTTTCTTATTAAGTACAACAACTTGATTGTACACGTACGTGTACCTGTTCGCTTGTACAGTTACTTCAACGATGACTTACAAAACGATGAATCTTCGGCATTGGGAAATTAATCTTTCGAACGGTAAGAATGGTCCTTCTTCTTTCTTTTTTTTTTTTTCTTTCTTTCACTTCGTGAAACGTGACGCATTTCGCAGGAACGTGTGTATATACAAACGTTGACCGTGATCGTGACTTTCGGTAAGTAGGTTAGAGCTCGTCCGCGTTTTAAAATGGATTTTACACCTTGCTGAATCCGCGAAGAACGCGGCGTTACGAGCCCCTCGTAATGTTATTGAGTTTCTCCTGATTAACATTATCATTATGGTGATTAACCGTCGAGGTGCAACGATCGTTCGTTTAAGTGTTTCTTAGTTACCTCATGAAATTACGAGAGTGGTGAAAGAAACGTGGAATTGTTACGTAAAAATGTGCATCGAAGAAGTTTAAAGACTGCAGAAGGAAATTTACTGATCGACGACGCAAATGAAATTCAATTTTTCTGCAAGTATTGAATAGAAAATATTTTCTACGTCTATGGGTTTAAAATTTATTTAAATTTTATGGATGTCCAGAAGTAAAAGGTAATAAGAATTCCAACGCAAATTTAATCGAAAAGAAGCTTTTAAACAAAATACCTGATTTTTTAAAAGAATTTTTTAATATTCCAGAAATAGATCCCTAAAGCATTTGGGTCGTGACCCCATATCCATGGGAAGGCACCCGCGAGAAGGAACGAGGAGAAACAATCGATGGTCATGACCCAGGACACGCTTGGCAAAACTAGGTCAGAATTTAGCCGCGTCTTTTCACGTTCCGCGCATTATTTTTCTTTACCGTTGTTCGTAAGAGTCCGCGGATATCGCGAGTACCCGAGACTCTCCTTTCTCTTCCCTCATCTTAATCTTTCCTTAAAAAAAAGACATTGATTTCACTTTTTTTTTTCTTAGTCTAATGATTCATTTCTAGATACCATAAGGTGACACAGTTTTTGTATTCTTGTAAATATAAAATGAATAAAAATAAATAAAGAATAATGAAAGTCTTGCAGTTTGTCATTTTCGTGAACCCTATTGTTATCCCATGATGATTATTTAATTAATTAGTGTAAAATAATAGAAGAAAGAAATCTTACTGTATGACAGACTGGGTTGGTTATCAATGATAAGGATCAGAAATCTTTCCGAAATCTTAGTGAACGAGGTCTCGAGTAGCTGGGAATTCAAGTCAGCAAGATGCTGACGACGTCATTTTAGATTATCAAGGCCAGACCATGACCCTGCTCGAGTAGTTTCCTAGCGATTCGAATAAAATTTGTTGATCGATATCAGGGTGTAGGCGCCGACGCACGTCCTCGATGCACCTTGCTCCCTCTAGCCAGGACCACATCCTTCTGACCTACCACCTTTCCGCGATCTCTTTTGTACTTTCAATTGCAACCGCCTATAATACTTCAGTTACTTATCTCGCTTCGTCAAGCAACACTGAACATTACTCTTTTTTTTTCTGTTATCAAAATGGTTGCACCCTGATTCCTTGGAAAATAATATATCAACAACAAGTTGCAAACTTTCTGATTCCGTTCTGTTGAAATTAACCCTTTGAACTGGTATTATAATACTAAGTGAAGCGTGTAGAAATGAATAGAAACTCGGTAATTATCTGGAAGAATAAACATCCTTATTTGCATAGTCGAGAATGAAATAAAATAAAAAGAATTCTTCATCGTAAGTCTTCGATCCTCCATTCATTAACCCGCTAATTGAATCGTTTGGAAAAAAGAATCACCATAAGCTGGATACTTTCTAATCGAGTAGCTGTAACATCCTGAACGTCATCAATTTCTATCAGAGATTACAGAAGGTGAGTATGCTCGCTCCGAGATTCGCGTCGTTTATGACACGACCGACAGTTGAAGGCCGTCAATGGCTAACTATCTTGTTGGTTTCGTGACTTCATAAGGAAAAGGCGGAGGTAAGCTGGCTTTCTCCAAAGCCACTTAACCCGGTCCAGTAACATCCATCCATGGAGCCCGTCACGCCTGTGACATTTTCGATGGCACCGCAACATCTGAAACAAACTTTTCTCTCAATTACATACTGAACGCGTACGTTTTCGCTCGTGCCTCGTCGAGGAATGCAAAACATCGAATACGAACACGTAATTTTACGATCGATTTCGAGCCTCCCGATGGATGCATAAAACTAGGGAGGAAATAATTTACGAACGAGAATTATTGTTCCCTCCCGACACCGGCTCGGATCTCGTGCGGTTTGTAACAGTTACATTCTATTACCGTTCCAATTAGAGGTTACACCTTTCAAATTGCCAACTTTTCCGTGATGTTCGAGTAAATTGCTGCGTCGTGGACAACGGTACGTCCGCGTATATGGAATAACGCGGAATTGGCCGTGACCGGAAACGGCCAAGACGAAGTAACGTTTATCATTCTTCCGTCGAACGTACCGTAGATTCTGCTGATTGAAGTTTTATTCGACAGCCACGGGACACTTACGAAAGGAGCGTCTCACGGAAATAGGCCTCGACGCC